ATAAATACATATTAAATTGAGAATTAAATTACAATCACTCATTAATTAAATGTTTATTAATTATTCGATTACTTCTTGAGAATTTAAGCTTCTTAATTATATGTTTAAGATAATTTATTATATTTTCATTATTATTAAAGATTATTTATATGTCTGTGTTTCTATCATTTTTTATACTTTATTGGTATTAATTAATTTTATATTTTCCAACCATATTGATCATAGTTAGTTATTTATGATAGAAGACGAGCAAACCTATTTATTTAGCGTTTTTCGTAACTTAGATTTTAATTCAACTTAATCTTTCCACCTTTGACAACAATACTATACAACGGCTTTTACAATAATTAAGCCAGAATATGTATCTTTTGAATATGCCTTTCATAATTTCAATTTAAGTGAAATATATTATCCATTAATTTTTACAATTCATTATAATTTATTTCTAATCGGTTTTGAATTTCTATTAATTTTTAATAATATCAATCTAAAATACAGTTAAACTTAAATTGAAAATTATCTATTTTCTAAACTAATCGTTTTTGGAAGGAAGATTTTTAAATCGATGTATTTCTATTTATATAATATTAATTTAACCATACTTTTTAAGATTTCTTATGAATTACTTTGAATTAAGTAATGACATTTCATCAAGGTGATCTTACTCTTGCTCGAGTACTGATTAAGTAAGAAAGAAATTATAGTTGGAACTAGAATTAAAACCTTGATTATATAATATTTAAGGATTATGAATTAAATTTCTTCGATTTTGTATTTGTTTGAAATAAAGGTGTCAACTCCACTAACTAACCTGTTAATGGTTTTTTTATTACATTACTTAAGAAGTCTAATAAATTAACTAGTATCAATTTGGTTAATACTGATAAGAAATTCAAATATTATTATGAATAACACTTTTTAGAATCAAATAGAATATAATAAATTAATTGGTGAAAGTTTATGCTTTATAAAAAAATAATTTAAATAAATTAATTTAGTGATAACTAAAAATTAGAATGCATTTCCTTTTATAAAAAAAAAAGAATTGTCATCCAATATTAAATTAAATACCCAAAAGCAGAATTGATAATGATTAAATTGAAGCAAACATCAGAGAATATGAAAGATATTGAAAAATCAGAGAATGGCTTGCAATATTAGAAATTTAATTTATTAGATAAAAAAATGTATGAGAAACATAATGAATATTAAGACAGAAATTGGAAGTTAATAAAAGAGGCAGAAGAGTAAATATTGAATTGCAAATTATAATACCTGAAAGAAAATGAGAAGAGAAAATCAAATAATATAGAAATTTTAACTCATCTTAAACAAAATCTAATATAAATACAACAATCTATGGTATAAAAAATTGAAGAAATAATTACTTTTATAAACAATCAATTAACCCGTATTTCTAACATTAAAATTGAAAAAGATGATTTATGTAAAGATGGATCTGATCAGAATTTAGATTATATTGAAAGAAGCTATACCCAATTAAGATATATGTCATTCAATTTTAGTGAAATCGAAACTCACATTTAGTAACAATTAAAGGCTTTAGATCTATCGGAATTTTTGAAATACCATAAGGAAATGTTAGCATGTATTAAATGTGAGAATCAAGCTGATTTTTCGGAATTTTTACCCTTTGGAATTGAATAGGTCCATAAAAATAATAATTGGTTTTGTGATTAGCACAAAAAATAATTAATGTTTGTAGACTTAAAGTAAGTAAGTGTTGTTCCAAATAGAATAGCTTGCTTTAATTGTGTTCCTAAATACATTGTATAGTTCACTGATTTTGATTAACTTAAGATATTGTGGAACCAATTGGTTTCATATGTTTCTAATTTTTCAAATCTGTAGGATAGAAATTTTAGTAATAGTGTCTAGTCGGCTCTTTAGTTGATTATATAGTTGAAAGATTCTATTAATAATATGATTGATGAATCAATAATTTCATTGAAAAGTCTTTCCCTAAATCGAAGCAAAATGCTAGAACAACTACTATAATTGATTAAAAAGGAATGGCTGTCCTACTCAAAGGATGAAATCATCTAAATTGCGAATATCCTCAGCCAATAAAATAAAGGGAAAGAATTCAAAGAATAAATATAATCAGAATTTAAAGCAAAATTGTAATCTGTTCAAGATCTACTAAATGAATTATTTATGAATCTATAATAGAAATTTTCTGATTTTAAAATAACTTAATGTTCCCTTCCAGTTCAAGAAAAAAATGGTAAATATTTAAAAATATTTTTTAAAAAAGAAGTTCCCTCCTCAACTTAAGTTTAGGATAAAAAAAAAATAGGCAGTGCTTTAAATGAACCATTTAAATATGACCTCTTAAAGAATTACTCAATTAAAGATGATAAAATATTTGCAATCACAATTAGTCAAGATTCCACTTTTGTAATGGCAGGTTATTCGCATGGGACAATAAAAGTTTTTCAATTCAAAAATGGATAAATGAAGCAAACTTAGATTTTAAAGAATCATTAAGGCATTATTAGTTGTCTACATATCTTAGATAATTGCCAATAGTTTGTCTCAGGAGGAACAGATTCAACTATAATAATATGGTAAATTAATGAAAAAAAAGAATGGATATGTTTATAAATCTTATAAAGGCATACAGATTGTATAAGATGCATAATTTCAAACAGTAATGAAGATTTGATAATTTCATGTGGGGATGATTCAACCATCTAATTCTGGAATAAAGATCTTTAATGGAATTGGCAATAAAGGTTGCTTGGGCATAAAAACAAAGTAGAAAGCATATCTTTGAATGAAGAGAGTACAAAATTGATATCATGCGCATATATGGAATTTACGATCCTAGTGAGTGAAAAAAATTCATATGATTAAGAATGGGTGATAATTTAGGCAATTAAAGTTGATAATTGGGGGTAAAGTTTATGTTTTATGAATGAATTTTTGTTCTCATTCTAACCGTCAAGATCTGAATCTTTATTCATTTATTAACTAGATAAAAAAACCAATCAATTTTAAAAGTTAAAAGAAGTCAGAATTAATTCAGTATATTAATCAGATTCTGTGTTCCCCTTATAGTTCATCAAGAAAACTTAGATAATACTGACTAAAACGGGCTATTTTATAAATTTTATTAAATTTAAATAAAATGGTGAATTCATAAATGGACAATCTATTAAATATCAAACTCAGTATATTCAAGGAGCTTTGACTAGTGATGGGTAGTATTTGGTTACTTGGGATGAAGGGACAAAAGAATTACAAGTTAGATATAACAAAATTTGAAAATAATATTTAGAATAATAAAATCATATTTAATATATAAGGGCTTGGTATTCTTAAAAATCCATAAAATTTTAAACCATTTTATAGTTCTAAATCAAATTCGCAGAAATATTAATGGGTTAATCATAATTATTTCTTTTTTATTTCAGAATTTTAATAAATCATCTAAAATGTTGAAATGAGTTTATTTAAATAGGCATTAGGAATTCTTAGTTATTTCTTAGTTAAAGTGAGATTAGCAAGCTACTATAAATAGTCTTCTCAATTAACTTATCTAAATATAACAACCAAAATGAAATAATTTAATTTTATAATCAACTAAAATTATCTAATACTGAGTTATTGCTTCCATAATTACAATACAAATTTAAGCATTCATTTCAAGAAAATTATAACCCCCTCCTATTTTAACAACAGAATAAAACAAAATGTACATTTTTTAAATTAATTAAATTAATTAATTATTAATTTTAATTGGCAGACTTGCAAATTGAATAATTTTCTATTGCAAATTTGTTAATTGGATTTGAAACAAAACTTTAATAGCCTTTCTAACGTATTATCTTGAAATATCTTGGGATGCAAAAATCAATAAAACGAAGGGATTTTTTAATTGAATAGTTTGAGAGATTTAATGAGTTAATTATTAATATAAGATTTAAAAAGGTTTATATTTTAAGGAATTATATTATTAGAAAAGCTACTTTTATAAATGATATTTATTTTATTCCATAGCACGATTAATCAAACCATTCTAGGATCGTACAATATTTTAAGGCGGAAGATTGAAGTATGCTACAAAAGGACTATTAATTATCATTGATGTAAAAAAAAAATGGAATCCAATATACTGAAATGTAAATTCCAAATTTTTAGTGTAAGTTTAGCATACAAGTAATAGATTATACACTTCTTAAACATCTATTCGATCATTATAATATACTTATATTTCTCTCATATTTTCTTAATATTCAATTAATATTGATAGTTCTTGAGGAATTTAATTTCGATCCTTCAAACGAGTGAGGATTTTGTTGTATCTAATGGACATAACGGTATATGGTAAATTTTTACTTTATAAGTTGAGGTTTTAAAGTGGAATTCTAATTTCATATCAACACTTTTAATGGAATAAAATATAGATACTATGCTATCTATCCTAAAGTAGGCAAGTGATTTCAATGCTTATTAATTTAACCTAAGCAGAGGAATTACAAAATTCACACATAAAACTCCAAATTATGCTGTTGGATATCATTTATCAAGTTTGGTTCGAATATCCTTTATTTAAAGAGGTATAAGAAGTATAGAACTGATTGCACCCTCTCGATATAACTCAAGTTCAATAATTCAAATTGGATACTAAATACTACTTGTAATAAGGATACTTTTCAAATTAAGGCAACAATTTATGCTATGTCATCTCCATATTAGATAGACTGTGGAAACTGTGTGAAACAATTCTAATGTATTTGCTGTTTTATAGATGCTTTTATCGATCAGGGATTACTTTTCGATTAAGAATCAAAAGAAGCTGAGCTGTCAGATAGCGAGATAGACCACAAAATTGAAATACGTATACTATAACTAATTATGAATTCAAGGGTTGGTTAGTTTTTATCATCAGCTTTTTATCAATATGGATTGATTCGAACCTAATGATATGTTCTTTAAACTTGTAAAAACATTAGTATAAAAAAATTATCGCTTCACCATTGCGAATATGTAAAATACAATCATCGAATTTACAATTCAAGAGTTGAATTTTTCAACAAATTTTTTCAATGAATTTATAACTTTTATATTACCTTCAATCTCAGATCTAGCAGTAATTGTTACAAAAAAGTGTTAAGAAGGAAAATAATTAATAGTACACATACCTAAAAATAATGGAGCCTCTCCTATTAATATAGTATTAATTGCAAGTCTAATCATAGTACCTACCATTAAAAAGTATATTTTTCAACTGCAACTCCACTAATTTCGAAATTGAAATTGATATTATTTTGGAGATTGAATTTAAATTATGAACAATTACATAGCTTAAACTGAAATGTTTGTAGTAATTTTAAATATCTAATACGTATGAGAGACACCATTCTAAATTTTTTTAATTATGATCATTCAATTCTTTCATATGATTCATCCACATTATAATTTTTCCATTTAAAATGTTAAGACTATTTGTTTGACAATAATGCAAAATTATAATTTTATGATTGCAAAATAAAGTAATTTTGAAATTTTTATTTTCTGGTATAATTAAATGAAAATGATTTCAAAAGGCTTGATTAATGACTAAAATAACTCAAATTTCATGTTTGAATATCTATCTTCAGTCCCAACTATGCAACAATGGTTTTGGTCTTTAAAATTCAACTATAACACATCTATGATATTTGGAGGCTGTATATAGAAGATTCAGTTATTCTAATTCAAAAACGGATATCTAAAGGAAATAGCACAAAATTTTGAGAAAAATGCAAATGTTTGCTGTTTATCATCTATGAATAACTCCAATTTTTTTATTTCTGGTAATGAAGAAGGAATTATAAGGATAAGGAAATGTGTAGGAGTAAATTCACCAAAAGGTTTAATAAAACTAGAAGTTCACATAAGTTGTATTACGAGTTTATTAATTAATCAGCAAGACAACATTATTTTTTCCAGTAGTATGGATCATTAAATTATTATTTGGAGAAAGAAGAACGAGTGGATTCACTCTTAAATTATATTTGGAAAAATTGGTAAAATTTATTGTTTAAGTTTGAATCAATCTGAAACATAATTAATAGCTTGTGGATCCTGTAAATATATTATTATAATATAAAAATCTAAAGATTGTAATTATTGGTATATTATCAATAAAATCTCTTTGTTTTAATATGGATATCGAATCAACTTTGTGGATGATTCAATGTTTGTATTTTAGCCTTATTGTTAATCTAAATTAGAAGTGTTTGTACTAAATTTAGATACAAAAAAGTTTACAAAAACTAAAGATATTGATGTTTTTTGTGATAGTTAAACTGATAATTGTTTCTTTCCGATATAATTTGTAAATAGAAAATAATCTATTCTTATTAATAAAAATGGGAATTACATAAATATTTTATAGTTGAATAACTTTCATAATTTCACATTGATTCAATCTATTAATTTTAATACTTAGTGTTTATATGGAACAATAAGTAATGATGGAGAGTATCTCGTCACTTGGAATTCATTGTAAGAATGTATATAAATCAGAAAGTTTTAAGAATAAAAATGAAGTAAAATAATGATTTCATTATATTATTAACTTAAAATCTCATATACCATATTTTATTTATGTGATTATACTTATTAATTAATTAAAAAGCATTTAGTAAAATAATAAAATTATTTGTTCATTGTTTCATTTCTATTAATTTTAAATATAAAATTAATATCATTTCGGAACAATTGAATTATTCCAAACACTGCATGTATTTACTCCTCCTTATAAATATATATATCCATTAGCTCCCCAAGTAGTGGCCCATGAATTTTTAATAATAAGAGCTTCAGAAGTAAATCCTACAGCTAAAACGGCATGATTAATATCTCCTGTGCAAGCTGAGCTTGGAAAGATAAAATCATCATCTGTTGGTTTATAGTTTTTCCAATTAGAAGCTTAAACGGCAACTGAAATAGGACCCTCTTAAAGGGCAGCCTAATGAGCAGCTTCATTAGCGAAGATGGATACTGTAACACTGATATGATATACACCTCCTTTTATTAAACAATTCTTATTTTATTCAGCAATCTAAATATTTAATGAATGTTAAAACATATGGATAAGTAGCCTGGGTTGTTATGCCATTTCTTTTTACATAATTCAAGGCTCTAATTGGAGCACCTCCTTCACAACCTTTATTATAGTCGAGGATAGTTGAACAATCAACCAATTATTATTCAGAGAGGTCTGGGAGTTCATCGGTAGTGACCTTGAAAAATCCTTCTAATACACCAGTTGTACTAAATGCCCAACATGAACCACATTGTCCTTAATTTTTAACTGGAGTGACTGCTCCTCTTGATCTCCAATCTATTGGGGTTAAATTCACATTCTTGAACTCTAATCTTTATACATTTTAATCGGATGGTTCTAATTTCAAAGTTAAATATATAGAACTAAATTCTTCGTCAGTTAGGTCTGTAAATTGAGTTTCACCAAAGATTTAAGTTCTATATTTAGCATTTTTAGCATTTATGTCAACCAGATTTGACTAATATACCTATAATCTATATATATATTCTGATCCATGATATTTCTTATTGAAATTTGTTTAATATTTATCAAATTGTGTAATTAATTATGTTTCTAATTCACGGTCAAGATTATAAATTGATCCTGTTAATAGCATTAACCCAATTGCTAGAAGTGCATTCTTCATTAAAATAATTATAATTATATAAATCTGTATTGCTTAATAATATTTATTAGAAGCCAAAAGTTATAATATTTTGGATATTATTGTAATATTCCCTAATAAAGAAATCTATTAAGCAAACCATTCATAAGGATCATTATATTTTTTCATTTTACATTATATTTCATATAAAATTAGAATTATTGAAATATTAATGAAATGCCAATTGAAAAAGAGGTATGATATATAATATTAAATTATATGTGGCATGATATTATGATATATGAGTTTATTAATACACTTTTTGTATCAATAAAGGTTTAAATTAGTGCTAATAAAAATTACTACATGATATTTTTGAAATACATGCAATTAATATTACTTTCTAATTCTTATTCAATTTTTCTATTCCTATGTTTTTATTTGTGCTTTCCCTAAAACATTATTTAATTTTCTTGTAGGATATGGTATGATAAACGGTTATCTAATGCTCCATTAAATTTGAAGTCATATTTATTATTGAATAATGTTTATAATAATTCAAATGATTTTGAAAGTTATGAATTAGCCAAAAAATCGGCATAATAAATATTATAACTTTTGTAGTAAGTATTTCAATAAAATTAACTCTTTCTTTTATTAATATAAATTGAGAACAATCCTTCTGTGATGCTATTCTAAAGAAATAAGAAAAGGACTTTTTTAATTATTTTTAATAAATTTTAAATTTTTGAAACTTTGGAATTTATTATAACGTTTACGGAGTTTATTTCATAATAATTACCTTTAAGACTGACTTAGAATTTAATAAGCTACAGAATATGTTGGAGAAGGGATTAACGACTTCCTTTTATTAATATTTCCAGAAGGATAATTGTATTATTATTTTTTGGTTATTGAGCATTAATAAATATATAAATCAGGAATATATAGTGTTAAGGCTATAGTAATCATTCTGCTCAATTGGAATTTCATTTTCAATGCTTTCTAACCTCTAATGCGTTCTTTGAGTAAGAGACAAAATATTAACATCTAAATTATTTAATAAGAGCCATTCTGATTTTCTTGAGGTGGATTTTGGTGTAGACTCTATTTCATGATTTTACTGGCAAATAGAACTTAAACTAATTCCAATTGAGTGACATCGATCTATTTCTTCTCTTACCTTTATTGATCGTATTAAAAAATAAAGCCTCGATATTTCATAGAGTATATTTAAAAGTGTCATTTTCAATTCCATCTAACTTTTAATGTGTCTGTAAAAGTGTTCAAATTCTCTTGGATCTATTTGCTCATTTTTTAATTGTACTTTTATAATCTGCTATTTCCAATTTTTAAATATTTTGATATTTTAGAATTAAGGGTAATAAAATGAGATCAAATTATGTATGACCTATTAATGCAAGAAATAAGAATTTAATTATGTTATTAGAATTCTAGCCATAAATAATACTGACACAATTGACCCTATATTTGCCAATATATCTGCAATGTTTGGGTATTCCAATATTGTTTTATACTAATTCCCTCTCATCTCAATATAGACTACAGAGTACGTATCATAACCAAATGCTTACCGACAATAAGGTACAGAATTAGTTTGAGGTTGGATTTAGACTCCATTAACAAATTCATAATGATGTGGTTCTCCAAAAAGAAACTAATCTCTCACTTCATAATTTGTTGTCTAAAGATATGTATTCAAGGTATAGCAGTTCTCTTATTCAATTTGAATTAAAAATTCTTAAACACTTTATTCGATTGACAAGTTTTTAGAGTTTAATTAATTGTAATGAATTTGCATTACTATCGTATTTAATGGTTATTTAAAGAAATCATCTATTATTTCTTGGGATGCACATTTTTCATTTTCGTTCAATAGTTCTTCTGAACATTTCACAAAGTAAATATACATCTCTGAAGTAGTCATTAAAGAGCCATTTATTTAAGAAAATCCAAGTTTCATTTAAGGTATCAGAAATTAATTTCCATTGTAACTTGTTTCATTAGAAAATTTGAGTACCTCAGTATCAACAACAACATAATTTTCTGTGTAACTAATTAAAGGTATTAATATTTTGCTCTCGAAAGGATCAATTTTATCATTATGGTCTTTCCAATAATTAATCTTTATAATTCCATAATTCTAATCTAGCAATGAAAAATCAGATGCATAAAGAAATGTGGATACTTTAGGATTTAATTAATAAGTATTCCACTTGTAGAATTCCCAAATTGCATAGGCTAAACTTGATGAAAAAATCAATAATGATATTACCCCTCCAAATATACTTTTATATATTTAAGCATTCTGATCTACTCTTTAAAACAGTGGCGCTCCAAACACATCCATCTATTTTAAGATCTTGAAAATTTTCATATTAATTATTATTCGAAAAAATAATTGATGTATATACTTTTTTTCTACTGATCCTATGTAACCTTAAATTACAATAATTAGTATCAATTCTTGTCTAACTTGAAACCACAAAAAGATATATATATATTAATTATATTGATCGATTATTATTTAAATCATATTGTAAGTATAATTAAAATTTCTAAAATTTCCTTAACAAAAGTCAAATAACTTCTTGATATTTGATAAAACTTTTTTATATTTAAGGTTTTCTAAATGGATATTTATAATATAACAATTTAAAATTGGAATTTTGATCCAGATTAACCTAAATTTTTTATGATGGATTTACAAAAAAAGTTATGACAATCATATATTAACGAATATGGATAGAATTTTTGGTTCGAATAAGCATTTAACATGTTGTTTTCTAATTAAATAGAATTTAAATGATGTTTCGCATCAAATACACTGAAGGAAAAATTATAGAAACTCTTCATACAAGCCAAGACAAGGTCTAAACTTATATTAACTTAATTATTCAAGTTTACTGAATTTGGTTGATGTTTAAATTATTTCAACTACACTTAATAAACTTCATAATATAAAGAAATAATCTATTTGATGTAATTTTTTAGACTACAGAATCAGCAATCTTTCTTTCTGAAATATTCTAAAGACAATTACCCTACGAGTGTAATTTTGTCTTATTGATGATTCTTCAATTTCATAGAATTACTATGTGTATAAGCATTAAAATTAACAATCACATTAATCAATTAAATATTTAAATTTTATTTTTTAATAAATTCTGTCAAATTCTCAAGAAGTATGAATCAATATATTAAACCATTCAAATATGAGGAAATCTAATAAAAAAGTAAGATAGAAATAGCAGGAGTATGCAATGCAATATCATTTAATAAAGATTCGACAATTTTACTTGTTGGACTTGAGAGTGGATATATTATATAATATACTTTTAAATTGGGAGAACTTAAATTGATTTCTTAATGTTTTAGTTAACCTAGTTTGTAAAGGTTCATTGTTATGACAAAATCCAACTATTATTTTTCCTAAAATGGGAAATTAGATTTAACAATATGGACTTTGATTTCCATTAATAATCACAAGGCTCAATCATAAATTAGAAAATTGAAAGCAAACATTATCCTATTCAACTAGTAGGAGGATTTAATGATAACTGGAGACCATAAGGGGGAGATTAATTTCATAAAGAAACAAATGCTTTCCTGGAATGTTGTCGATACAGTCAAAATTTCTTGTTAGTTAATTTTTCTATCCTTCAATTATTCTGAAAATTCGATCATTGCCAAAATTGGAATTGGGAAAATTGTCATTTTATAGAAAATTAGTAAAGATGGTCATGAAAATTGGATCATTTTCCAATAAATTAAATCTTAAGAAATGCTTGATAATATGCTATTTATAAATGATTCAATGATAGCAGTATAAATATTAGGATCAAGGAACTGGCAGTTGTATAAATTAGGAAAAGACTAAAAAGAATACACCCTTAAAAAAACAATTGAAATACCAGCTTTGAATGAAGATTTAATATATATATTTAAAAAGTTTTATTAATCAGAGTTTGATATTTCAAATCAAAATATTGACTTTTTACATTTAAAATTTGGATTTGGAAAGCTATATTTGGCAGTACAATATAATGAAGAATTTAATTCAAAATTAAAGGTTGGATACTTCGATTCATTTAACAAAACAGGAGAATATGTCTCGTATTTTGATTCTTCTTCTAAGTAAGTTAAAATAGCTTAGTATAAACCATTATATTGGGAGTACAAAATGACTAAACGATAGGTTATGTAAGATGAAGATCCTTTACAAATTATTGCAATCAATACTGAATAATTAATACTGATAGGAAGTATAAATAAATCAATTAAAGTTTATTCTTTTTAAAATCAAACTTTTAAATTAATTTAATAATTAGATGATCACTTAGGTTTAATCCATTGTTTAGAATTTAATACAAAAAATAATACATTTGTATCTGGTAGTCAAGATAAAACACTTAGAATATGGGAATGGGATATGAATTTCTAAAAGTATATATGCTCAAAAATTTTAGAAGGTTTTGTGGAATTTTAATGTGTTTGCTTTAATATAGATGAAAATTAAATGATTTCAGGTGGACAGAATTAAGTATCATTTTGGAGATTCTAAGATACCAATTGGTCGAATTATTAAATTTTGGACCTTGATACCGATCATATATAAGGGTTAAGTTTAAGCCCTTCTTAGTAAAGATTATTAATTTGTTTGAAAAATTAAAAAATAGTAATTCTTCAATAAATAAATACAAATAATTAAATTATTTGGAAAGTTTTAAATAAGATAAATTTAAATATGCAAGGGCACTCTATATTTTTTAATAATGATAATCTAATAGCTTTTTAAGAAAATCGTAAACCGTAAATTCTGATATTTTAATTGTAAAGTGAAGAGAATAAAATTGATTAGAAGACTTAATTAATATTCAATTAAGATGATGATTTTTCTTCCATATAGTCTCCTTTTATTTATAATGAAAATAAAAAAAATTTTCTGGTAAAGATCAATTGCTATATATTCATTATTACTACCTCTGAAAATTAATACCTATCTTTATATTAAAAAATTTAGTTTAGCAATTGTGAAGTATAAGGTGTATTAAGCAAGGATGGAAAATTGTATATTTCTTGGAATTATAAAGAAAAAGAATTTCAAATCAGATAATTTAAGAGTTATTAAAATTAGCCAACATGAATTTTAATTTGTTATATATTGATATTAAACTATTATTTGCTCTTAATCACAATGCTTACTATTAGTTAATGTTTATAACAAATGAAATGCGAATCATGATTTTATTGAGTTTAAAAGAGGCTCTACTATGTAAATATTGAAATGAATGCAAGGCCAATATTTAATTTATTTTGAAATTACTTAAAATGAAACATGAATCTTCAAATCCAAAATAAAAATTCTATCTTTCTTACCATAATCTAATAGAAAATATATTAATTTTTATTATATAGATATGGTATTAATTTTCAATATTTCTAATTTTTTCATTTAGTTAGATTTAATAAATAAGAATTCATCATCACTAGATAGTCAAAATATTCACTTTTGAAAAGAATAAAAGTGTTTTGCATTGTTTTAGTATTGAATTTCCTTTATATTCTTTATCTTATCTTCTTTTGAACATGATAACATTCGAACTAGTTAGTATTAGTATCAATATTTATGATTTTGAATTTCATATATTTTTCAATTAATTTAGTATTTGAACTATGAACTTTTTATTTTCACTTAGTTCAAAAATTTAATTTTATTATAAGAAAGAATATTTATCATTATTAATAATTTATAGACTATGAAGTAAAGAATAAAAATTGTGTATTAAGAAGAGTTCAATTTAGAAAGCTTAATAGGTTTTAGAAGGATAAAAAAGAAAATCAATAATAAACCTATACAACTATTTAGTGATGAAGAGAATGAATCTGATTAGAGTGATGGAGATGGAGAGATTCATTTTTGGGAATTAGATTTTGTTATCAATTCACCAAATTCAAAATATATTGCATTTGATATTAGTAAAGAAAACGATTATAGTGAACGAAGCTATTTTCATGTAATTATAGATACATCAACGAAAAAGATTAAGTATTAAAGGAAATTTTATGATGATTCTAATATGTTATTTACTTATGATTCTAAATACCTTATAATAGAAGATGATTAAAAAAATACTCTTGTTGATTTAGAGACCTTTAAAGAAAAATTAATTGATTAAAAAGGTGACTCAATTATCTCAATCGATTCAGAAAACAACATTTATAAACTTCATTCTAAAGCTGATGATTCCTGCAATCTTGTAATTTACTCGATTTCTGATAATTCATAAAAAAAAGTTAATATGAGATAGGAGATAATTAAAGAAGAAATTATAAACTTTGAAAAAATTTTCTAAACTTATGTGTTTGTTGAAACTGAGAAATAAGTCTATTTGCTATCTTTAGAGAATCATAAAATAATTCAAAGAAGCTAATAAAAGCAATCTTACGCGGATAGCAAAAATTTTGTTTTTAAAAATTCAATTATTGTATAATAAAACGAGAAGCGAAATAAAATTTATGTTAAGATCCTCAATAATTTCAAATTAATTAGGAAATTTAAGAATGCTAATGATGCAATAATATTTAAAAACACCTAATCCATCTACAAATACAATTTTTGTTCAGCGAAACTTAAGGATGGAGATAAAATAGAAAGGACAAATCTCATAACAGGAGTTACTATTAAGCCTGATTTAGATTTAGGAAAATATGACAGATAGTTTCATTAATAAGTATTTATAACATAAAATTATTTACTTGATTTGTCAAAAGCAAAACTAAGATATTTTAGGATTTCAGATTGAACCAAAATACTTATTATTTATGCTAATATAATTAAATCATTATTGTTTTATTAATATTTTTTTCATATCCTAGTAGATTTGTAAATCATTTTATCTTATTTATTTTCTCTTTACCTAGTTAAAGTACATATAATAATTATATAAATGTATTTATGCAATCTACAATAAAGAAGACTTTAATTTCCTGAGTATTTTATATTGTAAAAGTTGGAGTAATTAAATTAACTCAAATTTGCACTATATTGTGTGAAGAATTGCAATATTTATGATTATGTTTATATATATTCTTAATGAATCACACTTTTATTTTTAACATAGATAAAATAATTACATATATATAATATAATTTACCTTAAGTCTTATTAGGATGCAAAGTAAAGACATAAACCTTAAATGTTCAGTTTCGAATCATGATGCTCTTGTACAATTAGTGTGTTTTGAACCAGATTGCAAAGCATTTAGATTCTTTTGTATTTAGTGTTAAAAGGATGGAATTCATCAAAATCATCTCTAATAGTGTTTTGAATTACCTATTTTGTTTGAGTATGTGTAAAAGGTTGGACAAGAATGTGATAATCTCCTAGAGATATTAATTAAATAATGGAATTCAATAAAAAATTAATTTTAAACATTGATTGAAGGTATCAAGAAAAAATATATCATCTCAAATACATCCTTGATTTAGCTTAATTTTTCGTTGTTGAATTAAACCTTAGAAGAATTGATAAATTTTCAATCATAAAACTCTTTGATTAAGAATAAAATTTAAAATACCTTATTTGATTTTATTGAAAAAATAGACAAAGTAGAGCAAGAAATCAAACTACATGAAACACCAATTCCATTTCATCTATCTAAATAAGACATAGAGAAATCATAAGAATTATTTTATAAAGGTATTATAAATCTAATAATTTAGGATATGAATTATATTAAGATAATGATATGTATGACGAAGCTATCGTCATATTAGATCAAGCAATCAATTTAAATCCAAATAACTGCCAGGCAATCTGGTGTAAAGGTATAAAATTTATAAATTTATTAGCTGCTAGTTTAAGAATGCTTGGGTAATATAAAAAAGCAATTATTTGGGCTGACAAAGCATTATTGTTAGATCCAAAACATAATTTTTCTCTTTATTGCAAAGGTAGAAGGTTATTTGATATTTTAGCTGCATGCTTAAGAATGTTGGATCAATATGAAGAAGCAATTCTTTGGGCCAACAAAGCATTAGCTATAGATCCTTAAGATTGTTTTGCATTATCATGTAAAGGTATTTACATTTAAATTCTAAAGGATCTTCACTACGATTGCTGAAAAGGTTCAACGAAGCAATTAAAATTATTAATGCATCTTTAACTATTAATCCAAATCATTTTGATTCATTAAAGGAGAAAGGTTTTCATAAGATTATGTATAATTTAGGTGCATGCTTACATGATGAACATTAATATTAATAAGCAATGTTATTCTACGAATAGGCTTTGAGGATTTTTCCAGGTGATCAATGGACCAAAGATAGATTAGGTATAGATTCCAATTAATTGAAGATAAATGTTTGCAAGCTCTAAAGCAAAAGTAAAAATGATCCCTTTTCAAGAGTCAATTATTAATATTTTAAAGTTTAATTTATTATCAATTCGTGTAATAAGTCATTATAAATGGACACAGAAGAAACTTTAAGATCCTTAATCTATTTTCCTCCGCAACAGCCATCCTTCACTAAATATCTATAAGAAATGTTAGAAATTATTTCAAACAGAAAAAAAATTAAATATGTCTTATTAGTATATTAAAAATGGAGATGTTAAATATTTCTTATGCTTATTAGTGATAAGTTATAATTTAAAACATCCAAGATTTTTATTAATTTTTATATTTTATATATTTATTGTGGAAAATCGAACATAAAATTTAATGCATTTTGTTATTTGACAATGTCAGTAAATTATAATGAAAAACAAAATTTCAAATAATCAATATTAATTGATGAATAAATGAAGTGATTGAGAATATTAAAAAGTTTTATTAAATTAGTTATAATAATTTGATATTCAAACTTTATTAAACAAATAATGTTTCGAATAAATTTTAAAAATGACCAGAAATATTAATATACATTAATTGTAATAGACAATTTAGAATTTAAATGACTGAGTAAAAGGTTCTTCAATAATTAAATCTAAATTATGACAGAAATATGACTTATACTAGGTTTTGTTTTTAAATGAGGATATTACAGAAACATTAAGTATATTTAAAAAAAATAAGAAAATTTTGTATTGAATATTATAATAAAAAGAAAAAAATTCATTATATAAATTTATGAATTAATTAACTCATACAGAATAAAGATTGTAAAGAATTAAATGAACTCAGAACATTAATAATTCTAATGAGCAATTTATAAATATTTAAATTATTAAATTGGATGAAATTACAACTTTTGAATAATCCTTTCTTATAAATATACTTGCCCAAAGAGACTAAAATTCATGTTTGAAAAATTTTGGGAGTCATTATTATATCCTTTCCAAGGGAAAGTTCGAAAACAAACATTCTTCATTAAATTTACTTTGAATATCATAAAGGTATAAATTTAAACTCGATTGACAATTTTTATTTATCATTAATTTTATATTTATTTTAATTATGTCTGCAATTGTAATTAATACAGGACTATCAGATTGGGTGCTTGTAGATTCAAGTTTCAACACTAATTTTGTCTCTTCTAATAAGTGGTTGATATCAAAATCGTATTTAACCCTCGATAATGCCGGTACAATTTAATACAAAAGTTGCCCTTTAAATCCTATCAAATTTGCTTAACTTACGATAGGGAATTAAAGAATGGATAAGAAATTTATGGGAAATAGTTGCTAATCTGAAGTAATAGTTGATATTTTTTTTGATGATGCTGATAATTCAAAGAGCAATGCAGCTCTATTCAAAATTAACCATATAATAACCCCATCTTAATAACAAGTATTGTATCAAAGGACCTACAAATTAATGGATTTAACTCAAAATGCAATAAGAATATGTGATAGTAGAAGCACATCTCTAGATTTTTTGACTGTTGTTGGTACATCTTATGTTTAATCGCAATAATAATTCAATATCTCAATATCTCTCAAGAGCACGACTACAATATACGAAATTTGATTGTCTATGTCAAATATTGTTTACCAACTTGCTTGAGTTGTTCAAGTTCAACTAGCTGTTTAACTTGTTCGTATGGTACTCCATTGCCAGATGGTCTTGCAATTGTGATCCTCTTCATTTGTTTTCCTAAACTGGAATTGGATGCAGACAAGAATGCGAAAGAGATTATTTTATAGCTAGATCAGATAATATTTGTGTTCCAGATAGAAGAATTAAATCGAATGTTTCATATTTTGAAACTCCAACTTTTAATGCTTATACTTTATTTTAATTTATACATGATTATTAAAATTTTAGAGGTACTCCATTATTAATTTACTCTTGTAGTTCTACTAATTATGTTGGTAGTTTGCTTTATAATGAGGGAATGAGGATTTCAAGTTCAAGTGTTATTTGTTCTACTCATGATTTAATTAGAATTGAAGCGATTCTTCGCACTTACTCGCTTACTCCAAGACTTTTGTTAAAAGGATCATAATTAACTTAAGCAACTTCAATCTGGGGATTCCGAAACATCACTATTGATAATGGCAATTGCAAAGAAAATTGTTTAGTGTGTGCTGATTTCTCCTCATGTCAACAATGCCAGACTGGCTATATTTTATATCAAAATGGATGCGTTAGTTCTTGTCCTGTTCATTCTATTAATTGCGTTGATTATACTGATATAGGAATAAGATAAAATTGATTTTATTATTTTGTTTGAAGATATCATACCTTGTAACTATATATTTAATTCTTAGACTCTCGTTATTTAGCAAAAGAATTTTATAATTTAAACATGAGTACATCAGATATCAACCATTTCTTTGACTCAACTATTTCTACTGGTAATAACTTCATGATAGGATAGAAGTTTTCTATATTTCCAACTTAATTTGTTTTAGGAGGTATTATGGTATGGAGTAATGCTATATATTAAAAATCATGGAGTATATGCTGTTACAATTAGATTTAAATTAGATTTAATGTTACATATGGCGATGGATACAGTGGAGTTTTTTATTACAAATTATAAGGTGTTAAATCTGCAGCTTATTCAAAACCTATATCAGGTGGTTACAACTTTATTGGTAGGACTCAATCAGAAATAACAAGATATTTTGAAATCTTTGAGAATCCATTCTAAGAGTCTATTTTAGATATTGAATTTCAATGTACAGGTACATCGGCAGATCCAAGAGATGAATTTTGTGCTATTTCTGATTACTTTATTGTTGTACACTATGTAAACGTCCTGATTATATTTTAAGTGTCCCCCATTTTGTCTAGCTTGTACTAATTGGGATACATGTACTAATTGGGAATCTGTATAAGAATTGCACCTCTTTTAATTCTCAATTTACAAATTAATAAAATTAACATAACTGCAATCTGATCTAAGGAACCTATAATGATTAAGAATTTTATGAATGTGTATTAAATTGTGGAAATGGAGTACTGGATGCTAATGAATAATATGATGATAGGAATAGAGAGATTTTAGATGGATGTGATGAATTTTGTTAATTAGAAGATGATTATTTATTTGATCACTTAACTCATTCTATATAAAAAGAACCATATATTCAAGTTTAGAAGAAATAATCAAATAATAATCAGTATTCTCTTTAGATCAATTAATATTAAGAATAATTAAATGCCTCAACTTTAACTGTCAAGATTGAAGGATTTTCAAATNATTCTTCGCACTTACTCGCTTACTCCAAGACTTTTGTTAAAAGGATCATAATTAACTTAAGCAACTTCAATCTGGGGATTCCGAAACATCACTATTGATAATGGCAATTGCAAAGAAAATTGTTTAGTGTGTGCTGATTTCTCCTCATGTCAACAATGCCAGACTGGCTATATTTTATATCAAAATGGATGCGTTAGTTCTTGTCCTGTTCATTCTATTAATTGCGTTGATTATACTGATATAGGAATAAGATAAAATTGATTTTATTATTTTGTTTGAAGATATCATACCTTGTAACTATATATTTAATTCTTAGACTCTCGTTATTTAGCAAAAGAATTTTATAATTTAAACATGAGTACATCAGATATCAACCATTTCTTTGACTCAACTATTTCTACTGGTAATAACTTCATGATAGGATAGAAGTTTTCTATATTTCCAACTTAATTTGTTTTAGGAGGTATTATGGTATGGAGTAATGCTATATATTAAAAATCATGGAGTATATGCTGTTACAATTAGATTTAAATTAGATTTAATGTTACATATGGCGATGGATACAGTGGAGTTTTTTATTACAAATTATAAGGTGTTAAATCTGCAGCTTATTCAAAACCTATATCAGGTGGTTACAACTTTATTGGTAGGACTCAATCAGAAATAACAAGATATTTTGAAATCTTTGAGAATCCATTCTAAGAGTCTATTTTAGATATTGAATTTCAATGTACAGGTACATCGGCAGATCCAAGAGATGAATTTTGTGCTATTTCTGATTACTTTATTGTTGTACACTATGTAAACGTCCTGATTATATTTTAAGTGTCCCCCATTTTGTCTAGCTTGTACTAATTGGGATACATGTACTAATTGGGAATCTGTATAAGAATTGCACCTCTTTTAATTCTCAATTTACAAATTAATAAAATTAACATAACTGCAATCTGATCTAAGGAACCTATAATGATTAAGAATTTTATGAATGTGTATTAAATTGTGGAAATGGAGTACTGGATGCTAATGAATAATATGATGATAGGAATAGAGAGATTTTAGATGGATGTGATGAATTTTGTTAATTAGAAGATGATTATTTATTTGATCACTTAACTCATTCTATATAAAAAGAACCATATATTCAAGTTTAGAAGAAATAATCAAATAATAATCAGTATTCTCTTTAGATCAATTAATATTAAGAATAATTAAATGCCTCAACTTTAACTGTCAAGATTGAAGGATTTTCAAATAGAGATTATAATTATAGTATCATTGAAACAACAGCTAATTTGATTTGAACTTTACATATAAAAAAACAATAGAACCTGAGAATATCATTCACATATCTATCTCATATAAATAATAATATAGAAAAAGATCATTGGACGAAATATTCAGTAAGGATATAATAATAGTTCCTTAAAGATAAGTATATGTAACTGATGAATAAAAAATACAAGGGGAGATGATGGCTTCAACTTACAAAAGTGTTTTTTCAGCTTAAATATATTTAGCACCTCTAGCAATATTATTTGGAGGATTCAAATTCTTTTTGGCTCTCCTTGATATAATGAGCTGGATGAATAACTTCTATTTCTTAAATGTAAATTATCCAGAGAATGTAAGGATTATATTTTAGTAAGCTGAATGAAGCAATATTATTAATTTACCATCTTTAAATCTTTTCAATAAACCAACTGATTCTTATTATTTCTAAGCTCCCATCAAGTTTGTTGAAAAAGAAGTAGATCCTTTATTATTAAACAATCTATAAACACCAATAATTTTGGCATTTCAAGTGATATTTATACTTTATTATTAAGTTTTAGATTCCAATTATTTTTTCCAATACTGTATGTATACTTATGTTCTAAGTGTAATTTTTATCAAGTTAGTTGAAATTTTTTGGCAAAAGAAAAATAAAAAAATAAGGACTTAACCTACCTTCTTTTAATTAGGCAAAGAAGAAAAAAATGAAGAATTTTAAAAGGATTAATAATTTGTTAGTATTACGCATCTGCATAAAAACTTGGATATACCAAAATCTCTTTAATCATTCTTTAAAAAATGTATTTAAATAAAGAGTAATTTAATGGCTAATTTAATAAGATCCTTTTCATTAAGTAATTTAGCTATTACTTTAGCAGTGATGCTTCAGATTACTAATTATTGTTCATTATACATTTTAAATTTTTTTATTATTATAATTAATCATAGTAAACGNTTAGATATTGAATTTCAATGTACAGGTACATCGGCAGATCCAAGAGATGAATTTTGTGCTATTTCTGATTACTTTATTGTTGTACACTATGTAAACGTCCTGATTATATTTTAAGTGTCCCCCATTTTGTCTAGCTTGTACTAATTGGGATACATGTACTAATTGGGAATCTGTATAAGAATTGCACCTCTTTTAATTCTCAATTTACAAATTAATAAAATTAACATAACTGCAATCTGATCTAAGGAACCTATAATGATTAAGAATTTTATGAATGTGTATTAAATTGTGGAAATGGAGTACTGGATGCTAATGAATAATATGATGATAGGAATAGAGAGATTTTAGATGGATGTGATGAATTTTGTTAATTAGAAGATGATTATTTATTTGATCACTTAACTCATTCTATATAAAAAGAACCATATATTCAAGTTTAGAAGAAATAATCAAATAATAATCAGTATTCTCTTTAGATCAATTAATATTAAGAATAATTAAATGCCTCAACTTTAACTGTCAAGATTGAAGGATTTTCAAATAGAGATTATAATTATAGTATCATTGAAACAACAGCTAATTTGATTTGAACTTTACATATAAAAAAACAATAGAACCTGAGAATATCATTCACATATCTATCTCATATAAATAATAATATAGAAAAAGATCATTGGACGAAATATTCAGTAAGGATATAATAATAGTTCCTTAAAGATAAGTATATGTAACTGATGAATAAAAAATACAAGGGGAGATGATGGCTTCAACTTACAAAAGTGTTTTTTCAGCTTAAATATATTTAGCACCTCTAGCAATATTATTTGGAGGATTCAAATTCTTTTTGGCTCTCCTTGATATAATGAGCTGGATGAATAACTTCTATTTCTTAAATGTAAATTATCCAGAGAATGTAAGGATTATATTTTAGTAAGCTGAATGAAGCAATATTATTAATTTACCATCTTTAAATCTTTTCAATAAACCAACTGATTCTTATTATTTCTAAGCTCCCATCAAGTTTGTTGAAAAAGAAGTAGATCCTTTATTATTAAACAATCTATAAACACCAATAATTTTGGCATTTCAAGTGATATTTATACTTTATTATTAAGTTTTAGATTCCAATTATTTTTTCCAATACTGTATGTATACTTATGTTCTAAGTGTAATTTTTATCAAGTTAGTTGAAATTTTTTGGCAAAAGAAAAATAAAAAAATAAGGACTTAACCTACCTTCTTTTAATTAGGCAAAGAAGAAAAAAATGAAGAATTTTAAAAGGATTAATAATTTGTTAGTATTACGCATCTGCATAAAAACTTGGATATACCAAAATCTCTTTAATCATTCTTTAAAAAATGTATTTAAATAAAGAGTAATTTAATGGCTAATTTAATAAGATCCTTTTCATTAAGTAATTTAGCTATTACTTTAGCAGTGATGCTTCAGATTACTAATTATTGTTCATTATACATTTTAAATTTTTTTATTATTATAATTAATCATAGTAAACGGCTAATGATTTAATTTTAAAACTTAATATCATTGCTGCTTTTGGATTTCTCATATTTGTTTTTATTTACTTTATCTCTCATACACAATATCATAAGCACATAAAATCAAATTATTGAATACATAATTTAGTTCAAGATATTGTTGTTTCTATGAGGAAATGAAAACTGAATCAGAGACTGCAATAGCATACTTTTTTCTCAATTTAATAAGGAAAACCATTTTTATTGTTTCCACTGTTATTTTATATTTTTTCCCTATCTTTTAAACCTTCTTATGCTTTTTATCATGCTTAATCAATAACTTTTTGTTATTATCAAATTACCCATATGAAACATGAAATAATATATCTTAACCTTAGTCCCAGATTTTTGTATAAATATAATTGTGGGTTGAACAATTATTTTTGCATTTTAAGACAGGTTCAAAATATTAAATGATGAATCTATTTACTAAATAGGATGGGTTGTAGGAATATGTATTTATTCGTCAATTTGATTGTAACTTATCTGTTTAATATATGAAATAATGCTGTCATTTTCGGAGGAATTAAAATCATTGATTGCATATTTGAAAAACAAATGTATAACATTAAGATATAATATTAATAATTATTATTATAACTTATTTGAATCTAATAAAATTCTATAATGTTTGCTATTAGAATCATAAAATATATCGATAATGAATATATTGCTTAATAAGTTTGATTATTTTCTCAACAAAACAAGATCCTTAAATTATATATTATTCTTAAATATGATGATACTCATTTAGATCTCTCATTTATTCAATAACTTGAATATCTAAAATTACTATTAAATTTAATCGAATAAAACTAGATATTCGCCATTTTTTGTTAATGCCCCACACATATTATTAATTCCACAATCGTGTCTACATATAATTGTAAATATATCTTATTTTTAATGGTTAATTATGTATATTTTATGCTTATGTCTTACTATTAATATTTTGAGTTCTTCATTATAAATTATAGGGAATTAAGAGTTATCATTAAACTAAATATTCTAATCTAATTAGATTAGAGAGTTAAACTATTCTTCAAATTTTCCATTTTATTATGAAAATACCTAAATTTTATCTTAACTCTTTCCATAAGATGCCCAAAGAAATTTAGAATCATTGATAAATTGTAGTTTCAATCCATAAATTGATGATTTAATTACTTATTAATGTTCCCATTTATTATTTGCTTATTTCTGCCATAATATTATTTCCCCAAAAGCACAAGATGCCAATAAAGTTTCAGATTAATTGAAATTTAATTAGCGCACTTAATTCTCATGCTTCTAGTAAGAATCACTATATATGAGTTTATTATTATTAAGATCTACTTCCCAAAAGATTAGTTATTTATCATATCCTCCTGAAATTAACTGATTTTCTGATTTATTTAAAATCAAACATAAAACACTATCACTATGTTCTTCAAATGGTTACGAGTTTTTCCATTCATAATTATTGCTCTATTTCCAACAAATAATAGTTTAATCCTCAGATCCAGAAATAAAACTATTAAGTTATTTGCTATATACTAAGCAATTTATATTACCCTAATGCACATCTTAAGAATGTAATAATTCTAATGTTTCTTCACTAAATTTCCATATTTTAATAGCAGATTTCTCATTTGAAACCATTATTGAACCAGTTTAATTAAAGGCTATTGTAGAACAATTAGATAATTATTTGTTTGAATCATTAATTAACTGAATTCTAAATTACTAACATTTCAATAATTCTTAATCCTCTTCACCAATTAACTGTTATTAAATAGGATTAAACTCTGACTATTCTTCAATCAATATTTGTTAATTAGTATTCTACAAATTCTTTAATTCTTATTCGAATTACTCACTTTTCTTAAATGATTAAAAATACTTCAACTTTCTAATAATTTTCCCTTCATATTATTAATTAATTTTTTCTATTTCATCAATCAGTGGTAAACATGAAAATAAAGTCTATCTTTTTCCATTTATTTCTTTTTCCATTTCCTTATAGAAATCATATGCTAAATATTGTTATCCTGTTTATACTAGATTTTCTACCCACATTTTAGTGTTGTTAATGAAATTATCCAAATAGTTAATTACTTCACTTTTCAAAGAATCAAATAAATATCCCATTTTTTCAATTGCTTTTCTATTTATATCTATGAGTTCTTTCACCTTATTTTTCTTTTAGTTTTGATTTCTTTGTATCTGTTCTAGAAAGTCGTTTAAACTGCAAACTTGACTCTGATTTGTAAAGCATAATTCACATAATAGCCTTTTATTACTTTGAATATTTTTTTCAAGATTAATCATTTGGATTGGAAGATTGTGATTCATTGAACACACAAGATCTTCCACTTTTTGAATCATTTTGGCTTGTATCATTAATTATCAAATAATTATTAATTAAAATATACTATATCAAATATAACTATTTTTATGACTATAGCTTAATCTTAATGATTATTAGTTTAATCTTTTAATAGTGAACTGTCTTATAAGCAAAAAATCTAAAGATAAAATAAAGGAAGATATGAGTAAAATATTAGATAATTAAATATTTTAAAGTGCTGTAATATCTATATTTATTCAAAATGCAATGATACACTAATTTTAATACAAAAATTAATAAAGCAGAATCTAATTTTTATTTAATTTCACAGCTGAATTTGACAAATTTAATGAGCAATCAATTTCCCACATAGTATTTAGAGAAGAAATTGATTAAGTATTTATTATTAGATGGTTATATTATCTTAAAACTTTTTCATATATATATTTATGCATGCAAGTCTAAACAAATTTCAGTTATTTCCCAGTTATGTGTAAATAAACTGTGATAAATTGAAGGAAATGTTGTTGAGATTGATATGAGAGAATAAGTAAATTAATTCAATAGTAAATATAGACATTGAACTTTCTAATTAGAAAATGAAAGTAGCTGAAATAAATAAAAAAACAGATAGTGATTAATACCCTTATGTGTTCCATCCAAATAAACTTATTTTGTCATGCTTAGATATTATCTAATTTCACAATAATTAAAATATTTGTAAAGAGGGGAATATTGGAATTTTAATAAGCTTTAATTGTTTTACTGAAATGAATTAAAAATTTTGTAGAGGTAAATGAAATTTATTAATTCAAATAAAACAGTCTTAAATTTTTTAATTAATTATGAATTGTATTAAATGAAAGATTGAGTTATTGGAATGTATGAAATTTTATACAATTCATTGTTCTAATATTGTAATTAATAAAATATTATATAACAACTAAAAACATCCTTTGATGTTTCTAGACTTAGTATTCAATTTTTGTTGCTCTAAACGGCAGAAAGATGATAAAGATACAAAATCTTAAAATAGTAACAAAAGTCAAGATGAGTAAATAATAGAACAGAAAAGAATGGAGTTGGACCTTGGGAAAGGAGGTCCTAATTAGATATAAAGTAGCAAAATATTGAGTTTTATAAGAATCATAACCATAGTCATCTATAGTATCGCCTACGGACAACTATTTCTAATTGAATGATGAGAAGTAATAAAAAAAGAGTAGCTTCGAAGAAGATAATATCGATGAGAATCAATTTAATTTTCAAGGTAATGAGGAACCAAAATTGAATACTAACCATGTTAAAGATCATTTGGGAAAACGGTAAATAAAATAATATCAAAAAATAGTTCTAAGTCTTAGGAGAGATAAGAGAAGGGTTTGAAAAAGAAAATCAGCAAGAACAAAGAGAAAGTTGAAGGAGATAAAAGAGTGGTTAAGATTTGGTAACCAGAGGAGGATTAGAGGTTGAGGAAACTCTATCAAGAACATTAAGGAAATTGGAGCAAAATAATTTAATTTATGCCAGACAGAAACATTTCACAATGTTCTTAGAGATGGAGAAGAATAAATCCAATATAAGTGAGTTAATAATTGTATTTTAGAGTAAATAAAAGTGGACTTAAGATGAGGATACAAAGTTAGTATCTATGGTCTAAGTTGAAGGCAAAAACTGGACTAAATTGGCTAAGAATTTCCCAGGAAGAACAGGAAAATAAATTCGAGAAAGGTATCTCAATAAATTAGATCCAACTCTTAATTTTGTAGCATGGACTGAATAAGAAGATAAGGAAATAGTGAAATATTACAATTAATATGGTGCCAAATGGAGTTAGGTTGCCTCACATTTGAAAGGAAGATCGGTATTCATTATAGATATTTAGGAAAATATGGTGAAGAATAGGTTTTATTCACATATTCAAAAACATCTCTTAGGTAGATAAAACAAATACTAGATTATTTATAAATAAGGCAAGAATTAAAAATAGCAGAATGGCAGTTCATAAATGATTGAAGGAAGTCAGAATATGGAAGTTGAATATTCTGACACTTCTAATAGTGATATGAAGTTAGTTCATTCTGAAAATTATTCAGTATTGTTTATTTCTTAATATTTTAGTCTTCTAATGGATCAAGCACATTTAATTTTTCTTATTATGACGATGATGAATTTAGTGGGAATGGAGAAGATCTGGGTTATGATAATTAATTTGATCATGAATTCGCTGAAAAAGCAAGATTATTTTGAATTGTTATATTTTTATCAAATAAAATTATGATTTAGTTGAGACCTTAAATTTCACTAAAAATTGACAAAATCTCTAAAGATGGTATATGCATTAGAATATTCGGTTGGTTTCTATTCTATGTCATTTTGTAGATAATGATGATAAACAACCGAAGAAAATATTTATCCTATGATATTAGATTAAGTAAGTTTGAAGGAGATGCTAATCAAAATGAATATAAGAATTTAAATTATACCAATGCCACTGGGAAATACACATTTCCTATTCAAAATATAAGCGAAGTGGAATTGAATCTAAATGTTACAATCAATAAGGTATTAAAATCATTTCATCATTCTTAGAATGACTATTATAATTTAGAACATGTCATGGTTAAGGAAGAGGAAATACTTAATGATATGAAGTACTAATTAATAGTGCATTCAGAAGATTAAACTCTTGTGCTCAATGAAACCCATACGACTTCATTGAAATGCAAATCTAAAAGCTAATAAATTTAATGCACTGGCTATCTAGAATCAATTATCAATAATGGCTATAAGGATCTCCAATTCCAATTACTTATCTTCCATCATAATGCTTTAGCCATTCACTCTTAAAATTTAACATTACTATATGAGAACAATCAATATTTCACTATGATTTTGATTTTTTAAGTATCCCTATATTACTACATTTCTAGGTTCTCTTCCTCTTTTTGATTCTGTATGGGATATATTATTTCTTCAGCAATTTGAGTGATTACCCTAAACAAATTTGGCCAAAAATGTAATTACTAATATATACTTAGACATTAATGGCTATTAATATTATTGATAGGAATGATACTCTACAACTTTCCAATCCTACTGATTCGAAATCAATATGGCTAATTTGTTCACTATTACTCGAACATAGTTGAATTATTCATTCAATCAGGATTATTCTACTTTTGGTTATCCATTTTTGAATTAGAACAAACTTAATCTTCTGAGGAGGATGGACAAACTACTACTTCTAATTAATTTAGTATATGGAATCTATTAAAATTGCTTTTGGTAATGTTGTATACAGTTCCTCAGGCAATAATGGATACATTTATTTTTATAATGCAAGAAGAATTAATGTAGTATGATCCTAGAGTTGAGATTCCATTTTACAATATTTACTTGAAATTTGTAATTTTAAGTTTAGTTGGATACTCTGTATGTTTTGTATTTCTTCTATATAAATCATTTAATCGATATGAGAAATCAATATTAATAACTGAACCTCCTGTTATCGAAAATGATAAATAACATGATCCATTTTACGAAGGTTAATAAATAAAAGAGTAGGATGGTTAAGGAGAGATCAGGAATTATAAATTGTTGCATATTTTATCAACAATTTGTTTTTCAGCTTTAGTCTATTATCAATTAGTTACAATATTGGAGCCAATTGTTTTAACAAGTTCTAGTACTATAAATGAATGGGCATTGATAAATATATATTTATGCATGATTGTGCAATTATACATGCCTTACAATCAGCCATTTGAAGATGAATAACAAAAATCAATGTATGGAGATGTGGAAATGGATGATTTAAATATGTAATAATTAGTTTAATCTTTATAATTAGTAAGAGTACTAGGGTTAAACATAAAAATTTAGCCAATAAGAAGTTTTATACAAAGTAGAAAGATGAGCAAACAGGTTAAGAGGATGATATTCAAATATGAGTAGATGTATTATATATTGTAATTGCTTAATAAATAACAATAATGGTAAATCAATTGTATGAGGATGTCGATGTTTAAGAGGATGTTGAACTAAAATCATAATTTTTGGGTTTCTTGATTTTCTTCTTAATTTTTGTGGACTTACCATTATTTTGAGTAATAGTCTTTTTATTTTTTGACAAATATTGGTGCTGTTATTTTTGTTATTCTTCTTCTTCAAATTTGATGATTGTATTAGGAATATACTTCTATTTTTTTTTATTTTGTGCTCTCTATATTAGGTTATCATCGTCACTCTTATCCGATTATTCAATTTTAGGTGAATCAAACTCATAGATGTCTAATTGAGCTGATAAAGATGCACATTTATCATAGAGTTTAGCTAATACTTTATAATATTTTGTTTCGCTCACAACTCTCATAAATTGTAATATTAAATAATTAGATTGGCAATCTAAAATAGAACCTAAATTTTTGGAAAATCCTTGTATTTATTGAATTATTAATAAATAATTAATCTGTTATAAAAAGATGAATAAATGCCCATTTTATATACAGGCACTTATTAATGATAGGTGATATTATGAAATATACTATATCTTCATGCTAATAATCCTTAAGTTATTTGATGCATCAACTTGTCTTAGTTTTTTTCATCTGGTACAAAACATACTTTAGTTCCATTACTGCCAGCCAATTGTTATAGTGTTTCTAGATATCTTACTTACATGGCAGTCTTAGAATCCAAGAATTCAGAGGCTTGTCTCATCAACTTGGCTGACTCAACATCAGCTTTGGCACTAATCAATTTACCTTGGGCCAATCTCTATTCAGTGGCTGCAGACCCTAATGCTTATTAGAGATCTGCAGACAATTGGATATCCTTCATGTAGATGTTATCAATTAATACACCCCTAAATTTATTATTCTATATACCAATCTTTTACATATTCATCAACCTAATCTTCAATCTAATCTGCAACTTCCTACCTTTTCTCAAGCAAATCCTAGAGCACAAAGGATCCCACTGTGTTTTTGAGGACTGCATAAGTAATTTAACGGACTGCTTAATCATAGTTCTCAACTCTATAAACAGCAAACCGTGATGTTTTGATTCTGTAATAAACGGATGCATCTATGGAAATAGTTACATTATCTTTGGTCATAACAGACTAAAGAATATGCAATGTACATTACTTATCTATCTAAATCGATAACTGTAATCCTCAAGTCTAATTGTTCTAAGGTGTCTGTACAAGGATTGACATAATGCAAGCCTGGTCTAACTACTTTGATATGTCTTCCAAATCTTTTGAACAATCCTTCAGTACCTAAAAATTAGATTGGAATTCTCAACCTTATTCAACTTCTTAGTATGGATAGTTAACACACATACAAAAAATACAAGGAATCCAGGTTCTTAAACAACCAAAACATTCTCCCAAACAGTATTAGCATTTGGCATATGCAATCATTGTTTGATTATCTTAGAATTCTGGAACTTCTAAATGAGCTATCTTTCTTCTTGAATGAGCATTCATATTCAATCCAATTTATTATTATTGAAAATCAAATATGAAATATAACCACCATCAAATTGTTGAAAAGTGGTTATCACGATTCAGAAAATGTCTTTCCCTGTGTTATACGAGTGACTCACAAATGATCACTATGGAATTGCATAAAGGAAATGTTTCGTTGCTCAGTGTTCCTTAAAACAAGAATATTTTCAACACACGTAAATATACAGTACATATATTCATCTATAATCCATTTATTAGTTCCTCAACTTTCTACCCAAAACAATATTCACAGGAATAGTCAGATTTGGAAACATCTATCTCCTTGCCATATCATTGATCATGCTCATTGATCCCACTCTTTCCCCCTTCTATCTTTGGATCACTATCTTTCCAATAGGACTCAGTGTACTCATTTATGTTTTAATTGAATTCGTACTTGATATTCGTAGGCAAAGTCAGGATCACAAAATCAACATGCAAACAACTTCAAGAGGAGCCAAAGATGGTTCCATAGAAACTATCAAATGGAGTGATATTCAAATTGGAGATGTTTTATACCTAATTAAAGGAGATATAGTGCCAGCCGACATCATACTCTTAGATACTGGATAGGTAAGAGATCGAGAAGCCATTTGTATGGTAGATACTCAATATTACAATGGTAAATCAAGTCTAACCAAAAAGAAATCATCCTATCTAACCTAATTGATCGTCTTGAGAACCAGATTAAAGAATTAATTCCCAGAATACAAAAAGATGTTAACTGGAAAATTAGAATACGAAGCACCTAATGGAGATACCCAAAGTTTTTATGCTAGATTGAAATTGAAAAAAGATCCAAAAAACGAAGAATTAACAATAGACAATTTCATTCCCAAAGGAACTAAAATTAAATAGACTTCCTGGTTATTTGGTTTAGTTGTCTATGTTGGCAAAAATACTAAAAATATGCAAAGTAGTCATTACGAAGCATAGAAGCAGAGTTTTGAAGAAAAACAATGCAATTTCTATTCCTTCCTTATGGCATGCTTATCATTATTTTTTACATTAATATCTATAATAGTATTACTAGCAAGATCTGATGAAAATAGTTTTGCTTTAATAATAGACAGCTACACAACTAATGGAATGAAAGTATTTTAACTGGCTATACTGTATGCTCAGTTAATTCCAGCTACTTTGTATATATTGTTTGACATAGTAAATTTCATATCATTATTTAAATTTGAAATTAACCAAATTGAAGATAACCTAGTCAAGTATGTGAAGATCAATTCATCAAATAATTTATGTGATTTTGGACATGTTGACTATATGTTAATAGATAAAACAGGCACATTAACTACTTCTTACAACAAATTAGATAATTTACAATTTGGTTAATTAGCTTTCAGTTTGAATTATGATCAATTGCAATTAGCATTAAACTAAAAGTACACCAAATAGGACGATATTGAGGAACCCTAAAACATAGTAAGCTTGAATGACAATAATGAATATTTGATACCATTTGAGTATGATAAGAAGACTCATCATACAACAGAAGGCTAATCAAATGGGAAATTGTTACTAAGGAGCGTTAAGACTTCTAATAATAATCCAATATTTAGTTAAATCACAGCTCAGCCACAAAATAAAAGGTTGACCTTTCTCAATATGGATGCATAATACTAATAAAGATACTAAGATTATTCATAAGGAAGAATGTTTTTACCTCAACCGAAACTTAGAAACACTCCAGGAAATAATAACGATGAATTCATGCAATTAGTTAATTAATTGAAAAACAGTTCTCCATAGAATGAGTACATGTAATCAAAAGACATAAATACATTATATTATGATGCTTTTTTAAAATGCTTGATGTTATGTCATGAAGCAAGACCAGTGTTTGGGGCAGATTCAATAACATATGAGTCCTTTTCCAAGAATGAAGAGATATCATTAACATTTGCTCGCTCTTGCGGGTATTAATTAGAGAACTTTAATAAGTTTGATAGTCCAGATATGTATTTATGTAAAGTGGGGGGAAATTAAATTTGGTATTAAATATTAGGATTAAATTTGTTTACTTATAACAGAAATTTAAATTCTGTAGTAGTCTAGGTACCTATGACTATGGATCTGGAATTAGGTTAAGAACATGAAGCTTTAAATTAACTCTGCGGAGAAGGATCGAAAAATAAATCATTGTTAATTTGTAAGGGAGATTATGAAGCAATTAAGTTAAAGTTGTAATTAAATCATAAGGAAAGAGAAGAGTTAGATGCTTATATTCAACATTATAAAGTGAGGGGTATAAGAATGATAGTATATGCAACTAGAGTGTTGAGTGAAAAAGAAACAGTGAACTACAAGGAAAAATTTAATTTGTTGCATAGTTCTTTGACTAATTAGGATAATTTATTAGAGGAATTGGCTGTGGAATATGAGAAGGAATTAAATTTATTGGGGATGATAGGATTCAAAGAGGAGTTAAAGAGTGATGCATTAGATTTCATAAGGACTGTGAAAGAATGCAATATAAACATTTGGTTATTGAGTGGAGATTAAGAAGCATAGACAATTAGTTGTGCTTAGGCTTTGGAGATGACAGAGACATCTAAATATTTAAGAATCGTAGCAAAAGACAAAGAATAGATATGGTTATAAATAAATACTGCTATAGGATAGATATAAAGTGAATTGCAGAAAATACAAGAGAAGCAATTAATTAAACAATAAGAGAAACACTAATAATAATAAATGGGTAGAAGCATGATTAAATCAAGTGTAACATTATTTGAAGGGGCATCATATTAGTAAATATTATAATTTGTATTGGTTGTAAATGGTCAATCGTTATCATTAATAAGTGAATCTCCAGATCTTATGAGTCATTTTAGATTCTTGTCATGTGTTTGCAAGAATGTGATAGGATTCAATATGAATCCATAATAGAAGGAATTAGCTTGTAATATTATCAAGGATTATTTTCCAAATAAACCAACAATTCTAGGAGTAGGAGATGGCTACAACGATGCTCTGATGATGTAAGCTTCACATGTCAGCATTGAAATAATCAATAGCAAATTAAACCATATATATCCATAAGTGAATGCAGGAGACATTAGTGTGAATACATTAAGAGAGATAAAAGTATTGTTGCTATAGAAGTGTAAGCTGCATTCGGAACGTGTATCTTCTATGATAATATACTTATTTTATTGTGCAGGCTTTTTAGGTATGACACTCTTCTTTTTCAATTGGTTTTGTTAGTTTACTGCTACTTCATTGCATGATTCAATGACAGTGTTTTTATTCATATTCTTATACACAACTCCTAATGCTTTGGTAATTGGATTAGCTGATTTACAAACTAACCCTTTGGTAAATAAAAAGATTCCTACCTTATATGTGGATGGATAAATCAGAACCAGGAGGTTTGGATTTTATTATTTGATTGAGGCATTTCTAGAATCATTTTTATCAGCTGCCTTCACTTTTTATTCATGTACTTATATGGTCAACTACGCTTGGACCAATGATGGTCATCAGAGTGATTTACAAATGGTAGCAACCAGTATCATTTATGTTATAATTACAGTATCCACTCTTAAGGTCTTATTTAGATTGATCAAACATAAAGTAAATATTGTCATTATAGTTTCCTTATTCACATTTGGATTATTGGTTGGGTTTGTATTTCTTAATTATAGAGGAAAATTCAGTGATTTCGATTACTAAGAATTGACTTATCAGTTGTTCACTCGATTTAACAGTATAGTTGCAATGATCTTTTGTTTATTTGGATGTTTCTTTATAAACTACTTCCTTCATGATTTGATTAAACTCAATTTGTTTCCATCTGCCTATTAACAATTTGCATTTTACAATAAGGATGGTACATAATGGGATAACTTAAATCACCAACAAATATTAAATTAATGTTTAGATCAACATGTGTAACTATTCAATATAAATTTAGTAATGTCTCGACCATCATACAAAACGTATTTACTGACTGTTCCACCACTTCTCCTTACATTTCGGAAATGCTCAATCCAGGAGATACCAAAGTGACTGAAATGAAACTGAAGCCTTTGACTTTGGAAATGAAGGAGTTAGTCCTTGAATAAAAGTTCCTTGCCCATAAATTGTCACAATCACTCAATCATTTAAGGTTCTTTTTATGCGTTTTATTACTCTATTTCATAGCATATTGCTTAACTGATTTCTTTATTAATGATCTTAGAGTATTCACTGGAGTCTATTATTTGATTATCTTTGGAATTGTATTCCTAATTTTATTGTTCACATTCACTTCGATTATGGAATAGCAGTACTATACTTATTCACATTTGACTGTTTTGATCATATTTGCAATTAAAGTCGCAATCGATTGGTTATCAGATGATTTAACAATTACTTTATCTGCAACATTGGCTATACTCTTTAGTACATTTAATAGCATGAATATGACAGTAATTCCTATTATGTTATATAACATCTGTTATTTAATACAGTTGATAGTAAGAATATTAATTATTGTTGTATCTACTGATCTAAGCACTTCAAATGGAACATACACATAAAGTAGGATTTCTGTTTATGCTGCTTGCACTTAAATATTGTTGGTGGTCAGTATTACAATAAGATTTTTATTCACTTATTATAAATCAATAAAGCATAGAAGAAATGACTATTTAGCGAAGTATTCAATTGAATAGGACAATATGACTGCTTAAGACATTTTGAGTATCCTTGTTCCCAGATTTGTTAGACAATAAATATAAACTGGTATCTATTCGATGCAAGAAGCTCAAGATGATGTCTCAATCTTATTTGCTTATATTTGTGATTTTGATACTATTATGAAAGAGGAAGGCAAGAATGTTGTATTAATGTTGGACTCTCTATTTCGATTATATGATAATTTATGCATTTAACATGGAGTTCAAAAGATAGAAACAGTAGGATACACCTATATGGCAGCAACAGGAATCAAGGCTTGTGAGTAGAATATGACTGCTCATGTGATTAGAATAGAGAAAACTATGAGATTGGTCAATATGGCATTTGATATGATGTAATAAGTATAAGGAAGAAAGTATGGCAAGGGCAATCAGATAGAAATGAAGATAGGAATCCATGTTGGTAGAGTTATTGCAGGTGTAATTGGGCATCATAAACCTTAATTTTCATTAATAGGTGATCCAGTGAATCAGACAAGCAGAGTAGGTTCTACAGGGGATACGGGAGCAATTACTTTAAGTGAATAAGCTTTTAAATAAGCCAGACATGGAATTAAATATTACTCGAAGAAACAGAAAGAAGCTAAGGGATTAGGAATAATAGATACTTATCAAGTTTTTAAGACTAAACCACCTGGTTATTAAGTACCAAAGGCATTTCTACTTTGGCAGAATTGTACAAAGATTGTCGTGAAGGATCTAAGATCATAGAAGAGTCTAAGGTAAATAGTACCAAAAAAGGGTCAATTCTTATCCCAATTGCAAAACTCAATTTATGTGGATAATATGAAATAGTCAAATAGACTAGAAATATCTCCAAAAGGTCCTTAAACAGTTTAACTTTTACTGCCACAAAATGCTTCTTAAGAAGTGGATAATAAATCTAAATAAAATTAACCCATTCAACCATTGGAAACTGCATTAACTGATGAGTCTGTTTTTATATCAAATGATTAGGATGAGAATGATCAATTAGATTTAATAAAACCAAATTTAATTTTGTAAATACCTTAAAATGAGATCAAGGGCAACTTCAATTAAATATTGAAAGAGTAGAATTTAGAAGAATCCAAAGTGGGCATTACATTTTTATGGTTCACTTATTTCGTAATCACCTTGTTATCTATAATAGTTCGTAAGCTATTCAAATATGATCTTCTCATCTTTGTATTAAGAGTACTATAATTAAATTATAATTTAGGCAATATTTTTAATCCTGGTAATAGTGTTATTCCCAATTTTATCCAAGGCCTATAGGAACGTAATAGTTAATCTGATGTATTACCTTCTATTGATATATGCTATCTTTACAGTCTTGTTCTAGGCCTACTTGACTGATAATTCGGAAGTAGCTATAATATGTCTATTGGAAATACTGTATATAATGATTGTCACCTGCTAATTTAAGATGTTCACCTTCTTTTAAGTGATAGTCTACATGTTCATAATGCTAGGCTTTTTCTTGGGCTTTTACATAGCATCAGATTTAGTGACTCATTTTGCCATCTTTTACATTTGTTGTTGTATGTTAATTCTACTATTGGGTTATTATTTGGCTATGAAGGAATAGATTCAAATGTTCAACAATCTGCAAATCAATGAGGATAAGAAAGTAAAACAAATCAATTTGGTGAGTCAATTATTGCCAATGCATTCATATTTGAAGATGAAGAATAGTTCAATATATGACAAGAGCGATTTCATAGATGAATTTGAAGATGTTACTCTCTTATTCGCAGATATCAAAGGGTTCACAGAATATTCTCACACTCAAACTCCAGAAGGAGTTGTAACTATGCTTCGGGGTCTATTTACAGAATTCGATAAATTATGCTAAAAGTATAATGTTTATAAGATGTATACCATTGGTGATTGCTATGTTGTTATGGGATTCACTAACAGTGCCAAAAGAAATGTAAATATCTATAACTTATATTTCATAGCCTATTCAAGAAGCCATCAATACAGTCAAGATGGGATTCTAGATGGTTGATATCATCATGTAAGTGAGATAGAAGATTAAATTTGATAAACTCAATATGAGAATAGGCATTCACACAGGTCAAGTTACAGGAGGGATTATTGGAACTGATATCGTGAGATATGACATTTATGGCAAAGATGTCTCGATTGCTAACAAGATGGAAAGTAGTGGAGAAGAAGGCAGAGTGCAGGTTTCATAAACTACTAAATAAATGATTGAGAGAGCAGAGAAACATCCTTTTAAATTTAAATTCCATCATGTAAAGATTTCACATTTATTTTAGGATGTTGAATTAAGCAAATTTAATATGACCACTAAAGGTTATTTGGTAGAATGGGATAAGGTAAAGGAAGAGGCAAGTTTTGAATAATCGTGACACTTACATATTTTAGATTATTATTTTGTTAATCTTTCTAATTATCTTTATTATTTAATTACCCTTTTTTATTCCATTTTAATTGAATCCACCAATAGAATACTTAATCTTTATCTTTTTTGTAAAACTTTAAAAAAGTCTTATTCTTTTATTACATCTGGTAGTCCAATTGTTAAGAAATAATTCTTAAATTAGAGGGCTAATAAAGACTAAGAGACCTTTAATAAAATAATAGTTAGATTTGATTTAAATAAATCTTGAATAAAAACTATAAGAAAAGTCATGCACCAAAGCCATAAAGAGTTCTTCCTTATCTCTTTAAAGAGTAAACAACATCCATGACTGTGACTGTCTTTCTTCTTGCATGTTCTGTGTATGTGATGGCATCTCTAACAACATTCTCTAAGAAGCTTTTTAGAACATTTCTTGAGTCATCATAGAGGAATGATGAAATTCTTTTGACTCCTCCTCTTCTTGCTAGTCTTCTGATTGCTGGCTTTGTGATTCCTTCAATTGAAGCCTTATTTGGTTTTCTTGCATGTCTTTTAGCACTGACTTTACCAATTCCCTTTCCTGATTTTCCTGCCATTCTGAGTATATTATTTTGAAATTAATGAAAATAATAATAAGAGGTTGTATATTGTAATTTTAAATCCGAATATTCATAAATCAGCCAATCATAATTTTTGTTTAGAAAAGTTAATTTATATAGGTCTATTTCAATGTTATCATATAAATACTTTCCATCCAATTCGAAACCATTCATATTGGCCAACACAGTAAGTGCTACTTCGGTGCTTGTATACTTGATAATGGACAAGTATTTGTTTCCAGTAGTCAAAATTCTATATATTATTAATAATTACTTAATGGCTTTAATTTATCCAAAATCTTGCATATATTATTACATAACAGAAGCTTAACAAGAATTCTTAGTCAGATTAGAGATTTAGACAGTATCGCAAGGGGGAGCAAGAGTATAAGTGGAATCTGGTTTAATTCGATGTGTCTCTTCACTTCCCTAGAAATATTCCTCTTGAGTTTTTATATCAAAGACGATCTCTCCTGGTTTAGTTGGCTAGGTTTTCAAAGAGATCTCCTCGTAATTGGAAAAGAAGATCTGTATATTCGAAATGAATTACTTTTATTGATTATCCATAGAACATGATATCATTGAGAGATTCTTTTGCAATAGCAGCATGTTCTTGTGACACATATTGTATCAAACAACTTGATCTTTCCTTTAAGAATATCATTTTATCAATATTGCCATAAATGCTAAATATATTATAGAGCATAGCTGATGTTACGACCTTTTTATCAAACCATCTGGCATAGATTACTTTAGATTTCCGAGCACCTATAATTGATTTAAAACATTCATATACTTTTAAAGGATTAGGATTTAGATTGAAATTGATCTAGCTTTTCAGGTTATTGGTAAATGGTCTGACTCTTTGAAGTAGGTTATTAGTTTGATCTCTAAATAATTTTGCCTTTGCTGATCAATTAATCAATGTTGTCAACACTCCTGGAGGATTATTCAATAGTGTTTTTCTGGGTTTATTTCTCTACTACTGCAGCTACTTAATTATCAACTTTATCAAATGACATGTCTTAATTCAATTTCTTAAACACTTATTATCTATCTTTTTCAGTAAATCCTTAATTTTAATCAACAAATTTGAACAGATCATTATGAATATCTTCTTCATCAGATTAAGCATTCAATAATTGTTCTTCAAATTAATTAGAATCATCATCAGCTTCATCTTCTGAGTCTCTCAAACCCAAACCATTAAAATTCAATTCTTCTGCCTTATTAGCACTTCTACCATCACTTTGATACATCTTTTGTACTTGTATTTGATCTATTAATTTATCTGAACTATGAAACATAATATCTTTTGTAACATCACTTTCCTGATAACTTTAGATGAACTCTATTTGATCTCCATTTTTTGTTTTCTTATCATTTGGTAATGTTAGTTTCTTTCTATTTGATTTTCCATTCTTGCTTGATTCTATGCTGATAGATTTTTGTTCATCTTGTTGATTGAAACCTTATAGAAAATTCTAATAATTGTCAGTCACATTCTAGAATGATTATTAATATTCATGGATATCTTTTAAAATTGATTGTTGTTTCTCGATTTAATTTAACAAATCTGTAGATTACAATAGAGGAGTTGCAAATCCCTCAACACACACTTATTATAACTACCCCATGAGAGTATTAATTTATTGCATTTGTTGTGACATTTAGTGTTAAAATAACATTTGTGATTGCAGCAATTAGAAGTTTTATTAAGGAACTGTCTACATAGATTTTAAAGATTGAGAAGATTGATTTACTTCATTCGGGGGAGATTATTCTTTCTACTTACATCTTGGTATTGTATAATCTAATAATTTTGGAATAGATAGAATTCATACCAACGCCCCACACATTGTTTTCTTAGAAGGAGATATAAGTTAGTTTGCTTGCATAGACATTCATTAGTAATGAGGAATCATCACAAAAATATTTGTCATTCATCTACGATCTCGCCTTGAATGCTGATTCTACGTTATCAAACTCAATAAATGTTTTCCAAGTAAGAGATCTCTCGAATATGAGCATCTATTTAAAATCTACTTAAATATATGTACTCTCTGAATAGTGCCGAAAGGACTAAAGACTTTAAAATATTTATCATGTGGCAAGGTTTTATTAGCTTTGTTTGTAATCACAACTAAAATCACGTTGGTATGAGGAGGATCAGAATTTCTGTCGATTTAAGAATTCATTTGTAGATTTGGAGATTTATAAATATATTATTTATTTCATTTACTAACAAAAATCTTAAGTAAATTAAAACATAGTATAATTATTGTCTAAATACTTGATTATTCCTTATGCTATTATAATGTATTTAAATTAATTTTATTAATAATGTCTAATAACTCTAAAATATTAATGGGATAATAAATTGATCTCCTAGATGATCTATCCTCTAATATTGAATCCTCCTTCATTAAGATTGCAAAACAATAGCATAAATAAGAGGAAGGTAAGCCTAGCGATTACATTAAATATTTACTATTAAATTAATTTGCTGTTGATAATCAGGATGTTTTTGGAATGAAATACATAAATGATAAATTTGTTCTAAGCTAATTCATTTTCTAGTAGAGATATGGTGAAGAAGAATACTAAGTTAAACTATTGAATAGTTTCTCAGGAGCAGAAATAAATTAAGAATAATATCGAAATGCTATTTTTGAGTTTTCAATGAATGATAATTAGGCCCTTCTATTAAGTAACTGTTTTCATATGATCAATAGTAAAATAATAGTTCAAAACTAATAACATTCAAAGTGAATAGAAATCAGTCCTCTTGATTAAGGAAGTGTTTACAGGCATTATTCAAGATGACACTTTATATCTAAACCTAATAACAAACATCAATCTCTGTAAGTAAGTTGCATTTCATCCATTAAATTCCAATTATCTCGTAATTCTACAAGCATCTCAGGATGGGAATAAATCACACATATATCAAAAGTACTATTTATTTAAATGTTTCTAGAGAATAGTTTGTTCTAGTCTTTGAAATGAAAGATCTTAGATAACCGATAGTAAGAATCAATTTGAATTCTGCCATGAATGGAAATGCATAAGCCTTTTCTTTTTCCTTACCAGAAGACCAGAATTAATTTCTCATTTACTTTGTTAACAGCTTAGGAATCATCTATTATTATGAATTGATCCTTCCTAATATGGTTTTTAAGTTGTAAACTAAAATGTATTTAGAGACATCTAAAAAAGAATTAATTCAATATGTCAAAGAGAAAAATGAAAAAGAATTTATAATCAATTATAATATAACTACTCAGGATGATTATCAAAGGGGGAATATCAAATTTAAATCTTTTTAAAATACAAACTACTAATTGTCCAAAAATACTTTTATTTTATTTAAAAAAGTGCCTATCGTTTAATATTATTTATTCATTTTTGTTTCTAAATAATTAAATGATGATTTGACTATTCAAGCACTGATCGGTAGAGATTTAAACAAACTCTATGAAATTTATATCGATGAAGTTAAATTTTCAAAATACAGAAATGATGATATCGTAATATCATAACTACATAAATATTAATAACCATAAATTATATATTCTAGTGAATATGCTACTTAATTAGTTTAAAATTCATTTGATCTACTTAACAAACATTAAATGCTTTTATTGTATCATAATTCCTTAATTTCAATTGACTTTTCAAATGTTGTTCAATATCAATAAGATTAATCTCCCATTAATGTTACTTGTATTGACTTGACATCTTCTTGGAATGATTAATAGGAACAATTCATACTTCAAGTGCTATGTATAGATCTATTCAAATCTAAGTAATTGTTAGTAAGAATGACCCATAAGTATCAAAGATAAACATTTCAATTCTTACCTCAGAAATTGCTCTTAGGATTGACGGAATCAAGTTCTGAAATCAATAGAATTACATTAGATTTCTATTAAGAATAGAATGCTTATCTAATGAATAAAAGTATTATACAGCAATTCAGAAAATATCTTGAAGTAATAAGTAACAAAAGACTGCCATAATGCAAAACTGAATAGGATATTATATCTATTAATGAAGATCTCTCTAGTGCTTTGCAATCATCAATAAAAGAAGTGGCAATCAAAATTAAACTCAAGGCCGAAAACGTAAATAAACTTATTAATAATATAGATGAATGATGAGATTGATATAAAAATGAGAGGGGACTTGACTGAATAATAATAAAGGAACTTATAGCTATAACTAAAGATTTCAAAGAAAAATGAAAAAATAAACTCCCTACTTGAGAAGATACATTCTATTTAACCTGCTGTCTTGAGATAACAATTTATGAATTAACAATAATAATAGGAATTGGATGAATTTGAACTGTAATTCAAATAGATTCAAGAACATATTAAATTGAATAAAAATTAAGTGGAAGATTAGATTTAAATAAGTAATCGAACGAAGTAAGAGATCGAATCAATTTAATCAACTCTAATTTAATAAATATTATAAAAAAAAGAATGATTTTGATATGTTAAGAGTGTATTTAATTATGCATAATATTATTTCTGAACTTTCATAAACATATTTTTATTTTCGAAAATTGATGCTATCAATGACTTTAATTATTATAAATGTAAAATAAATTATTGAAGAACAATCAAATTTTTATCAATTTTACAAATTACTAATTTAAACAGTTTATACAAAAAGGATTAATCTCAATTCTACATTTACTTTATAGAATTCCTTCTTGAATTAGTAATATAACTTCATTTAAAAATACTTGAGTCCAGAGAAGAAAGGTTATAAATAGGTTTAAATTTTTTCTTTTTGTTGTATTTATTGATCGATTCTCATTGTAGAACACAATATATTAATCTGATGTTACGTATGCGCTTAAATAAATTTAATAATTCCTCACTCGTAATTTATTTATGAAAACTAGAAATTGGGAAAGCAAGAAACAAAGATTAGAAAATCTTAATCGAAAAAATGAATTAAGTAAATATATACAGTATATTTGTAAGAGAAACAAAAAAGTGTCCAGTAGATTTCTGATACTAATAGAAATTTTTTCTGCAATTTTTCAACCTTTTATCAAATAAATAAAGATTTAAAAATTCCTTGTTTTGAGTATTATGCCTTCATATTTAGATATTTATCAGAACAATTACATGTACAGGAACTTTTTACAAATCAATAAATTTTTGAATTGTAAGAGGAATTGTCTAAATAATGGATCCCTAAAATAAAAAAGAATTGGGCTGAGGAAGATAAACAAATTCTTATATGGATTGTATTGAAAATCTGTTCTAGAGATAGCATTCACATTAGAAAAATTGTATTATAATTGATTTTAAAAACAGCCAAGTAAAGTATGGGAAGAAGTAGAGCAATTAATCAGCAGGAGGACTGTTGACTAATGTAAAATCAAATGGAATGATCTTTTGAAATTATCCTTATAGCAAATACCATGGACACAAGATTAAGATGAATATTTAATATAATTGATTAAGTATAATTGAAAATTAGTTTTAGTTAAAGCAAGGACTAAGGAATGTAAAACAAATGGTGTATTATAGCAAATTTACTAAATGCGTAGTTTAAGGAATCTCCGAGAACAGGAAAATAATGCAGAGAAAGATGGAACAACCATCTGAATCCAGATATAAATAGACATTCATGGAGTTTAGAGGAAGATATTGAATTATTAGAATTAGTAAAGAAGAAGTAAAGAAAATGGGCACTTATCTCTAAAATATTAAAATCGAAAAGAAGTGAAAATGCTGTGAAAAATCGTTATAATTGCTTATTGAAAAAAAATAATTGTTAATCAATTGCAAGTTTAATTGATGCATTGAAGAAAAAGTATAAATCTGAAAATCCAGAGGGTCCTTTGTTATAAATTAAAAAAAGAAAATTAATTCATATCACGTAAAGTACAATTATTAATTAATTTTAATAAGCTTAACAAACATAAAACTAAAGAATAAATACTGAGTTCAGTATCTAGTATTTTGATATAAACGATATTAATTAGATGAAATGTCTGACTCCTGCTTTTTATGATTCTTAGAATTAAATTCTATTTATAAGCAATAAAAATTAATTGGTATCTTTTTTAAGTAACCAAATGATTAAAGTTGAAAGTGATTAAAATATCTAACATTTTGACCAAAATAATTAATAGCATGAATTCTCTAATTAAATGAGTGGTTTATTAAATTTAGTAGATTCATCAAATTTTGCAAAATTTGTACCTTGCATGCTTGCCAATCAATAGATTCCAATACAATAAGAAAAGAAGTAATTTATATAGTTGATATTTATTCAAGATCTTAATTTAATATTCCCAACATTCCTGGAGCAAGAATAGAATAAACTAATTCAGAGAAGGTACCCAAAAGTAAACTCTCCTTTTTTTCCTCAAAATTTATTGATTTAAAGAATAGAGTTGCTATAGAATAGGAAGAGAACAATTAATAAATTAAAAATTGTAAATGAATAATTTCTAATAGTCATTTATTTATAATATATGTAATTATGAATTTGCATTATAATGTATAATATTGATAATCATGACAAAAATTGTATAAATTATTGTTAAACATTCATAGTATATGAGATTATTGATAATTCTCAGGTGAATGTGTAAGAATTGATTTTTTTAAATCTTTTTTGATTTAATTATATTATTCGTTATGATGTTAGATTATAATCGTGAATGTTTATAATTAAAACATTAATAGAAGTTTTAATGATCAACTCAGTTAGATAGAGTGAGAATAGAAAGCTGTCACAAAGTCACAAGAGTTAAAACTACAATCTCCCAAAGAGAGCATCATCCTAATTTAAGTAATCATGTATTGAATTAAAGAATCCATTATTTGCCAAGCATCTCGAGCAATTCCACTTGTTGCAGTAATTCATGTACTTCAAGTCCACCTTAGAGTTGTTCCAAATTAGATGAGGATAATGTTGAAAGTATAATAAGTAATAACAATTAGATTTATTGGTTTCCAAAAATACATCTTAAGATCCTCTAAGTTGCTTTAACTATGATGATTTCAAAGGAGTACTGCCTGTGACTATTAATGGAATCAAAATTCTGAAAATTGATTGGAGTTATTTTACAGCAACTCCAAATATGTAATCTCCATGGAAGGCTCATTGTTATTGGACTGTTGGATATACTTTTGATATCAATATGAGGAAGATGAAGAGATCTTAGAATATAAGATATCGTTTGATCATTCAAAGTTGGTGTTGCTTAAACAATAAATCTTGGGTGAAAACCAAATGGGATAGATTGTTGGAACATGAAACTGGACATTATCTAATTGGGTGTTTATGTGCTTTAGATTTTAAATAAAAGTAAAAATGTTTATAAATAATACTTAGAGCAGACAAATTCAAATATACTAAGAATTATCGAATGGAATGCACTAAGTTATTTCAAGATACATTTTAGTTTTATTTGCAAATGGAGAAACAATATGATGAGGAAACAAATCATAGTCAAAATGTAGCCAAACAAAAGGAATGGAACCAATTCATTAAGTAAGAACTATTAAAATATTGACACAATCATGTTTCTCAATCAATTTATTTTTACTCCACATCAATCATTTATTATTTTAATATAAATAAATAAATAAACTAATATCGTTGAATTAATATTGTATTTGTAGCCAAATGTGAATATTATGTATCAATAATATAAATAATAATAAATCAAAGGGATTTTATGTTCAAAGAGATTAAACAAGAATTGGCCTAAAAGTATAAGCAATTAGAAATTGATCAAATTGAAATTATGCAGAAACTCTAATGTTATAAGGAGTCTGCATAAAACAAATAAAATGTCGATAATAATTCATTATTGATTGACGATATACAAAACTCATCTCTTCTCTTACTTTCAAATACTTAAAGGGATATAGCAGATAAAACAATTACTGATTTAAAAAGAGCATTAGAATAATCTGAAAGAGATAGAGAGAATAAAATTGAATAGATTAACGAATTAAAAAAATTAAATTAAAAATTATATGAAGAATTAAATATTGCAAAAAACAATCTAATAAAATCAAATAAACTTCTAAATGAGATTACGTTTCAAAAGGAAGAATTGATGAATTAAATAAATATGATTAGAAAGCGTAAATCAGTTGACACTTCCTTTTATTAAACTTCTATTACTGATATCACAAATCAAGACATTTCAATCCAAATGAATAGAAAAAAATCTATGTCTCAATATGAAACTGCCGATCAAAAGCAACTGCAATAGTATAAAAAGTTTACAGAGTGCGTTAAAGATATGATACTAAAATTATAACCAAAACTATATGAAAGTATTTTATATTGCTAATTACGTTTAGATTAGAATGTGTCACTGTCTGATGCTTGGAAGTGGTTGAAGATTATAATTAATGATTATGTTCAAATTGCAAATACGATTAAGCAATTGAAATAGATTTTAAATGTAGAGTAGCCATACATTGTTTTAGAAGTATAATAATTAATTAACATGATTGTTTATAAATAATGATTAATTATAAATAATAATTAGTGTTCTATTTCTATTGAAAATCAAATACATTAATTTAAATAATAATCAAAATTCAAAATGGACAATAAGAAAAAAAAGAATAAGAATAAGAATAAGGCCAAATAAGAGCAACAACCATAATAATAATAGCCATAAAATTAATTAGTACCAAAAAATTAATAACATCATCACGATCATGAACATCATGGAAACGATGAACATCATCACGATCATGCTCATTGTAATCATGGATTGCCAAGTGATGCTTCTAATTTAGACCCCACCAGTTTATTAAATGGTTTAAATAAAGGAGAAGGATTGCTTGGTAGCTTAAGCATGATACCTAAATTGACAGAAATGTTAAATCAATTAACCAATTTTGGAGGTTAAGCCTTCAAACCGGACGATCCCCTTCCCGATTTCACTAAATTTGATTAAACTAAAGTAAAAATATAAATATAAAATCCTAGTAAACCTTGGAAGTAGCAATCGAAGAGTTTTAGTCCACAATTGAAAGTGTCCAAAAGAAAGATTTCACTAATCTAACCAAACCAGTTGTGTAGAAACAGCAATAATAAAAATTAACTAAACAATAGTAGCAATAAAAAGATAAGTATAATAACCATATAATTATAGAAACAATTAAATAATCAAATAAAATATAGATTATCTAAATACATTGCAAAAGGACTTGAAGAAACTAATGCAAGATGTAAAATATATGATTTATAATAGTAATCCCTTAGCGGAATAGCACCTATATTGAATCAAGGAATTGAGAACTTAAATTAAGATATCCAATATTATTAGAAGTAATAAGAAGTATGAGAATTAAATATATAATATTAATTATTCATTTACACCCTATATTTTATATCTTTTTTCAAAGTTCAAATTTTTTCCCTTATGATAAAGTCAAAAATACTATGTACATTCCTAAATCTTAACTATTTTATCAATTTACAAATTTTAATTGTGCACATTTTTTAATGTATCATAAATTATATGCTTTAATTTTTAATGCATTAAATACCAAATTACGCATTATTGTTACTACTGAACCATTGTTAAAATAGAAATGCAACATTCAGAAGCATAAATAAGTTATGACTAATTCCATTTAGATTTCTGTAGACTTAGTAATCTTCTAAACTTAGCTTAACAAATCCTTTAAATACTTAATAGCATGAAGTAATTTATGAGTATTAATATAAAAAATATATATTCTTCTAATCTGAAATGAATTAAGAAGAATATATGAATAGAATCTTTGAAAAATAGGTTGCCAAATCAACATTTTTAATCTGTCTTTAATATTAACTCTAATTGTTTTAATACAGTAGAATTCATCATATACTATTAAGTACTACCTTAGATGTATTGTTATGACAATGATTTATTAAGAAAAGCCGAGAATTAGGTTTAGGAAAGTAACTCTTGCAATGAAAAGGAATAAAAAATTCAGTACAATTAGCTTTAAGATTAAATGTTCTAAAAGTCTTAATGGTCAAAGAATGTAACAGAAAAAGATATACGTGAGACAAAATTCAATGGTATATGCAAGATCTATTATAAATATAGGTCATTGGACTAAAGAGGAGCATAAGTAATATCTTGAATTTGTAAATAATCACTATGATATTTTTACGTCAAAATATGATAAGAAGTCAAAAAGGATATTAAAATGATGAGTTAGTTTATAAAATCAAGAAATGCCATTTAATGCAGATCACATCATCAAAAGTTTAATCCACTACAATAGATTAATAGAAAGAAGAAGCATTGATTTATTGAAAAATTAATTATTGTCATCTAATTCTAATAATATCATCATACTAAAGGGGATTTAATTATTCCATAAATGAAATATTGATTTATTATTGATATAATTTTATTTTAATGGAAATAAATTGTAAATTACCCCCTAAAATTATAATGAACCCGTTATACTACAGCAATGGAGCTAGGCCTGTCATTTAATACAGGGTCAATCCAAATGATTAGAGGAGATACACAGCAGATCTTGAAGCTATGAGGAAATATTCAAAAAGTTAGAATTAATGCAAGCAGAATGATGCTAGGTATTGGTGTAGTTAATTTTAATAGTGGAAATCAATAGAATTCTCAATAGAAATCTTAAGGAATAGCAAGAGCTAATACTGCGGATAAATAATAATTGGAAGATTCAAAAAATCAATATAATTCTAGTCGAGACAATAAGAAACCGCAGTAACCATAATTATTCAAAGTGTAGAGCTAAGCTAAGCCCATCTTTGAGAATTTTAGCAAATATCAAAGTCAAAAACTCAAAAATCACAGTTTTGTTACTTAGCATAAGTAGAATGAGAAACCACACTCTTTTAAACAGATCGCATAGAAAAGTCCTTCGTAATTATCACATTGTAATTAAATACATCATCTTAGTATATTACGTGGGAGACTTATAAAATGCAATTCTGAATCAGAAATCATAAAGTTCAGCTTTGTTTAGAGAACACATTCAAGCATCTTTCACCTACATCCCCATCATTAAGAATTTATAAATCGAAAAAGAATAAGTCCAAGAGAAACTCTTAAATATCCCAATTAATGGGAATAAAAAATGTAAAGTTTTTTATTTAAGACAAGACAATAAGACAGTTATTTTCGATATGGATGAGACTTTAATACATTGTAATGAGGATGAGAACGATAAATGCTAATTTAAAATAGACATCCAATTCGAGGATGGGGAAATCATTGAGGCTGGTATCAACATCAGAAATTTTGCAAGAGAAATAATTCAGAAATTGAGTGATTTGTGCGAGGTTATGATTTTCACTGCTTCTTAAGATGTTTATGCTAATAAAGTATTAGATGAACTTATTAATCAGGTTATCAATATTCTGGATCCAAATAATAAATTAAGTTGCAGAATCTTCAGAGAGAGTTGTATATCAGTGGGGGATAACAATCTAATAAAACATTTGGGCGTGTTGAATAGGGATTTGAAGAATGTTGTTTTGATTGATAATTCCTCATATAGTTTTGCGTAATTATTGATCTTAACACAAAGTTAGACACCATTTAGAAAATGGGATTCCGATTCTGCCATATTACTATGATGACAAGGATAATCAATTGATCAAGTTGTATAGATATTTGTGCTAGAACATTTTGCCTGCTGATGATGTAAGACCAGTGATTTTGTAGCATTTCAAATTGGATAGATTAAATTAATTTGAGAGTGTGGAAGAAGCCGTATAAAATTTGTATTTTTGAAACCATTCTTCTGTATATTTTGTTAACACATTTTTTTAAATGGCATAATGCTTTAATTTAATACATATATCAGATTAATGCAAGCTGAAAATGACCATTAATAAGAGAGTTCAAATAACATTAATCATCTTCGTTAAAAATCATCGTATGTATGAAGTATTCCAAATATCGTTTCAGTTAATCAGGAATAGAAGAAAAATTTATGATGACAATGACTTTAGGGAGGTTGTCAAAAATTTCTACAATTTGGTCTCCGAAATTAATAAAGGTTAATATTCGGTCTAGCCATTAATAGTTAAGAAAATATCGAAGGCTCCCTTACGGAAATAGCCTCAATAGTTGAAATAAAAAAATACAAGCAAAAACAAGTAACCACCAACTAAGGAACTTTCTTATTCTAAAAGGGATGTCCATTTCAGACCTGATTAACAAGCATAATAATACTTCAATTCTTGTTTCAGTCAATAAATTATGAATCAATTGATGCCTAATTTCGATCAGCCTAGTAGTAAATAAACTCCATTCTTTTATGATAAACCGAAGCCTCATCTCAATTTCAAACGAAATCAAATGCACATCCAAGCAGCATACTAAATCTATATAAAGGAGTTTGGCTCTGGATTGGTTGAAAGCAGGGATCCGACATCATTTGCAAGAAAAGTTATGAATTCCAACTTTAATTCTAAAGTAAAAATTCATTAAGAACCAGACCCAATATTAAGAGGAGGAAAAGGAGAGTGACAGATCAGAAAAATTAAATAAGTCTCATGAAGATGGCAAAAAGAAACCTTTAAAAGAACTAGTTCGAGAATTTTAGAGTGATTAATGATTTTAAAAAACAAACGAAGTAATAAAAAATATGGGTATAAAAATAATAGCATAATGTATAGTTCATAAATGTTCTAATTTTCGTTTTTTATTCTAATACTATTACTAATTCTAGCTTTCTTAAAATATCATAACATTAGTATATTGTTCAAAATTAATATAAAATTCTATAGATGTTATACTCCTAAAATTATTGTAATATGATCTTAATTCATCAGTTGAAATGTCATTGATTACTAAATTTATTAAAATATGGAGTATTATTTATATTTTATTCTTTTTTAGACATTTAGTCATCCCTTTTTTGATAATTAATTGTAAAATATAAAGGGACAAAAAACTAAATGAATTGTAATTGAAATTTTGTATTTTTCATTAGAATACAAACTTGTGGGAAAGAAAGGAGAGGGAACATTTTCAGAGGTCATCAAATCACAATCATTCAAAACAGGAAACTATGTGGCTATCAAGTGTATGAAAAATAAATTCACATCTATTGAATAAGTAAACATTTCTAAGAAGTTTAAAGGTCAATCATTTAAGAGAGATTCAAGCTCTTAGGAAATTGAGTCCTCATGAACACATCATTAAGCTAATCGAAGTTCTATAGTAACACATTTTATAATTATTATGGTAGTGATGAACCTACAGGAAGATTGGCATTAGTATTTGAATTAATGGAGCAGAATCTCTATGAACATATCAAGGGTATGAAGATATTCATCCTAATTAGGCAGAAGACAACCGTTGAATCCTTAGAAAGTTAAATCCTTTATGTACTAACTGCTAAAATCGATTGATCATATGCATAGAAATGGCATCTTCCATAGAGATATCAAGCCGTAAGCATATACAATTTAAATAGTGAAAACATTTTACTGAATTCAGATCATTTGAAACTTGCAGATTTTGGATCATGCAAAGGCATTTATTCAAAGCATCCTTATACAGAGTAAGAATTGCCTTAACGTGATTATAGATATATCTCTACTAGATGGTACAGAGCCCCTGAATGTTTATTGACTGATGGGTATTATGACTAAAAGATGGATTTATGGGGCGTGGGATGTGTGATGTTTGAAATCATAGCATTATTTCCTCTCTTTCCAGGAACTAATGAATTAGATCAGGTTAACAAGATCCATAATATTTTGGGAACTCCAAATCCCAAGGTTTTTGACAGATTCAGAAAGTAACATAATTCAATTTTGATAATAGATAAGCCACTCATATGGAAATTAATTTCCCCAATAAACATGGCAGCGGTATTGAGAGACTTCTACAGGGATAAACCAAGGAGTGCATTGATCTAATTAAAATGTTATTGGTGTATGACCCTGAGGAGAGAATTACTGCTCAAACAGCATTGAGACATGAATATTTTAGAGAACTCTATGAAGCAGATGCAACTCAAAAGAGTTTTCAACATACTCTCTAAAATATCAAGATTTCTAATCATCGAGAATAGTAATCAAATTATCTATAAATTAGGAATGACAATTCTTTGGAAAAAAGTCAAAGAATTGATGAAGGTAAATAGATTCATCAACCGAATTTTAAGAAGACACAGAATTATTATGCTAAATCTTAGAAGAAATCTGGAGTAATTGTAATATTTTAGATTATAGTTGCCTTCCTTACAATTTGATTTGAAGGTAGAGAGTATATATAAGAACACTCAACATCATGATAGTGATGACGATTTAGATAAGCAGTCTTCAAATAAATAAGTGCTGCTGCCTGAAATCAAGAAAAAGAAAAAGTATGATCCCAAAGTTATTTATGGGAAATAGCAATATCAATCTAGCCAAGCATATTAGTTTAATTCAAAAGGTATATGCTGCATTTATATATAAGCTGGCAAAAAAATGGCACATGGATTATAAGCCGATTATATAGTTTACGGAAAGAAAGCAGTGAATTAATAAGTCTTAGGCTGATTAATTTAATTTTTGAACTTATGATTCATCATCTATTTAATATTAATGTGCTTTTGAATCATCATCATTTTCCAATTATAATTAAAAATGAAGATATTAGTGATAACATGCTTAATGGTTCTAACTTTATCCAATCCTTTAGAGAAAATCCAAAAGATTAATGTTCCATGCATTGAGGAAATAGGATACCTTACTAAAGATTTATTTGTCTTTGGTTTGGATATTGCTAGACATAAATTCTGCAATCAAGTTAAAGATGTTATCGGAATCATCGTTGAAATCGTCAAATTGAAAAATGCTTGTTCCTCATCCAGTAGCTAAGACATATTGGAAGAGCATAACAAAACTTTGACTTGTCTACAAAATTCAGTGGATATTGCCGAAGATGCTTATAATGCATATAATGCATTTATTCAAAATGGATTCTCTGATGAATTAATTGACTAAACAACCAACATCCAATAATAACTAGTCTCCACCTTGAGTAGATGTAGTTCCAAGGCTAAGTTACTTGAAGACATCTTCCCAACTCATTGTATTTCGGTTATGAATAACTTGGCCAGAGATGCTCTATCCATTAAAGAACAAAGACATCAACCTTGGAAAATTATTGAAGGATTAGCCTCAATGGGTCAAAATTATCATATAGCCAAACAACATTGTCCATTTATGAAATGATTATTACCAAAATATCAACATAGAATCCATCATTAAAATATATTAATTACTAATAGATAGCTATTTATTCTCAGTTTATTTAATTGTTTCAATTATATTAGTAAAAACAAACAACAATTTTTTTAGATCCAATCCTTTCTTTTATTACAATACTATTTGAATAAACCTAAGAAATTTAATTTAAAAAATGAAACAACTTAATTATATTATTATTTTAATATTATAAGAGCTATGCTCAATCGAACAGATAAGAGTTCTCAATTCAGGAGAACGAATTAAAGCTTAGAGGGTGCTTCGAAAAAAGAAATTATTTCAGATCAAAAATCCAGAAAGGAATTAGCAGTTCCTTAAGAGGATGAGAGGAAAATGTTAGGATCTAAGGAAAGTGAAAAGCGATCTCAATTGAAAATTGGTAGTCACTAATAATCAAGAAAGACTCTTAGAGGGTAAGATGATGAGGAGAAAGGGACAAAGGTTATAGGAGAAGGGAGATTGGATGAATATGGAGAAGAGGAGGAGGATATCGTTTGTCTAAGGTTTCCTCATCTATCTTTTTGTCCTTACAACTATCAATCCCAATTAAAGGAGACTTTATTCATTGAAATTCAACCTGGAATTTATCTATGCGGATTTGCAATGGGTTTATGGACAAAATACTTGTTGTAAAAAGCAGTTACGAATGTATTGAATCTAACCTCTATGGAATACACTAAGAGAACTAAGTACTTTAAATATTTAAATATTGATGTTCACAATACTTCTGATGAGGATATTAAAAAACACTTTAGAATTAGTAATAGATTCATAAGAGAAGTAGAATATTTCAATAATTATTATGTAGACTTTACTATAAAAAGGCAAAGTGCTTATTCATTGTAGAGATGGACTTAATATTGGTCCATGCTTTATCTTAGCTTATTTGATTAATGAAATAAAAATGCCCTTGAAATTAGGCATTGAGTTATTACAATCCTTTATTCCATAATTAGATATTGCTGTTCATTTCTATAAGCAATTAGAGTAATACGATTTAGAGAAATTGGCTCTATTATAAATAAAAACCAAAGATGCATGAATTTTTTAATTGATTCACAAACATAAAATATTATTTTATTGTATTTCACCAACTATTAATTAACATTTCTCAGTATTAAATGAATTGAAAAAGTCATTACATATTTAAAAAGGTAAGGATTTTAGAATATTCTTCAATGAATTGATAAATCAACCAATTCCATAATTTTGTATATCAAATAATTTGTACATGAACCCTTGTCCAATATTTTTATTCTTATTATTTATTGGTTTATTAAAATGTCTATGCGAATTGTATAATCTACAAAGAAGATTCTGGACATGTCTCATTCTAGTCAAATAGTACTAAATAGCCAAAGGCCATAGATGACTTTGATGCCAAAGGAAAAGCTTGTAATAGGATTAAATTCAAAACAGGAGAAAAAAATAAATAAAATTGTTATCAAATTGGAGGATCAGATAAACAAATCTATTGCTGATTAAGTCAATCTTGAGCAAAGTAAAATGTTATAGGAGGTTTAACATCCAAAATAGGATCCATTGGAAAATAAAGAAACCAAAATTTCAATGGAAATTACTCACACTCATTTTGAACTCAAGGTACCAAAGGTGATTGTACAACCACAAACACTTGAGATTCCAAAAATCGTTGTACCTTCTAAAATAAAAATTGAGGAGGAGGATAAATTAATGACTTATAATTAAACAAATTTGCTGAAGTAATAATTGATTTAGATTAAAAAATGCAATGAACCTATTCAATTACTGTTGTAAGAGAACAATAGACGAAAAAAATATTACTCAAGAGCATAAAGAGAGAAGGAAGATGTTGTTCATTGGGGTCAACGGAAATTACTGATAAGTGAGATTTGGTTTTTGACAAAGTATGGTTGTTTATCTAGGAATATTATCTATGCAGGAGCAGCTCCAGGATTTCACATATAATTCTTATCAGATTTATTTTAAAATCACAAATTTTATTTATTTGATCCAAACGACTTTTAGGTTAAATAGGGACCAAAGATAACTATATACTAACGTTGTTTCACTAACGAAGAAGCCTAAAGGTTTAAGGAATTGTTTTAGGTATGAATTAATTAACAAGAATGATTATCTATTCATTTCAGACATTCGAACTGCCAATTTTAAATGCATGACCCCAATGGAAAATGAGTAAGCAGTACTAAGAGACAATCAATTACAAATGGAATGGGTGAAAATCCTCAAACCTTAAAAGGTATCTCAATCCATTCTATGTCCATCAAGGCCATGTTGAAATTCCGTTGCGCTTATCCTACAGAAATCAATGATCCAACTGAATTCTTTGAAGGCGAAATCTATATCCAAGCCTGGGCACCAGCATCATCGACAGAAACCAGATTGGTGCCCTACAATTATACCAATACTATATCCTACGACAATGTCAAATATGAGGAGCAGATGTTCTATCACAATGATGTTGTGAGAAAGAAGTAAAAGGGATCGTTGAGTTGGGATGACAGAGCAGAAACTGAAGTGTTAATTGAGTATTTACGCAATTCAGGAATCAATGAAAGCCAAATAATTAAATAAGTGAATCTAATCAAAGATTTAATAACAAAAAAATTGAATTATTAATGAAATGTTGCATCTATATAAAATTATTTTATTTTGATTAATCAACAATAATATATAATATTAAATAATATTATAGATCGTTCTATAATAGAGTTATAGAATATCCCTATTTAAAAATCCTAATCTCCAAGCTCATCCTATATATATTAATGAAACATTTACTCATATCCTTCTTATTAATTACCATTGCCTTTAGTAGTTTGAGAGGCTCAGACAGAATGAACAAACATCAAGATGAAGATTCAAGTAGCTATTCTGGATCTTCAAACGAATCATCAAATGATTATTCTGATGCACCATCCTATGATCAAAGCTATTCAGGAGAATCAGATGATGAGTACTCTTCCTACAGTTCTTCCGAAGATTCGGATTCGGATTCATATTCATATTCTTTTTATTCCTCATCAGGCTCAGATGATTCAGAAACCTCAGAAGAAGACTAAGAGAGATCCCATAAACCAAGACCAGATCACAGACCCAGACCTGATGATCATAGACCCAAACCAGATGAATTCACTAGATCAGTGTTTAAGACTCTGAGATAAATCGAAAAAGGAATTCTTGAAGATTGGAGACAAACCGAAGATCCAGTTTTACAAAATGAAATCAGAGCTCTTCTAATATAAAATTTAGAAAATCTCCTTCCAGTTGCTGAAACTCCAGTGGAACCAATGGAGATTTAACCTGTTGTTAGTCGAATTGCTGAAGAAAAGGATGAAAATCATCCAAGACCACCACATCCCAGACCTCCTCAACCACCCTAACCAGAAGACGAATTCGCTAACAAAGTATTCGAAACTCTTCATTAAATTGGATAAGTGATTTTGGAATAATGGAATGTTGAACAAGATGTGGAAGCTAAAAACCAATTAAGACAGAACATCCTAGAAGAATTAGGAGCCCTTATTCCTTTGAATTAATGATTCTATAATCACATAATTTATTAAAAATTCTTCCATTTTATGAATACAATTAAATCAAAAACTGAAATCGGACTTATCGTCTTCTTCTTTAAAGTAAAAGTTTTACTCAAAAGAATTAATTTAATTCTTTCTGGGTTTTTATCTGAATTCGAATTTATTTTCTTAAATAGATTTAATTGGCAATGGATTGGTTTCAGCAACTGAATGCTAATCTAATGATTTTGTGTTGACAGACGTAGTCCTACTTGGTTTGACAACATCTATGTTTATTGATAGTTTCTTCTAATTGATTCTGGGATTCTAGCGAGATTATTCATTTAAGGCAGTTTAGTTTTAGACTTGGTTTTGAGTATAAAAAGATTTTGTTGTTGAAATATTCTTGATAACTTGTCCATGTTTTTGAGTCACTTTAGACTTGATTAATTGTGAAGCAAGTTGATATTAATTTAATTTGGAATTCTTTATCTATTTTTAGGATGAATAAAAGAGATTCGACTTCAAGGCCAACTTAACCTTGCTATGATGTCTACTAAAAGCAAACTATGATTGTGTATGCGTGTTTGGGGATTTGGGAATTTACTAGTCATTATTATTTAGTTTTTTGATTATTCTCTGTTTGTTATGATTGGAGGAGGGTTGAGAATAGAGTTTAACAAATTGTCTATTTTGTAGTTTGGGCAGGTTAGCCAGTTGATCAAATGCAGGACGAATGTCATGATCTGCTCGAAGTAAGATCTTAATAAAATTTATATTGTCTTCGCTAATATTATTCTATCTACAATTATATTCAATGTGGAAATTGATTTGCTTTTGATTGGATTTAATTAGAAAACTTGGGTCTTTTGTTCCAGTTGTCACACAATACAGCAAACTGCCAAACATCCAAGTTTTGATCAACTAGTTTTAATGATAATTGTTGTTATATAATTGTTGGTATTTAATTTAGTGGAGGTAATATCTTAATCCATAATCAGTGATATAAACTGTATTTTGATGGATGTAAAGGAAGTCAGGATTGAAATCATAAAATCCTAAAATATCTAACGAATAGAGATCATACAATTGCTTCAGATATGTGTTTAATTGATCGTTTGTAATTTTAGAAGGCATTTTAATCCAAGCATTGCTGTTCGAATAAGAAATGATTAGATTTTTGTCATCTTCGAATGCATCCTTAATGTAGTGGTAACATTGAATTTTCTTTGATATGCTTTCATACATCAGAGAATCCAATTCAGACTTAGGGAAGATATTAATGTAGTGGGATTATTTGCTGTCATCGAATCCTCGGTATAACTACTAGTAAGATTAATCCAAAGAGATGGGAAGTTCAATTTTATAATTAGCAATTTACATAATTAATTAATTATGATTTTTATTTTACTTGTACAAATTACTCAGTCTTTAACCATCCATGAATTTTTGGAACTCACTCCCTTTTAAATTCAGAAACTAAACACAGAAACACTCCAGGACTACTTTATTTCAGGTTCAATACAAGGATATCTAGGATTGAGTGAGTATTCTCAATTAATTGACAAATTGGCCAATTCATTTCCAAATTAAGTGTCATTGCAATCCTTTGGCAATACTTACTAAGGAACCAAAATAAAGACAATCCAAATTTCAACAACTAAATCTCCCAAGTATTCAATAGCAATCATTGGCATGTTGGGTGGCTGTACTGATTTAATCTCAGTAAACTATCTCCTTTATTAATTATACTTTATCACCATCCAATTGTCCAACAAGAATCCCTTTATGACGACTCTACTTTCAGACAAACAATTGTTGATCACTCCATTAATAAATGCAGATGGACTGCAATATATTACAACTTAATTTACTCAAACTCAAACTATACCCCCCATTTTTAAAAACAGAAATCCTTCCAATTCCAACCAATGTTCATACAATGAATTCGGTGTTGATCTTACCAGGAATTTTCAATACAAATTTGGAATCAATGAGATTGGGTCGTCCTCAAACAAATGCAGTCAAATCTATAGAGGTAGAAACGCCTTTTCTGAATCAGAAACGTTGGCTATTGATAAACTGGTTTAATAGATTAGACCAAACATTTTAATTGTAATGGGAGGTGATTTGGATAAGTTAGTCATTCCTGATACTAATTCATCAACTTATTAATAATTGCTTTATTAAGTTTCAAAAGAGTACAATTTAAAAATGGGAGATTATTAAACATTGTATCAAGTGGAAATTAATGGCGATTTATGTTAAAATTATATTTATCAAATCAACAACATATGCTTCACTATTAATATTGGATAATACACATTAAATTAGACAATCCTCAACTTCTAAAATCTTTTATTGGATGTGTTGTCGCATTACAGTCCTTCACTACAGTAAACGATATTTATATATATCTAGAATATAATTCTAATAGAAATTTAATTGTTAAAATGGTAAAATGCTGTGTAATCAACTTGAGTCTAATGAGAAGGGCTGTGTGATCATCATTTCAGTAGAGAATGTAGGTTATAATCAATTTAATGACAACATAGTGATGGACATTACTTTGAATTAAGGTGGTGAAAAACTGTANATTTTTGTCATCTTCGAATGCATCCTTAATGTAGTGGTAACATTGAATTTTCTTTGATATGCTTTCATACATCAGAGAATCCAATTCAGACTTAGGGAAGATATTAATGTAGTGGGATTATTTGCTGTCATCGAATCCTCGGTATAACTACTAGTAAGATTAATCCAAAGAGATGGGAAGTTCAATTTTATAATTAGCAATTTACATAATTAATTAATTATGATTTTTATTTTACTTGTACAAATTACTCAGTCTTTAACCATCCATGAATTTTTGGAACTCACTCCCTTTTAAATTCAGAAACTAAACACAGAAACACTCCAGGACTACTTTATTTCAGGTTCAATACAAGGATATCTAGGATTGAGTGAGTATTCTCAATTAATTGACAAATTGGCCAATTCATTTCCAAATTAAGTGTCATTGCAATCCTTTGGCAATACTTACTAAGGAACCAAAATAAAGACAATCCAAATTTCAACAACTAAATCTCCCAAGTATTCAATAGCAATCATTGGCATGTTGGGTGGCTGTACTGATTTAATCTCAGTAAACTATCTCCTTTATTAATTATACTTTATCACCATCCAATTGTCCAACAAGAATCCCTTTATGACGACTCTACTTTCAGACAAACAATTGTTGATCACTCCATTAATAAATGCAGATGGACTGCAATATATTACAACTTAATTTACTCAAACTCAAACTATACCCCCCATTTTTAAAAACAGAAATCCTTCCAATTCCAACCAATGTTCATACAATGAATTCGGTGTTGATCTTACCAGGAATTTTCAATACAAATTTGGAATCAATGAGATTGGGTCGTCCTCAAACAAATGCAGTCAAATCTATAGAGGTAGAAACGCCTTTTCTGAATCAGAAACGTTGGCTATTGATAAACTGGTTTAATAGATTAGACCAAACATTTTAATTGTAATGGGAGGTGATTTGGATAAGTTAGTCATTCCTGATACTAATTCATCAACTTATTAATAATTGCTTTATTAAGTTTCAAAAGAGTACAATTTAAAAATGGGAGATTATTAAACATTGTATCAAGTGGAAATTAATGGCGATTTATGTTAAAATTATATTTATCAAATCAACAACATATGCTTCACTATTAATATTGGATAATACACATTAAATTAGACAATCCTCAACTTCTAAAATCTTTTATTGGATGTGTTGTCGCATTACAGTCCTTCACTACAGTAAACGATATTTATATATATCTAGAATATAATTCTAATAGAAATTTAATTGTTAAAATGGTAAAATGCTGTGTAATCAACTTGAGTCTAATGAGAAGGGCTGTGTGATCATCATTTCAGTAGAGAATGTAGGTTATAATCAATTTAATGACAACATAGTGATGGACATTACTTTGAATTAAGGTGGTGAAAAACTGTATCAGATAGATTCTTATGTAATTACTCAAAGTATCAAAAATACTAGTGATTCAAGTTTAAAGAAGGGAATCTAGATTGATGAGACATCCACAGACAGAGTTTATAGATATCAAATAGTTAATAACAGAAGGTTAAATCAAAACCAAACCATTTATTTTGTCTTCTTGCTCACTCAATTCGGATTCTCTTACAATTATATTAATACTGTCGAATCAATTGATCTAATATTCTCACTTTAAAATTCGTTACTGAATTCTCTAGTGTATTAAACTTTGACACCTTCAGATTTGGCTGCCAAATACTCCAAAGAACAACTATAATAGATATTTCCAAATAGACCTGAATCTTATGTTTTACTCATATGTTTTGCAGCCATTTCAGTCATCTTCTTTTTCTCTTGGATTATTAGAAAAATATACATCTGGATATACGATCCCCATTAATTTATTGAAGAAAACAAATCCAAATTTGAAGGATCATCCGATGAAAAGAATTTAGATTAATATCAATCACATAACCTAGTGGAGAGCAGACTGACTACTCAAGTCAAACTATATTAAGTTGCACCAATTAAATCCATGCGATAGAATGAATCACTTGATTAAGGGTAACAAGAATATAAAGGAATCAATGACAAGTAATTATTGCCTCATCTAAACCCAGTTGAAATTGAGAACAGAGTACATAAGGCTTTAGAGATAGTCAAATCATAGGACGATTTGGATAAATAAGAATAATACTTAGAAATGGGTTAGAATAGGCATTAGAATTAATATTACAATATTTAACAATAGAATTAACATCAAATGGAAGAGGAACTACTTGTAAATACACCAAATATTTAACAAAATGGTTAAAATGAAGATCAATTAGTTAAATTTGAGGATTGACATTATATCTATATATTATTAATTAAATTTAATCACTCTTCTGATCAATTTTAATTCTCCTTGATGTTTTTTAATATGGATGGATACAATTTAACATGAGCATCAACTGCCCACACATAATCCAAATGAGCATAATCATCTATGAACTCTACCTTCATATGAGTTTAATCCAACTTATTTAACATCTTACCCAAATCATCCGTATCTGTAATTACATCCTTTGTTCCCAAATAAAAGTACTTAGGAATTGTAAAGTTCTTCAAATTGTCCACTGGATATGGAGGAGGATCTCTCTATCCATACAATACCAAATTCTAACTAGCCCCATAGTCAAAGTATTACAATTATTTCGATCTAAAGAATTACATCCTAAAATATGTATTATTAAGGTCTTTACCATTATACGATATTCTTAGATGCTGAACCTCCAGGCTCATGAGCAACCATATTACCAAAACGATTCAAATCGATTTTATTTTTCTAAGGAAATCCGCACAATTGATTAGTAACCTCAAAGAAGAAGCTCCTGAATATAGAGGGAATCATATAACAAAGAGCCCCGATTTTAATGTTAAATCCATCATCAAAAACAAAGAAATAGGGGATTCCCAAATAATAGATCAATTCAAATATGTACAACTTAATCGCCCATTACAAAAAGGTTGATCGCTATAAAATAGATATCAAATGAATACTAAATTAGAAATGAACATGGCTGGACCAAGTCCGATAAAGCATTTAAGATGGTTTTGGAATTCAATGTTATTTGAGAGATAAGCAAATGCTTGAGTAGTTCCTTGAGAGTGACCCAAATATATGACTTTGGCTCTTTGAGTGACACTCTTCACATATAACACTATGGCCTTGAAGTCGTATTTGGCTAGGTCGTCAAAGGAGCAATCCCAATATTGTTGATTGTAGTTTACACTTTAGAATTTGGTATGTCCAATACAATATTTATTGCCCCTATTATTTGCAAGCCATACGTCATAGCCTTATTCAGCCAAAATGTATGGCAAGGTTAACTTTTTATCGTTGTTGATAAGCCAAGACCATGAACTATCTAATAAGCCATGTTGCATAATGATGGGGTGAGGGTGTGGATGAGTTGCATCTTTGTAGATTCTCCATATTGTGAGAATATAACCATCTTCCGTAATTATTTTGTGGCTTTCAAAGTTGTAACCCTAATCTGATATGATGTCAGCTATAGATATTATATTTTCAAAAATTTACTTGCTTGAGTATATACTCCCTGATAGGGTTTGTGTTTGTTGAGTATTTTACGAAGTTTATGCAAAAAGGTTTGATTTCTTGATTCACATTCTTTGACAAATAATGAAAGGACATAGTCTGTCAAATGGATTGCTATGTAGGCTGAATAGTAAGTCAATGATAATCCTACATTTGCAATGGGTTTGATGACCCAGATGAAAAAGTAAAATGTGATTGTTTGAATTATTTAAAAATTCATAACAAAGAAGAATTATTATGATAATTGTGTTTGATTTATAATTAATCAAATTTGCCATTCTTCCAATCCTGCAGCTCTCTTTTGACTGTCCATGACTCCATTGACTAAGGTGCATGTTAACCAAGCAGTTAAGAACATTTTGCCATAGTAGGGTACAGCACCTGCATAAAATCCATAGACTCTTTCATAGAAGTAGATTTGCTTGAAGACATCCAAATAATTTTAGTAATTTAATCTATAATTATAATAAAGATTGGAATTACCTATTTTTAGAGGGATCTGGGAATGCCTTAAGAACTCTGGTTTGGACATTATCTAATGGTAAGGTGAAAAGAGTTGCCCAGAATGAAGCCCAAGTTAATGCAAGGAAGTGGTTGAATCCGAAATCTCCGAAAACCAACCAAATTTTCTCCTTCATGTAATCATATGGTCCAGTTAGGGATACGTTCAAGGCTGCCAATTTGACAACATGAGCGAAGGCTCCTCTGAACAATGCTCTGCTTCCTCCTATTGAATTATTAGATTAATTTTACCTTCTTCAACCTAGATTCTATTAATGGCATCGAATGCGGATTTGTAATTTCTTCTAATTGGTTGAGGGAGACCACCATCAGCAATCATTCTGACTTGAGCTAATTCGAATGGAGATGTAACAAAAGCAGCAAATGCTCCAACAGATCCAGAGAGAACAGCCTTTTCTCTGAGTGTCAAATCATTGAATGGTTTGACTGGCTTAACTTAATCGTATATTGCTTTATATCTAAAAGTTTAAATATTTGATACAAAAAGTTTCTGATAAAGAGATAGCCCAATCTACTGTATAATGCTGCGTCAAATCCATAATAAAAATGGCTCAAACCGCCTCCAGTTTCATGAATCTCTCTGAATATTCTCCATGGATTCACTCCCAATTCATTTCTCAATTATCTCAAACCAATTCCTTCGGTTCTGACTTAGATTCTAGTTTTAACAAATTCTGGATGTTTATTATATAGCTGTTACCCAATGGTTAAGTGAGGAATGTGGCAACTGCACCTACTGGCACTGAAAGACCAACCACTTCTGTAAGAGATGGCTCCCAATATCTCTTGTATGATCCAAGCATTTTATTTAATTAATTAAAGATATTTAAATTTGATATCAAACAAAATTTATCTTCCTCACTTTTATTATATTACATTCATACACTCCCACTCTCCCTTCCTCATCCATATTGCCTGAGAAAACAATTCAATAAAAATCAATATAAAATTTAATCATTTATCGTTTTTTTAATGAAACACAGTGTAATCTGGTTGTGTTTTATTGCTCTCTTCTTAGCAAATGCAGTAAACATGTAAGCTAAAAAATCAATAGTATAGATTGGAAGAATAAGCACCCTTGTAACCTGAATAACAAAAACAAAAGGTTCATCATATCAAACTCAAAGAAAAGGTTGTGAATGTGAAAGACTCCCAAGATTTCTACAAATTTGTGGCTCTCAATCAGAAGAGTCTCTTTGAGAATTAATTCATCTAGAAATCCTCTGCCTCTGAAAACCTGAGATTGCACAATTTCAAAAACATACAATACACAGCAGACTTAGGAATTGGTTAATCTGGCAATGTCTTTAAAGTTGTCTTAGACACAGGCAGTGCCAATCTATGGATTGATTCAAACAGATGTTCAGAACCAGGTTGTTTGAAACATAAACAATACAAACATGAAGAGAGTCATTCGTTTTTGCCATTAAATGAAGAATTGACAGTAGAATTTGGTAGTGGAGATCTAAAAGGAATAGTTAATTCTGACACCATCTATTTTGGAGATATCACCTTACCCAGACAAAACTTGGCTGAAATCACAAGCGAAAATGGAATCATATTCAAAAGTCTTGATTTCGATGGCATCCTTGGTTTAGCATATCCACAAATGGCTCCCAAAAACTTCAATCCAGTCTTTGACAATATGATGTAACAACATGCCCTTGAAAAAAATCAGTTTGCCTTCTTTTTTGCCAAAGACCCCAACGATATCACACACAGTGAATTTACTCTGGGAGGATATAATCAAGCTCACGTTGATGGAGAAATAAACTATCACAATGTTATCGATAAATATTATTGGATGATCAAAGCTGATAGTATTTTAGTGGGAGGTCAAGACATCGGATTATGTAATGATGGCTCTTGCAAATTGATTGTCGACACTGGAACATCCATCATGAGTGGACCCATGGATGATGTAGGCACTTTATTAAGAAATCTAAATGTCAAGGATCATTGTTCCGAAATCAAATCACTTCCCAATATTACTTTCAAGATCGATGGAATTGATTACACCTTAGAACCAGAAGAGTATGTCAAGCCTACCACGAAGGATAATTCTGCTTTCGCTGAAGTGAATAGTTCAGAGGATTGTAAATGATATATCTCTATGTAGAATCTATGGTTGAAGTCAACAGTTGGGATTGCATTGCTTCCTTCATTCCCTTGGATATTCAAGAACCTCAAGGACCTGCTTGGATCCTCGGAGATGTCTTCTTAAGAAAATATTATAGCATATATGATAGAGATAATGATAGAGTAGGCTTTGCCAAATCTAAATAATGATCGATCACCCATTATGTAACTAAAATATTTAATATACTCGTATTATATTTTATTTTATTGATAATTTGTTGTCTGTTAATGCCATAATTAACTCCCTAAACACTAAGCAGGTTGTGTGAATACTTTTTGTACTTAGCCAAATTAGAGTCAGAAATCGAAATTATTCGAAACGTTCTTTGTGAACACGATCGTTTCCATCCATTTTTCATTTTTAAATACATCGATGGAATCTCCATTAATCCAAAAGGCCAATTGAGTCCTGCCGATCTTCTCTAATTTCTAGATGACAATGGTTTTGTGCACAACTTGGAAGAATGTATATAATTCATAGACTAATACGATGAAGACTCTAAAGGATTTCTCCTCTATTCACAGTAACTATTTACATTATCAAAATCTTAGATTCCTAAGAATTTGTTTACCACAAAACAATGTTGCTTTAAGATAAAAGATTGCACTTTAAAATGTTGACATTCCTCATTATGACCAAAAGATTTCATACACCCTATCAAAACTAATAAACTACGAAATAAAGTCCATGGAAACTACTTCGACATTCGTTTAACAACTCTAAAACTGTTCAGATTACAGTCCAACAGCATGTTATGAATTCATGAACCCCTCAAACTCTCAAGGCTTAATTGCCTCGCATTTTAAGGATCTTTTCTAAAAATCAGCCATTATTATATATCCTCATGAACTTCAATCCTTATTCAAGAGATTCGATCTACTCAATGATGGGATCGTTGATGTATCTGAATTTATGAAGCACTTTAAGAGCAGAGTCCTCAATCCAAAAGAATACAAAACTCCTATTAAAGATAAGTCTTATCTACAACATTTTAAAGACAAAAGCTAATAGAAATAAGTATAATCCCAGTAATCAAATAGATCAAAAAAAGCATAAACTACTCCTATTAAAAAATTAAATTCTATTTTGAAATAAACAGGATAATCACCAAAAAAGGAATTCGATAATCAGAGATCTGTTAGTTTTGTTGAAACTTCCAAGTCTTCCAAAACCTAAAACCTAAATTCAAGTTACATATTCAAGACTCCCAATCAACAACATAATCAGAAATATATCGATTAAAAAACAGAACTTAGAGCCTAAATGTAGTTATTCAAAGTCTAGAAACAATAATAAGGTGTAATTAATTCCACAATTAAGAAACCTATCTAAAATTCTACACAAAAAAAAGTAATTAAGAATTCTCCCAAGAAAAATAACTAATTTTTTAATCCTTCCAAATTTCTAAAAGACACTCTAATTTCATTACTGAACTTTGAAAAAGAAATTGAAAGGATCAAATTGAATTTATAAGCATACCCAGATTTCTCTCTCTGCAATACTTTCAGAGCCCTAGACAAAAAGAAAATGGGATTCTTAGTCGCTGAAGATCTAGAATAATTCATTAATAAACAGAACCTTTCACTTATACTAAAGAAGGCATCTCCTGATGGCAGAATCAAATTTAACTAATTCATTCAATTAGTATCTCCATTGTCCATATATCATTAAGAACAATAACTTATCAGAGAGCAGAGTCAACATCAAAGTAACATCATTTCAGGAAGAATAAAACAATTACTCTCTCTTTTATTTGAAAAACTATACTAGAGGGAACTCTTATTTGATTAAGTCAATCAAGAAATAAAGCAAAATTAATAATGCGACATCAAATACTTATTTATGATGATTGATGAAGATTCATGTGATAATGAAATCAGCTTAAAAGATGTATCTATATACTTACTACTTTCTTTAGCTTGATTCCTTTTTGTACAAGTAATAAGTGTAACCAGAATTAGAAGACTTGGAATTATTATTCAATAGACTGGATACTGATAGAGATGGTAAGATATCATTTCCAGATTTTATCAACATTTTTTCCTTTTGATTATATATATTTATTATTTTAATGCTGCTAATTTTTAAAGTTTTGAAAATTCTAGATTAAAAGCTTCCATTATATGATTCATTATACATAATTTAAAAAATAGAGAAGATGTAGATGTTAATGAAACATAATTAAAAAAGAGTATTAGCTTTTTCTGTATTTAAATACCTGGCTTAAGAAGATAGTTATATATATATACTAAATAATAGGTCTTTCGAAGTAGAAATTGAATTGTGAATAAATTTTTACAAAATTGTATTATAAAGTACATGAATAACAAGCTCAAAAATCATCAAGAGTTAAAATTGGTTTATTCTATACAAAATAATATCCTTTTAGAAATTTCTATGTGCATATACCGTTTGACATCAAATCAAGAGATTTCTTTACCTCTTATAATTGGGATGACAGTTTAGTTGGTTTTGTAACCTAATCAGTTGTACTCTCTGATTAGGAGTCCTTTTTATCTAATTTCTTTACTAATGATGCATCTGTTGTCTTGATGACCCATGTTGTCTAATCATTAGATGAGTCTTGCTTTTACAATATTTGAAATATATTACTCTTCTGAGAGATCTATTATTAGTTTATGATTTAGTAATTGAAACTGGAGAATTGTTAGTATTTGGGGAATGGTATGTGAACTTTTTCCTTGTATCTATAAATTAACTGCTCTATACTATATGCTAACAGGGCTGCTTGGCAATATAATTTTTTTTTACTTAGTTTTATTTAGATCTCATCTATTGAATAGAAGAGTAATATTGTATCTAAACAACTTGTTTTTCTATTTTTGTTTGTAAATTGGATATAATTCTTTGACAGGTTTCTGCTTATTAATATAAGACAGACGAAAGTTCTTAGTTTTATAATTTCAATTGGTTTTTTTTCTAAAACTATTAATAATTGTACTTTAGATAAATTTGATACTTTATTTTGAAGACTCTCTATCTCTAATTGTTAGTTCTCTATTATCTTTTCATATTGAATTAGTTTTCTCTCATCGGTTTTAAGTTATTAATTATCAATTTCTATCCATCTTTTATCGTTACTGAGGCAATCTTCTATTCTTTGACTATGATTTAGTCTCGAAGTGAAGACCTCAAATTAGTTTGAATTGAAAAAATCATGAATCTAATCTTATTAGCTTGATTTCATTGACTATTATTACTAAAATGATTCTAAACCACCTAAAATTCTATTAAGGTTTAATACGTTTAAGATCGCAAAGTTCTTTTTCTGTATTGTTTAATTTCAACTCCAGAATGTCAATCTCTTTCTATTGTGATTCAATACATTTGGTTTTATCTAGATTAGTGAAACTCGTAATTTTGTGTATTTCCACTATTTAGTATTTAGTTTATAATTTCTCTAATAAATTTTGGAATTCTAAAATCATTTATTCTTAGACTACAGATGATGATTTTTCAAAGTACTCTAAAAATTGTTTTTCTATCTATGATACTGCACAATCTTAGAGAGTTAACTCAAAATTTGATTTATTATTATGATTTCCTTAAATTCATACAATGTGAATTATACCTAATTATTTGAGACATTTCAAACTTTATTATAGAAAGTGATTTTCTGACTAAGCTTCTGAAAGTTGCTTTTGAAGTTTAACAAGCTAATGTTTATAATCATCTTGTGAGATGGATTATTAAGATGTATTTTATTATTATTCTATTCTGTATAGGAGTAAAGCATTTTTCTTTTCCAATTCATCATTGAGCTAGATTTATTAATATGTATTTTTGGTATACCTGGATTGAGTTTTTTAAGAGAAATCTGAGTTTTTCAATTGTTCTTTACTCCTCGTTACTTGCTATGTTTTTATTTTTTGGTGTATTATTTGTAGACACTAACATTTTATTAACAAAACAATGATAAAATTATAATATATAAATAAAAATATGAAGTATTTTATAAGATTTGCATTACATTTATAATTTAGATTAGAAATAATAAATAAATAATACACAACAACATCAACCTTAAAGTCTCAGCAAACACTCTTGAATGAATGTTTTGGTATCCTTGATAATGTAATAGACTCTTATTAATTCATCGAATTGTCTGTTCCTATACACAGCTTCTGTATCACAAGAATCACATTTATACTTATAACACTTTTCACAACAGGAATGTCCACATGGAATATAAGTTCTTGGTTTTTCAAATAGATTTTAGCATCTGCAACAACGAAGACTTAATTTGAGTTCTGTTTCTAAGACTTCAATTCTCAATAAATGCTTTTGAATTTAATTTTCCTATGCAGATTTATCAATCTAATGATTCTATTGAATTAGTTTTTCCTTGAGAGACTGATTTTAAAATAATAATTATTATAAGAGAGATTTATCTTAATGAGGGTCCGCATTTTATTTTGGAGAGACCTCATTTGGTAAGGTTTATAAGGGTTTTTTGTTTAGTTCTTAGCGATCTTTCAATTGTTTTTTAATATTTTCTAACTAATTTTGTAGATTTGAAATGACATTGTGTTATTGGTCTATTTGTGAATTAGCATTTTTAATTAGATTGGTTTGCTTTTTGATAATTTAATCTTGTTCTTCAAGTTGGGAAAGCAGTTATTCAATAGATTATTGATTCTGTTCTTAGGAGTTCCTGTATGAAAATTAAATTTTGTGTATATTATTTACATTGATAGTATTGTCCTCAGTTATTAGGAGTTCGTATTAATAAATTTATTTCAATTTAAATAGTAAATCATCAAATCTGGTATCTACTTCAAATTGTTTGCCCTTAGTTTGTATTACCTTTTGAGTTTATTTTTACAATTCATCGATTTTTTGATCATAATTCCTTTTTGTAATTTTTTCATTCAGTTATTATAGATCCAATTATTGCTGCAAAATAAGAATAGACAGTTACTTTAAATTTTGAACATTATGTACATGAAGGTGGAGAAGTTATCTTCATTACAAATGATTTATTTGTTTAAACATATTCTAATTGTTTTTATAAAGATTCAATTTAAGATTTTAAAGAGTAAACATCATGATGCTCACTTTTTTGTAAAAGCATCCTCTTTTATGAGATGTCAGGAGTTGTAGCAGTTGGTCTTGTTTTTTGCAGATTTCGTAAATTGGGAAGCATTTTTAATTATTTATAATTAAAAATTAATGAGATGAAACTTATTCATAAGTGACATAGGAATTAATTCAATTCAAATATAAAATATATATATATATATAATATGTTTAACAAAAAGAAACTATTACAAAACATTGTAGAACTCTATTATGAATAAGTAGAATAGATGGAGACTAACTATGATATGGATAATAAATATGCCACCAAAATATAGTCCTATTATCGAATGTATGTGTTGCATAAATCTTACAAAAAGAATCAAAATGCAACAATCACAATCCAAAAATATTGCAGAGCCTATCTAGCAAGATAACTAGTAAAATAGAAATTGAGTGAATGCAAAAACAGAAGAAATGTATCTACTATACTCATATTCAATTAGATTATATATCTCTCCCATTAAGCATAAACAATACAAAGATATTTCAGAGGATATATTTATCGCAAATATGTTCATGACTTTTACCTAAGAAAAAAGTAACTGGAATTAATGAACATCAAAAATCAAAACTTCTTACAAGAATTACGTTTAAAAGCTGAATAAGAAAAGGAAGAAGAGAAAATCAGACATGAATAAGCTGCCAAATAAGAGTTCATGAAACTGGCTACTAATTTACATCATTTAACATCGACCAAGTCTCAACCTGGAATCTATAAGCCTCCATTTGCAAAAGAAAATCCAAAGGCCTTTGATATTGAAGTTGAAACTTAATTAAAAATTGCATTCCAAACGAATACGCAATGGAAAACACAAAAAAGAAGTGGAAGTGCTTAAAGAGCACTCACCAGTCAAGGATTCAGAATCAGACCTCAATCTTAGAAGCTCAAATGATTTCATATAATTTTATTGTTTTACTGTAATTCAAAACACATATAATACTATTAGATTGATTAGAAACAAAGGCAAAAATAGGATACTGAGGTAGTAATAGAATAAATTGCCTTGTCCAATACATCTTCCCAAAAAGTTACTATGATGATGGAACTCTCTTATGCATACATTACAAGTCTCACAATGGTAAGTGTCTTTTCGATAATGTACTATTTCACAAATCTGGAATAATAGATAACTGAATACCTAACAATTATTGTGTTTATTGATAGTCTCTTGAAGGGATGTATTTATTCCAGGATTCATAACAGCTGCAATGATATACCCTAGAAGTTCTAAGACATTGATAATTATTGTAATGCAATATTAAATAGTCTTTTGTTTTGGCTTTGTAAATTAGAAGTACGTAATCACCAACAATGCAACTATAACAAATAGATTGATTATCCATTATGGACTAATTGCAAATATAGGTTCATCATTGATGAAAATTAAAGGAGTGTAATTTCCAAAATGTCTTTTCCACTCTTTTGCTTTGGTCAATTTCTATCTTGTATCTTCATCTGAATCGTGATCAAAATACTATTCCTCCTCTTTCATCTTATTGATTTTCATTTCTATTTATGAAATCTCAGAATCATCCAATTCTTTCTCGATTGGTTTCTTTGAATCTTCTATGTTGTATTTGATATCTTCTTCATCAAATTCAACGTTCATATCATCATCATCATCATCTTGCTTTTCAAAATACTCAAAATCCATAAAGTAATTAATTTACTAAATAAAATCGAAATATATAATTAACTTCATTTTTCATTTTATTAATAATCTTAACTACTTAAAGGGAGACAAGACAACATAACTTATTGAATATGGATAAAAATTAGGCAGAATCAAATTTCAGATTAGATTAAAATGTTGAAGTCGTCCCTTAATAATAAAGATTTCTCAATAAATGAAATAATCTAAAATAACAAAAGTCATTTCATTAAGAATTTCTTTATTAGTTAACATATTTGATATTCTTCAAGAAAACACTTTAAAAATGTTTTAGATCAATGAACTGCCATTTAGTAGAATATAAATTACCAACACATTAATCAAGTCATAATTTGAGTGCAATCAAAAAAACCAAAATAATCACTTCTATTATTTTGTCTATTAACTAAATTCACAGTATTAAAGGCATTCGGAATAATAATTATTTTACTATTGACAAATTAAATATATTTCGCCTTAGAAGTAGCAAGCTTTATAATGAAAATTCATTAATCTATTGCAAAATAGGAGTTAATTAATAATGATAATCAAAATAATTCAATAATTAGACAAAAATAAAGATATGAAGAAATAACATTATAATATTTAAATAGAAAATCAAGTAAACCTAGAAAATAAAACTTAATAAATGAGTCCTGTATTATGAAATTGATACTTAGACAATTAGAACTGTTATCTACCAGATTCTAATTTTCTCAAATGAGGAATTATCAGAGGCTTTTAATATTTAGGGATGTAAAATGATATTGAAATATTACTTGGTAATTAGAAGTAAAGAGCATTAGAGAAATAATTAGACTAAATTATGTAAAAAGGATGGGGGATTTAACTTAAATTTAGAGTTCATTATAAGAATAAACCAAAAAAGAAAGTGATCAGTAATAAATATATTATTTAAAAAATAAAGTACAAGAGAAATCAAATAAAATGGATAATGTTAGAAAGGCTTTAATCATGGTGATAATTAAAGCTATGTTGGAATGTCGGAAATGGAATTGGCGAGATTTCTCTAAAGATAAGAAAAGTGATAGAGGAGCGAATATAGAAAACGAGAATATAATAATAAGTCGATTATATGTGAATCATCACTTGATTGACAATGTATTATCTTATGTAAAAAGAAATCGATCTATGTGTTGATTAAATACTACTTCACATAAGTGCGTAATTTTATTATAATTTTAAGTTCTAATATTAAAATTATTATGCAGATTATAAAATTTTATTGTTTCTTTCAAGTAATTTAATTAAAAGTAGTTCAAATCTTAAATAAGCATTTGATTGTCCAATAATAATAATTAATTAAAAGATGTCTTGGAGGAAACCGAAAGTAATTCATTAGGAAAGTGGAAGTGGGTATGAAATAAGAGGATTCACTGAACCCACATTCAAAAGAGTTCCTCATTGTCACAATGATGATGATATTGATGTAGACATTCCAAATGGGGACCTTGAATTTGGTAAGAAAATGTATGGATAAGCATGTGCTGGTTGTCATGATTTAGGTACTCATTCTTGTTTATTTTTGAAAGACAGCGATCTTGATTAAGGACCAGCTTTGAGAAATGCATTTTTAAGAAGACTAGGATCAAATAAGAAATTTTCGAATTATGGATGGGATTTAAGAGCAAGAAGATTGTATTGGACTAGGAAGTTATTGTGGGATTTCTTATAAAACCCTGAGAAAATGTTTTTAGATACTAACATGCAATTCGATGGAGTACATCATCTATTAATATATTTTTAGATTCAAGACCCTAGAACTTTAGGTAGTATAATTGACTACATGTAATATTTAACAGTGTATACTTATGATCACCGAGGATCAAAAAGACCCATCTTTTGAACCACAATATATATATATATATGCATAACATTAAAATTTTAATATATCTTTTTCTATATATATAAATCAGGCAATATTTCATTCCCGAATTAGCAATTCAAAAGTAATTATTATATATATTAATATATTTATAAAATGATAATGTTCTATTTAATATCATTCATCACTCATTGAGTTAAAATTAATTGAATTAGAATACTGGAATTCTAATTGGGGGAGGCAATTAGTATGTTTATTAGTTTACCAAAATTTATGAATTAGGATCTTGAGTTGAATTCGAAGAACCTAATCCAAACTTTATAAGTTCAATATAATCTTTTAACTCCTTATTTGACTTTATTATATCTTAAGTAAGCTAAAATATTATTAAATAGATTTCTTACAGGATCTAAATTATGTAAATCTTATGTAAAGTTTCTTATTAGCTGAAGACAAATTATGTATTTTATCATTGTAATATATGTATCAAATAAGTAAAGAATGTTCCCCTGTGTTATAGTAATAGAACCATTATCACGAATAATTATATCTGAATTAACTTATCCATCTTAATTTACTTGAACAAAAATAATTGGAATTTGAATAAATTCTCGTTAAATTTATGAGCTTGTTGTAATAATAGTTCTAATATCTTCATCCTAAATAACTTATAAAATCATATTTTAATCAACTTCCCTCGTAGATTCCTACTGATTCGTATTTTAGATATGAAACTCATCTAATAACACAGCTTAAATTTAGAAAGTTATTTTCATTTTATAAACTTCCTTTTGTATTCTTCTGTTTGAATCCATTTTTCCTTTTGAAAAAATTATGAGAAATTTAACTTTAAAATATTTATTATAAAATGAATCTGTATAAATTTCTACATTCATTTAAAACATTTGATTGTATACTTTTGATAAAACGATTAAAACTAAATAGGCGGAGCTAGTTCCTTTATTGTCTATTCTTATTCTTATTCTTATTCAAATTCTTAATATTAATATTATTCTTATTCAAATTCTTTTGATTCTATTTCTTATTCTTTTACTTCTATAATTTTGTCATTGCCATTTTGTACCTGAGATTTTTATATGCCATTTTTTTGAGTATTTGCCATACTCTAAGTCAGTGAATTATCCTATTGTTCAATTATATGTGAGTCTAAAAAAATGTTAGGAAAGGGTGGGTTGAACTAAGATCCTTCTACAAATGGTGGATTCAAATCGAATGCTTCTGAATTTTGTGGTTTATCTGCATAGATAATCTCACTTGAAACAAGTGGATTTTCGGTCTTCAACTACTCTGTATGTAGAAATATGCTCCCCAAAGTGTCAGGACTGTTCTTTATCAAGTTTTGTAAGGTTTCTTGTTCTGTTTTCAGAAAAGTCGAGTAAAAGGTCTAAATTCGAGAGACATCTTACTTATTCTTATAACCAAGACATATTTTTCTTCTCTTACATAATCATATATGAGGCAAAGAAAAGAAGAGTATCGTTTTTTCCTTCAGAAAAAAGTAACCCAATATTCTTTTTAGCTTCGTAGATTTCTTTCTTTATGATAGATAAATCGATTTTACAAATAAAATTTCGCATTAATCTTCCAAACTTTTCGAGGCCAAAGATTTAGTGATGTTCTCTAAGTTTAGGAGCTATTCTTGATTTTCTAAAAGAAATATTGTTTAAATTCGTTTTTCATCGATTATACTTTAAACTTTCATATTGAAATCCCCTTTAATTGAGATGATATAAAGTGTCATTATGTCAATACTATGTGAAAATGTTTCTTAATGTACAATAATTTCAATCATTATTATATTTTAATTATGATAATTAATTAGATATGATCAATAATTATAGGTTTAACTTTGATTAAGCCCTGTATATATAATCATTAAAATACATCAGTTTGATTTCTGTAATTCTTTAAATTTTAAAAGTCATTTAATGTCTTTCAAATTCAAATCAATAAGAATGAATTTATTTCTATTTGCTTTGCCCTCTCAAGTGTGCTAATATTGATTGTAAAATGCTTACACAATAAGTTCCTTATGAAAAATATTGATGTGCATCAAATAAATAAGACTTCCTTAAACCCTTTGATTCGTCATTATTATTATTATTAGAAATAAAATAATGGATCTAAGTTTTTATCAGAAAATTCAGAAAAGATTGGAAAGCAAACTAGATTTCAATAACAAAAATGATGACATAAGAAATTTGTTGCTTGAATGCATTTAAATATAGAATGTACTTTTAGTATAAAATAGAAGAATGTGTTGGGCTACAAAATCATGAATCAGCTTTTTCAAGCAATCCAAAAATCAGGGCAGAAAATTAAGCTTTCAGATTAGGATTAAATTTAAATACTTAAATCCTGCAGATCCTTAGCAATCCTGGGTTTCCTTTACAACTAGGATTAAATCAAGCTATAAACTAAAGAGAAGGAATTCAGAGAAAATATCAGATATCAGATTGATGAACTTCAATCGCATAGCAACTTAGAAAAGGCTTTCTTATTTGATGAAGCTATGAATTGCAAAACAAAAGAAGAGTTTATAGAAATTAGCACAATAATTAAACTAATAGTGAATGTCCTAATATATTTTGGATCTGATTCGTTTCATTTCACTTAAATATTTGATGTCATCATCAACGCCTTGTTACTTACAGGGAATAACACAACCATTGGAAAAGATCATCAATTACTATAAATATTGGATTAATTGCAAAAGTTGCTTGAAGAGACAACATCACCTTATTTGTGGACCATAGTATTGGAGTCTATTTTGAATGCATCTACACACTCAGATAAACCCACAGATTTTGTGCAACCTAATCTGATAGCAAGAATCATATTGTTTAAAGTATATAAGTTAATAAAATAAGATTCCTTTTATTAATGACCTCTTTAATTATTTTGGTAACTACTTGGGGAGATCCTATAAATTTGAATATAAGATGTTCCAATCTATGCTAAGTTTTGGGGTAACAGAATAAACACTTGAATTGATATTACGATTCAGCAAATTTTTTGTTAAAGATTTCCAAACAGATTTATTAATAGAAATGAGAAAAAATCTTATACCAAAGCTAATAAAGTACATGAAAGCAATCAATTATTTTGACTAAATATAGTAGTTATTTAATTACTTCTTAATTTCATCTTAGTAATAGTTAACTGATCAATAACTAGATTTATAGTATTTCAATGAAATATTAACAAATTATGATGAAAATTTTGATATTTACAATGAAAAACAACTACACAGAATTGCCAACTTTCTTATATTAATACCTCAAAATATCGATAAAACAACCTTAAAAAATTATGGAAAATTGGAAACAAAATTAAGAACAAAACATATGTTTAATCAGCAAATATCAAGATTTATGATTGAGAAAAGTGAGTAAATTTAATATTGGTTTAATGAAAATTAGCCAGCTGAAAAAAACCAGCCTATCTAGAAACTAGTTGGTTTGAGAAATCTATTAAATAGTATGAATTTGCAAATATTTACTTAGCCTGCTATTTGAACAGCTTCATCTAAGCACTCTTTTGGAGTTTAGATTTTCGAGATCTCATTATGAATAAGTTCAAAAGAGAAGATGTTGAATTTTTAAAACCCTTCAGCTTAAAAACAAGTTTCCTAAGAGTAATTAATTCTAAAATATCCTCTAGTGTTTCTTATTCATGGATTCAATGACCGAGGAAATTGATTACACCCCATTATTATTAAAAAGAGCCTTGAGAGAACCCTATAAAACAGACATTAGACAACAGGATGCTGCTGAATTTGGAGTTCATTTATTCGAAGATATGGAGAACAATTTTGATCCATCAGAATATGTAAAAATCGATTCAATTTGTTTATAGTAATAGATAAAGGAGATATTTTATGGTATGTCGAAATCGGTATTTCAATGCAAGAATTGTGAGAAGCAAACCAAAGGACCTAATGAAGAATTTATTTACATCACATTGAACTTTGAAAACGATAGAAGTGTGTAAGAGGATATAGAAAAGATGATCTGGAGGCATTAAGTGAATGAACAGATTACATTTAAATGTGATTAATGCAAAAATACTAGTTAGAGTACGAGGACTCTAGAATTTTCATAACTGCCTAAGAATTTAATCATTTTAATTAATAGATTTGAATTTGAGTAAGGAAATCGATATAAGATAAACGATTCAATCAACATTAAACCTATTATATAAATAAAAGAGAATCAAAAGTCCTTAAATTTTGAATTGTATTCGATTATTATCCATTTTGGAGAAACACCAGATATGGGCCATTACACTGTTTATTGTAAGGTGAAAGAAGATTGGTATAGATTTGATGATAGTATCGTAAGTAAAATTGATAGAGATTTTACTAAAGTTCAAAGGAATTTCAAGTAAAATATAATATAATATCAATTAGGAAAGAAGAAACTCCGTATTTGTTATTCTATAGAAGAAAAAATGGATGAAATGACTTATAAACTTTTTTATTTTCAAATGAGTTCTACATTTTTTCATCTATTTTAATCTCATTTAAGGTTTATCTTAGAATCATAATTCCATTCAATTTGATATTGTGAAGGGAAAGAAGAATTGATATTGATTTTAGTAATAAAAATAAATTCAAAGCTGAGATTCCAGCCTGAGACCTTTCAATAAAATAGTCATTTGTTCTTATTTAAAAGCTGAGTTTTCAAGCTCATTTTTTGATTGTTCGGGATTATATTCAACTGTGAAATTGTCCATTAACTATATAAACTCTATAATTTTACATATTTATCATAGAATAATCCATACCAAATTGTTCTTAGATCATTTTATCTAATTGCCCAAAGACATGTGAACAATATGATCAAGGGGTACACAAATATTGATTGAGGAAGTTAGATTTAATACTTTTAAGAGGTTAATGTTCCTATTAACCAACAGATTATTCCAAAAAAGAGACCAAGCAATCCTATTATAAAATAAACTCTAGAATTCCTGTTTCTATCGAATCTATACAAATAAGATATGGAGATCCCTGGGACCACTAGATCCATCAATGATAGCCAAACGCAGACTTTATTTAAATTGTATCTAAATTATGGAACCTGAAAAAGAACTGGATAATTAGAGTACTTTATCAATAATAAACTATTAATACTTGCAAAACAATAATTTCATAATTGACATGGAATACTCTTGTCAAAAATACGAAATAATATACGCAATCAAAAATAATGATAAATCCATATAATATTGCGACTCCTCTTAAACTAGTGACCTTAAATAATCTAAATAGAGATCCAGATATGCAAAATGTAATTAGATTAGATATAAACCAAGCCTGATTCAGTGTTACATAAAGGACTACAAAAAAGATTGATAAAACTGCTGATATGCAATCACATACCCTTATTGATTTAAATACTTCAGCTTACAATTTTAAATTTACTGACAAAAAGCATTGCACTTCATTGAATAGAAACCAGCAACAAAATAATGCAAATATTAAACACATTATCAATACTGTTTCATACCAAGCATTTATAAAATGGACAACAACATAAAATAGTATGGATGCCACAATATAAAATAGGTATAATATCGAATTTACTTTGAATCCCTAGAAGTAAAGCACTTGACCTTCCATTTAGAAACTCTAAACTGCAATTAGTCTATTTAAAAAGGGATGTTTCTATAGATTCATTTCTACTCTTAGAGATCTAATTTTGGCCATCTTTGTAAAGATCCAAACGCAAAAACATCCAAATACTATAATTATTACCATTGATCCATCGAAATTGATTTTTATTTATGATGGATCATTAAATGCTTGGTATTAACAAACAAACCAATATTAAAATATCAGAGTCTGCTATTATGCGGACAGAGGATGTATTACTTCTATTTAAAATTGCATCATTCCTGAATTTATTGTATTAATGCCTTCATTCTGCTGAGAACACTTATTAATTATAACAACATTTGTCTCATTATAAATTTGGTAATTAATATCTTACTTGAATCCTAGGGCTGCAACTGAAAACTAATTGTTATAAATATTATATCCATTGAGGATTATTTATAGTGAATTTTCATAATTCGAATTTGAGGTGGCATTAATCATTTATAAACGAGGCGGTGTGCAACATGATGTATATTACCAATGAAATGAATCATTGTAAGACGATTCTAAACTATATATCACCCAAGAGTTAGAAAATTAGTCGATAAGTGTAATACTCTATGAGAAGCAGCATTCCACATAAAATAATAAAATACTTATAAACATATTATTAATAAAAAAATTTTACTACTGTGTACCTTCATATTAATGTCTTATCTAATAGAAAATTTAGGGTAACTAGATGGGACCCCTTCATCCAATGCATAATTAACTATTGGTGTACCTATTTGAATTATATGATTGTATTAAATAATGTACATCATAAGCATTTAGGAATGTTAGAATTTTATTTTGGAAACATAAATTATAATCAAAGTACAACGTACAGTGAAATATATTCTGATGATTAGATATCTGACTCAATTTAATATTATACTAAACAATTTTTATTATTCATCCATTTTCTTTTAGTTTTATTAATAAATCATATAATCGTTATACTATTTTGAATGCTTAATACTTCAATTAATTTTTTTGAGGAGAATGACATAATCAAATTAAGGAAATATGTATCGAAATGTCATTTATGAAGCTCATTGCAAAGGAGAATGAATGGAAGAAGGACAAAGCTGTTTTGGAATAAAAAATATAATTACTTGAACTTTAATTAGAAGACTATAAATCAAGAGAGTCCAATTATAAAAAATTGAACGAGACTATATCACAAGCTATAAACGACACTTCTGCAATGCAAAAAGTATTTATTTCTTCGAAATTATTCTAGAGATCCGTATCGGAATTATAAAAAAATGTCGATATTTAACAGAAAGATCATAATAAGGCAATTTACAAAGAGCAGATTAAGTCTCTTGAGCTTTAAGTAATTGATTGATACAAATAGAATAGGTCAGGTCATTAACAGAACAATTGTAAGAAAAAGATTCATAAGGAAAAGAGATGGAATTATAATTCTAGAAGCAATATTATCAATACGATCATAGAATTGTTTCATTGGAACAAGAAAAGCTCTCAAGTAACCAAGAAAATGCCAAGCTTAAGGAACAAATACTCAAACTTGAGGAAAGCCTCAAATAAAGAGAGCAGCAATTGAAAAATCAGTTCGAATAAGAATTATAAAGAATCAAGGATCTCAATATGTAGGATAACGATCTAAAACAAACAGACTACGAATCAAAATATTCTTAACTGTCTTTGCTATATGAGAAGGAAAAGGAGCAACTACAACTGAGAATTAGCAAATGTTAGAACACGATCAAAAGATACTAACAACATATAGAATAAAATGTCGATATTGTTAATATCAAATAACAGTATGAGGATTAGATTCAGTAGCTTAAGGAGTAGAACTCCCTATTATAAACTTAATTCCAATATGAAAGATAAATCCTATTATAACAAATAGATGAACTCAAAAAACAACAAAGAGAACACATCATGAAGGAAAGTATCAACTATCATGAGTCAACTTCTAAAAAGAGGAGTGTTGATGCAGTCAAGATTAAAAGTTCCTTGCAATCTTATGACAGTCCAGTTTAATGCAAGAGTTTTCATATTGCCAGTCAAGATTCAAAAGGGATCAGCTATAATTAATACCTTAAGAACTCATCGAATTAATCACTTAATTTCACTTAAAAATAGCTCTAATAATCATAATAATAAAATAATTAATCATTTGAAAAATCATGTAAATTTAACGATGGATTACCTATGTCAATTGATTAGTTTAACTTAATGAAGAATAAAAAACAAAAATCATAATCAACTCTATCAATACCAACTAGTAATAATTATAATTTGAACTCACTCCTTTAAGAAGCTAGCTTATTTTAATAAAATCAAGAGTCCTTTCAATTAGATTCGAACAATAATCAGAAGGAGGATCCCTCTAAATAAAGAATACTAAAACAACTGAATCCAAACATTGCAACCAGATAATTAGATTACAATCGGTCAGTAAAACATGATTAATGCAGATAACCAGAATAACCATACTAAAGATCAGTCTCATAGGAAGGCTTAAAAAGTTCAGTAACAAATCTAAGTAAGATGCTTGGATAAACTGAAATTAGCTACTAATAGTCCAACTCAACATAATAATAAACAAACAATAATTCGTTAAATTGTTTAAAAGTGCCTGTGTTCACTTAAAATTAATTAAATAGTTTAAAGAATAGTACATTGTATGTGTATCCTTGTGCAACTTTAAGGATGAATGAGAATCATGTTCAAAAGGCGAGATATAACAACAATCATAGTACTCACGAGGAAGTTAAATAAAATAAGGAAAACCAATTGCCTAGTAAAAAGCAATCCAGAAGCGATATTAAAATGATTATTGGCAAGCTATTATAAACAAAAGGAAAACAAAATGAGGACATGGACAAAACGTCATAATTTTCCAAAGTTAATAGAATTTGAATAATTTATTTTTTCATTTATAAAAACACAAATTCTAAAAATAATTAAAAAGTCTAAATAGGAGAGAGAACTAGATAAAATTTAAATACTTTTTTAAATACTTATGTTTTAGAATGATTCTTGTTTTACTCAAAATTACTATATGGTAAATACCTATCCGTGTATCATAAACTTACAATTATTATAATTCTAACATAAGGATTTTAATGAAAATAAATTCGAATTCTTAACAAAATTTGACTAATACATTTTTATTATAATTGTAATATATAATAACAGTTCAAGTTCAAATGTTTTTCTCAGTAACTATCCAATCTCTATAGTGATTTATACGACTTACTAGATTCTGGCTGTAGACTCCCATAATATCTTGGATATTCTTAAAAAATTAGAGCAAAATGATACTTAAATGTAGGAATCAAAAATTTCGTTAGTAATTTTAAATCTCTTGTGGATTAATTGAATTTCTTTTTTTCTAAAATGAGTTCTGTTTTATGAAATGAAGTCGATTTCAATTTTGGTGAGTTTTTTCCAATCTATGGAGTGTTCCTTAATTTAATAGATAGGGATACTTTGTAAATGGTAGCATAGAAAGGCACTTAGTTCAATTTCTTGGCTAATTTGTCGAGTAAGCGAGATGGGATAGTATAATTCTAACTAAGACACGATCTCAAATCTTAGGTAAAGTCTTGCATTATTAGATGGTTGGGTTTGAGTGATTGAAGAGTTGAGATGATTGCTTGGCAAACGTTTTGATTGATGTTGAGCATGAGCAAGTCATCCTTTTTAATAGCTCTTGAATGATTGTTTGTGATATATTCTAGAAGCAACATGATTTATTTTTTTTGATATTCTTAGTTTTTGGTGTCTACAACCATAAGTGGCAATAAGTCAGCTAGAATATGAATGAATTAGTATACAATTTTCGATTAAGTAATTTTTGATTGGTTTTGCTCTCAGAATTGATGATTTATAAGAGTCGATGATTTTTAATATCTTACGAATGGCTCTTTCATTGATTGAGAATTGGATGAGAATTTTGTAGAAAAGGATTTTAAATTAGGTGAAATGCACATGATTTAGTTTGTGGAGTTCGGAAAATTGATGGAGTTGAATCCTGAGTTCAGTGCTATTCCCTTGTGATTGTATTAGGTTGGTGATTAACTGAATTGCGAATTGTTTGAAATCCCTTTCTGGATACGGAATCAGGAATGGTTATAGGGTAATGTCCTTGAGGAGTTGTTGGTACAACAAGTCGACAATTTGGCTGATAGTTGAATAGCCTCTCAATTCTTGATAGAGAGAGGGGGGATTCAAGAGTGGTTGTCTAAATTGTTCTAGTTTGTGAATGATTTTGAGTAGGTTGGGTTCCATGAGGAAGGTGAGTATGAAGTTGTGTTTAAATCTAGTGAATTCTTATTTGGTGTGTATTGGAAGTGTATATTTTTCTACTTGTAAATGATTAGATTGTTTGAGTAATTCAAGTAGCAAATCATAGAGTTGATCTGAGGCCTCGTGTTCAAATTTGACTTTGAGGGAATCCCACAAAATCTGAGTCTTATCAGTGATGCAATATGCAGAAGTGCGACGATTGACAGATTGTAAACTTTTGCGAGGGATCTTTTTGGGATTTTGATTGTTGATGATGTCGGTTAGTTTGGCTACAACGGAGTGATGCTGTAGTTTGCGTTGCTTGATCTCGTTGGTTTTGAGATAGGATCTGACGGGAGAGTTGAATTGGAAGTTGGGAGTAAAGGAGGAGTGGTTTATNGATTCTGGCTGTAGACTCCCATAATATCTTGGATATTCTTAAAAAATTAGAGCAAAATGATACTTAAATGTAGGAATCAAAAATTTCGTTAGTAATTTTAAATCTCTTGTGGATTAATTGAATTTCTTTTTTTCTAAAATGAGTTCTGTTTTATGAAATGAAGTCGATTTCAATTTTGGTGAGTTTTTTCCAATCTATGGAGTGTTCCTTAATTTAATAGATAGGGATACTTTGTAAATGGTAGCATAGAAAGGCACTTAGTTCAATTTCTTGGCTAATTTGTCGAGTAAGCGAGATGGGATAGTATAATTCTAACTAAGACACGATCTCAAATCTTAGGTAAAGTCTTGCATTATTAGATGGTTGGGTTTGAGTGATTGAAGAGTTGAGATGATTGCTTGGCAAACGTTTTGATTGATGTTGAGCATGAGCAAGTCATCCTTTTTAATAGCTCTTGAATGATTGTTTGTGATATATTCTAGAAGCAACATGATTTATTTTTTTTGATATTCTTAGTTTTTGGTGTCTACAACCATAAGTGGCAATAAGTCAGCTAGAATATGAATGAATTAGTATACAATTTTCGATTAAGTAATTTTTGATTGGTTTTGCTCTCAGAATTGATGATTTATAAGAGTCGATGATTTTTAATATCTTACGAATGGCTCTTTCATTGATTGAGAATTGGATGAGAATTTTGTAGAAAAGGATTTTAAATTAGGTGAAATGCACATGATTTAGTTTGTGGAGTTCGGAAAATTGATGGAGTTGAATCCTGAGTTCAGTGCTATTCCCTTGTGATTGTATTAGGTTGGTGATTAACTGAATTGCGAATTGTTTGAAATCCCTTTCTGGATACGGAATCAGGAATGGTTATAGGGTAATGTCCTTGAGGAGTTGTTGGTACAACAAGTCGACAATTTGGCTGATAGTTGAATAGCCTCTCAATTCTTGATAGAGAGAGGGGGGATTCAAGAGTGGTTGTCTAAATTGTTCTAGTTTGTGAATGATTTTGAGTAGGTTGGGTTCCATGAGGAAGGTGAGTATGAAGTTGTGTTTAAATCTAGTGAATTCTTATTTGGTGTGTATTGGAAGTGTATATTTTTCTACTTGTAAATGATTAGATTGTTTGAGTAATTCAAGTAGCAAATCATAGAGTTGATCTGAGGCCTCGTGTTCAAATTTGACTTTGAGGGAATCCCACAAAATCTGAGTCTTATCAGTGATGCAATATGCAGAAGTGCGACGATTGACAGATTGTAAACTTTTGCGAGGGATCTTTTTGGGATTTTGATTGTTGATGATGTCGGTTAGTTTGGCTACAACGGAGTGATGCTGTAGTTTGCGTTGCTTGATCTCGTTGGTTTTGAGATAGGATCTGACGGGAGAGTTGAATTGGAAGTTGGGAGTAAAGGAGGAGTGGTTTATGAGTTGAGACATGTTTGGGAGTCTGACGGAGTAGGCACTTGAGCTACGGGCTTGACTGGGGGAAGTGTATAGCATATTAATAATATTGACATAATCACACAGAAGATTTTATAATAGTTACTTAATTTGTAATTCATCAGTATTATAAGTGAGCGAATGCCGAATTAATATATTTATTTATAATTAGAATGAGTGGGACAGATGAAGGGTATGTATGAAATTGATTTTTGAGTAGAAGCCAAGATGATTCGGATGATCAATAATATGTCAATTCCTCGGCAAATATGAGTTTGTCAGACAGACTCAAATAATAGGCACTGGATGTTCAGAGGATGTTAAAGCAACTGGAAAGGGAGTTCGAAGAGGAGGATTGCCAAACTTATTATATTTTGAGCAAGAAGTATTTAAATACATTCGATAACTTAGTTGGCTCGACAAATGGAAGCAGTATGTGTCTTACGAGAATGTGGTGAATAATTAAAGTGTTCCCAACACTTCTGGAAAGGTGATGCCTCAAAATTTCAATTACGATCTTATTGAGCCATATGTCAATGAATGCTTCAAGTATTACCCTCTCAGCACAAACCCTTGGAATTTATGGTTGAAATCCAATCTCGACGAAGGCACACACTATATAGTCATTTCGCAACAACTTTCGTCCTATTTCAATCAATATTACCGAGGCACGAACATCCTCAGAAATGCCACAGGTAGAGGCAAAGACAAGAAGGTCATTGTTAATTTGTTGAAGGTATGAAGCATCCTCTTACTAGAATAGTTTAACGCAATCCTCATGATTCCCAACACAGTCAATCAAATTGCTTAAGACAACCTCACTCAATTGGAAAAAGAGTATATGTAAGTGGATGAGAATGCCAATCTCCAAGACTTTTACACCACCGTTCTCAGAACAGTACCCACTTTCAGAGGAAACTATAACAGTCAAAATGGAGTTCGCATATGGAGATACACCAATGATACCGATCCTCACAAGGCACTCTTTGCTGAAATCAAAAAACAAGTTGAAGACCTGGATTTTAATGATGACTAGGTCTTCAACTTTTCAGGGTCTCCAGTTTCAATTTCATCAGAACTCACTTTTAAATCATTGAATTTGACTGATAAAGATATTATCATTATTGAAGTATCCAAATACTCCTATGTAGTTCCAACAAGTGAATAGGCCCTGGTGCATCAGACACCCTTCTGTCCCAGTCGAAGGGAAGTGTGAGGGGTGTTCTAACATCACCGTATTAACAGTTCTCTGTGTCTGCAAAAAGGTGTCCTATTGCACGGAACAATGCAGAATCAACGATGAGCGATTCCATCTCCCCAAATGTGATCGTCTTGGTTCAGATGATGAATAAGTCAAATCCATACACTAGACTGCAACTTCGGTCAATGGAGTAGCTGGGTTGTCCAACTTAGGTAACACTTGTTTCATGAACAGCGGGACTCAATGTCTATCAAACACTTATTAGCTAACATAATACTTTTTATCGAACAAGTATTTTGAAGAAATTAATGAGGATAACCCATTGGGAACTAAAGGCTAATTAGTTAGAAAATTCGGATCACTACTCAAAAAGTTGTGGTGTGGTGATAAAAACATAGTAATACCAACAAGCTTTAAAAAAGCAGTTGGTTAATTCCAACCTATGTTTAAAGGATATTAATAACATGATTCTTCAGAATTGATTACATTCTTATTGGATGGATTACATGAGGATTTAAATAGAGTGAAAAAGAAACCATATGTGGAATCTAAAGATCACCAAGGTCGACCTGATGTTGAAGTTGCCAAGGAAGGCTGGGAAAACCATTTGGCCAGAAATTAATCAATAATAGTAGATTTAATGCATGGCCAGTACAAATCAACTTTGAGGTGTCCAAATTGTTAATAGATTTCAATTACTTTTGATCCTTTCTTAACTGTTGGATTAGGTATACCAAATAGGAAATAAAAGTCCATCTAAATTAAAGTGATTAAGTCTGTAGTCTCTTTTGATATTAAGTATATCCATTTTGATGGTTCCAAAAAGAATCTATCTCTTAAAGACTTCATAAATGAATATGTAATAAACGAATTTAAAATTGATCCAGACAGTGAATTAGTATGCTATTCATCTGTGATGAATGATTTATCCGATCCGATCAATCCTGGGTAGGATATTAACGCAGTGAGGAAGAATTCCAAGAGAGGATACTTGGTGGTGAAGGTGGTGAGTCAGGATGAAAGGAGGATAGAAAACGATGAACGAATCTATCTGAATTATGTTCAAAAAGCCTATGATTCATATGGACACAATTTCAAGAAAATAATACAGCCTTCGACTTACTTAATTATAAAGAGAGAGTACAGTTTAGCTAAGATTCACTTGAAGATATTCCAGTCTCTGTTACCTATATTTTGCGATATAGTAAAGGAAGCTGAATTGGATACAGAAGACAAGTTGAGGGAGTATTATGAATAGCATATTCATGGAAAAGTACATGACTTCTATTTATATTCTTAGTATTATACGGTGAACAATAAGCAGAGCATTATGTTAATGCAGAAGAAGTGCATCTTCTGCAATGCTAAAAATTGCCAGGAATGTGAAGTGAGTTATTATACAGAGGACACTTTCGAGAAGGTCTAGCAGAAACAAATGGTAAATCCGAATGATTAGATGTAAAAGATAGAATTGGTAGTGTTTTGGAATAAGAGTCCATTCCAAAACATTAATGCTGGAGACATCTATCAATATTACTAAAATCAGCAGTACAGGAAATAGATTGAAGGTATTTAATAATATCAAATATAGAGGAGAATAACAATGCAGATTAGGAGAACAATGGAAAAGGAAAAATGATGGGAAAGAACAATTCATCTTCCTATGTCATGAATCCACCACCCAAAGTCACACTTCAGGAATGCTTGAGATTTTCTGAATAGCCAGAGCAATTGGCTGAGGATAATGCTTGGTATTGTAAGGTGTGCAAGGAACATGTGCAAGCCTATAAAAGTATGCAAATCTATAAGGTATCCAATTTCGAATAGAGAGTAGGCTTCGGACATTTTGATTTTTACTTTAAAGAGATTCAAGGCGTCACATGGATTTTTCAAGTAGAAATTGGAGACATTTGTTGAATTCCCAGTCAGAGGTTTGGATCTGACAGATTTCATAATAAATTAGAATAAACCTCATGAGAATTTTCAGATTGAGGAGGAGTAGAAGAAGTTGATTTATGATTTGTATGCTGTGTCCAACCATTTTGGTGGCATGGGTGGTGGACATTATACTGCTTATGCAAAGAATCATGTAAGATTTGGGGTGATTTATTAATGTAGTTCAACGGTCTATGGTATAATTTCGATGATTCCCAAGTGACTGAGTTGGAGGAGGATCAGGTTGTATCAAAAAGTGCCTATGTTTTGTTTTATAAGCGTAGAAGTGAATAAGAGTAGACTTAAACATTAAATACGTAGGAGTTAAATTGAAATATAATATATATATAAATTAATGTAAAACAAGAAATTAAAATGGAAATCAGATTTTGAAAAGTCTGTTATAATTGAAAACTTTGTGAATAGAGGATGGATCAAATCCCAAGAGAAGGAAGAGGAGTCAACCGATTGGAATGTCTATTGGGCAACTGTGTGGAATGTTCGTAACATCTTTAATCCCAAGAATGGGTTCAGACTCAATGATCAAGTATTCTCAATTAAATATGACAGCAAATCATCAATCACTTTCCAAATCATTACGAACTGACACGCAAAGATTGTATGGTCAAGAACCTCAAACGATTTAAAAGAGAATAAGACAAGGAAGTATTGGAAACATTCAATTTTGACTTTTTGCCAACCACTTACATTTTCCCTGGAGAATATTCCCTGTTTGTAGAAGAATTCCATCGAAATCCAAATCAGACTTGGATTGTTAAACCAGCAGCTAGAAGTCAAGGCAAAGGGATATTTTTGTTAAGGAAAATATAACAATTGAAAAAAATATCAGGAACAACAGTTACCAGCAATATGACTCAATTAAATCTGGCATCAAAGGAGAATTATGTAGTCTCTAGATACATTGATAACCCCTTGTTGATTGGAGGAAAGAAATTCGATTTGAGAATGTATGTGCTAGTTACAAATTACAAACCACTAAAAGTTTGGATCTATAATAAAGGATTCGGTAGATTCTGCAATGAACAATACACTACGGATGTTGCTGAAATTGAAAACATGTTTGTGCATCTTACCAATGTGGCCATTCAATAATACAGTGACAAGTATTCCCAGAAACATGGAGGGAAATACTCAATTGATGCACTCAAACTATATGTGGAATCTGCCTATGGGACTGATGCATTATAGAGAATGATGGATGATATTCATAACATCATGTTAACCTCATTGAAAGTAATATTAATAATATTATTATTATAGTCTGTATAAGCTGTGATATAGAATGACAAGCATTGCTTTGAAATGTATGGTTATGATATTCTACTTGATTCAAATCTTAAGCCATGGCTCATTGAAATCAATGCCAGTCCATCCTTGACTACTACGACTCCTGTTGATAAAAATCTAAAAATGAATCTCATCAATGATGTCTACAATATAGTACTACCAAATGACGATTTCCCTGACAATGAATAGAAATGTAATCATATATTTTATGTATATTATAGAACAACAACCTACCAAGGTGGGAGGATTCACCCTTTTGTATGATGAGAGTCTAGATCCCAATAACAGGAAGACTTAAAAAAGGTAGAGTGTTAAAATATGGAAATGAATTATTAATTAATATTTAAATACTTTTTTCCTGTTAAAATTTGTATATTTGTATTATAAATTTAAAAATGCCAAGTAGGAGGCGAACCAAAAAGAAGAACAAAAGAACCAACAAATGTACTGATTATTATTGTGATTCAAGAATAAAAGTCAACCAAAGTCGAAAAACAAAAACCTGCCAAAATTGATTATTAGCCTAAACCGGTGACAAGAGCCCAGAGCAAGACCAAAGACCAAAAGGAAAATCAAAACGTATAGGAATCCGTCAAATAAACAAAGGGCCACATCGATAAACATCATAACAAAGAATAACATCCTAATTCGCAAAATGAAAAAGGGATTCCCGCTTCTTCAACATTGACTCATTAACAAGGTATATTAACACATTGTGATTGATGAAGAGTGTTCCGATCAAATTTCTTAGATTTCACAGTTATTTACTCTATAAAAAAGTGAAGCTCCAAATAATCATTCCCGATAATTAAGTAAACCCAAGATATTGAGTATTCGGGCTGCTAAATTAACCATTCCTGCAGAAACTAAGGAAATTCAAATGGATATCGAGCAAGAGGAATGCGAGTTCATTAATCAGGCCATGATACAAACCAGATGCAACCTCTTGGGAATGCCCAAACAGAGTAAATCTAAAAAGGACCAATCTCTAACAACAGAAAAAAACTTCGCATTTGAAACATCTGAACAATCAGCAATCGTCCAAGCTCCTCGTCCTCACAAAACTTAAGAACAATTAGCTCTCATGGAGGAATGCTTTACATCCTTACTTGAAAGTACAGTTCCCGATGAAATCCTTTGTAGGGATCAAGAAAAGATACTTATCACAAGATTCATTGAGGATGGCATCAAAAATAATGGATAAAAATAAGCATTATGTAATTTAAACCATTAATAACGTAGATATATCGGGAGTTCCTGGAATAGGCAAAACAGCCACAGTCTTGGAGGTCAAAAATAAATTGCTCTCCAAAAAACTCAACTTTGAGTTCATCTATTTCAACGCCATGAATGTTGGAGCTCCCGAAGACATTTATCCATTTCTCTATGAAAAATTCACCAACAAAAGAGAAACCTCCAGAATCAAATCTTGCATCCTTCTAAGTTCTTGATTTTCTTTATTTTAAGCCGAACTCTTCAATGGTGAATCTGAAACCATCAAGCAAAACAAAGTAGTATTACTAGATGAATGCGACCATCTCTACACAACCGACCAACAAGTTCTGTACAATTTGGTTGATTGGCCTCAACAACCTTCAGCCCATCTAATCATCATCATGATTGCTAATACTATGGATTTTCCTGAAAGACTCAAACCTAAGTTATAGTCCAGATTGGGAAATCATCGTATAGTCTTTAAACCCTACAACAGTACCCAAATAGAGAGTATATTATAACAGAGGATGAAAACCAAGAAAATTAAATAATTATTTGCCTCCAACACACTAAACTATTTGGGCAAAAAGATTGCTACCATTTCAACTGACATTCGAAAGACCTTAAGTGTCTGTAGAACTGCTATCGTCTTGGCTAAGGAGTAGCTCTTAAAGAAAGGCCTGTTTTCTCAAATCGAAGTAGATCACATAAAACTAGCCTATGATATGATCTACAATAAACCCTAACATAATTCTTTGTAATACTTTAATGATGAATTGAAACTGCTTTTGATAATGATCGCCCTTGAAACTCACATTAAGGGTTATAATTACGCCTATTTTCATCAAGTCATTCAAAGAGTGAACCAATAAAAACAATTATAGAAAAAAGATACTCTTACAAACTTTTAAATGAAATAAGTCTTAATAAAGTTATCTCAGTTGAACTTAATTGAAATTAAAGAGGAATAAGTGTTACTAACAAAAAGTAGCTGGCAACAAAAATTACAGGTAAACATTCACTACTATTTTATTTAGAATAGTTTGGATAAGGATAGACTATTTAATTTGGAGGATATTTTGATTCAACTTAAAATAAACATCGATGACATTAAGAATGGACTTTCAAATGATGATCTTTTTAAAGAATTTTCAAATTTATTTTGATTTAAAACTCAAACTTCAAATAATTATAAAACATTGCCATTTCCTTTTTTTAACTTTGAGAAAATGATCTTTCTTGTAAACCGTTTAAGTGGTGTTCTAAGGTTAGAGTCAGCAAGATATTCTCAATAAGATAACCAGTTGAAAAATGCTTTTCCTTAATTATGGTTAATGTCTTAATCACGGATAGAAGTGGGCTATAAAATTTTTAATGAAATTTCTATAATTAAGTATGATTTAATTAGATTTATTACATAACACAACCCTCTCTAGAATTAAATTTAATAAAGTATTTTTTGATATTTAATAATGGGGTGTCATGTAACTAAAAATCCCAGTTCTGACTAAAAATTCAAGGAATAAGTAATTACCGATGAAATGTTACAAGGTATTATACTTCTTATACTGAGTTTAGAGTGCAAGGTGGATGAGGATGTGAAATCCAGAATAAGCGTTTACAATCAAGCTCTTGAGAAAATGCAGAAGATTCCAAAACTGAGGAATGCAAGTATTTTAAGATTTATTGTAGTATTCAATCCAATAGTTTAGAGAAGAAAAATGCAGAAATTCGATGAAGACTGATTTACTATATCTATAAAAATATATAATTAAATATATAAATATGCAAGAATTAAAGTTGATAGGAAAGGAATGTCCAATTGCCAGAGGAGGATGCAACTTTTTATAATACGATAAAGGCAAGTACTTGGTGATAGGAGGAGTCAATAGATCTGAAAATGGATTGTAAGAGTTTAATGATTTTTGGACTTTGCATTTGCCTCTAAAGGACGGCAATTTGGCAGGAATTTGGAAAGAATTGACTCTAGAAAATTAATAGCTCTACACATCACGTTCAAGTTAAGCAGCATGTATAAGTGATGACAAGATGGTTTACATTTTCGGAGGTTAGAAGTTCTTGGAATCTCAATCAACTGACGAATTCTACAGGATCGATACAGCGTAGAAGGTGTTAACCATAGTAAAATCAAAGAATAAGCCAAGAGCTAGAAACTCTCACACACTTACCTACTATAAGGATAGATTGTTTTTATTTGGTGGTGCAAATGAAAATGGGCCATTGAATGACTTACATATCTATGATATTAGTATAAAATGAACCCCTATTAATAGAAAGTGAAGTATGGTAGCAGATCAAGGATGTTTCAGAATTGATAATGGCTAGGGAGATGCATACTGCTCACATTTTATAAATGAACTTAAAGCCATTGAAAAAGAGTGAGGATAATAAGGCTTAAAAGTTGATTGGAATATTTAATGAATTATAAGGAGAATAAAAGGAGTAAATTTAATAAATAGCAGTTAAAGAGTAAATAATTGAGTAAGCTAATAATGAAATTTAATAATAAGAATAAGAATAAGAATAATAGAAAGATGAATAATAATAATAATAATAATAATAATAATAACAATAATAAATAGATGATAATTAATAAGATTATCTAATTATCTTGGGAGGCAGAAATAAAAATGATCTTTTACAAGATATTCAAGTGATTAATTTATCCACTTTTGAAGTAGATTAGATTGAAAACCTTCCAACTCCTTTATGTGCTCATACTTCTGTAAAAGTCAAATAGGATATCTGGATTTTTGGAGGTTGTGATGGTGCTTCTTTAAATTCAAATATCTATTAGTTATAGGATTAAACAATCAAGAAGGTAGGGACGATATAGACAGCCATAATGGCTAGTAGTGCGTTGTATTCAGAGGAATTAAATAAGATTATTATATTTGGAGGGTGCACTTTAGATAGAGATTTAAATTAGACATTTGTTGTACAAATTTGAGTTTAATATAATATTTATATATATAATTAAATGTAAAAGAATCCAAAGCCTGAATTTCTTCAGATCCCCTCTTAAACAAAGAGTGTGAATAAGATAAACATGATAGAAGTGAAAAATGAAGGAATGATAGTATCAAGATTAATATCCTAAGCATGATGTCTGCTATGATTTTTTTGGAACAAAGATTGCATTAGGATCATCAGATGGACACATAGAGATTTAAGAAATCAATGTCAATTCGTTTAAATCAGAGTAACAGAAAGACATATTGTCATATAAAATTCCTGACTTGTAAATCATGCAATATTGAGATAGCTAACACAAGGGACCAGTTTGGTAATTGAGTTGGTCTAATCCAAAATATGGAAATATTTTAGCCTCTTGCTCTTTCGATAAAACCATTTGTCTCTTCAAGGAATAAAAGTTTGGCAAATATTCTTTATTGCTGCAATTGTCAGAACACAAGGAATCAGTTCAATCTATCTAATGGTCTTATAGAAAATTGATATTGGCAGCGGGAGTAGCAGATGGGAGTGTACATATTTATTACAGAAAGAAGAATGGATAAATTAAAAATTAATAGGATTGGGAACACAAATCTGTAAGTATCGATTTAACTTTTAGGAAAGTCAGCATAAATCTTGTGTAAATCAAGTGAGTTGGGTTAGGGATAAGGAATTGGATTTTGCAACTTGCAGTACTGATAAGACAATAAGTGTATGGAAGGTAACAACTCCAATCGATGGAGAATATAAGTTGTTTTAGATCTAGCTTATCGAATGTGACAGTTGGGTTAGATCTATTGATTGGGCAGCTGAGTAATTTGACTAAAATTAAATATTGGCTGCAGGAATGGAGGTATAAATGAAATTTATAAGTCATCTTAAGTTGAGATCTTCTATTTGAAATGGGATCAAAACAATGACAAATAAGTAAAAATCAGCAAAGCAATTTCATTGCAAACTAAAGGACCTTGTTGGAAAGTATAATGGTCTCCATTGGGGAACCAATTGGCGATTTCAACATTGGATGATAAGAATGACCCTTTTGTTTAAGTGTATAGATAATCGCAAAATGGTGAGTTTGCAGAAATCTGAAAAATATATATAAATCATATATTTTCTTCTTCTTAATTTAGGCTCTAATGGGCGATGGTTTCGTTTCTGTTTTGCTATTAATCTTCTTATGGTGGTGCTGGTTGTTTTGGCAATCCTGTGATGTTATCCTTGATTCTAGAGAGTGTTTTGCCAAAGAACTTAGCTCCTTTTGCAGTGAGTGATTAATCTTTATTTAATTCAGAATTGTCGTAACTCAACCCATCGAATTCTTCTAAGGATGTGGTGATATTTTTAGCAAGGGAGATGCTCTCATTGTTTCTATATTATGCTAATGTTCTAAGAAGTGGTATATTAATCAATACTTTTTAAGAGAGTTTGAAAAAACGTATATTTGCTTGCTAATCATTTTGCCAGGATTCAAAGCTTAGGTAGTGTTTTAGAACAACAGTTAATTAATTGAAACTACTTTTGGTTGCTGTTGTAAGACAATTTGGGATTTTTGGGGAGGGAACTCTTATTAAATCAAAGGAGTATTTTCTGATTCGTGATTCATTTTTGTTTAATTATATTATTAATATTACATTATAGAATTAATTTAAACTTAAGAAGCAATGATTTTAGATTAATTATGATAGATTATGAACATATTACTATTAAGATTCGAATAATATTAAAACACGCACACTCAAATGAAATCGATGTACAAATAATCCATTAAAATAGATATTTTTTTATTGAAATTAAATATTTAAATGAGTTCAAATGATAAATATGACAGATAGGTCAGGATTTGGGGACCACATGGACAGACCAAACTCTAAAATGCAAGAGTGTTGTTGTTGGGGTAATTTTTGGAATAATTTAATTTAGATGTGATCCTGTGGGAGTTGAAACTCTGAAAAATCTAGTGTTGCCTGGAGTTGGTTATGTTGTGATTGTTGATACTAAGGTGGTCACAGAGAAGGATATTGAGAACAATTTCTTCATTCCTCATGATACTATCGGACAGAGCAGAGCAAAAGTGGTGTTTGAATATTTATTGGAAATGAACCAAGATGTGAAAGGAGAGTGGCATCAAGTAGAGAATTTTGATGTCAAAGAGCAACACTATGATTTAATAATTGCAAATGAATAACAATTGTTAGAGACCAAATTCAACTTGATTGAACTCCAAACTTATGGATTCGTTGGTAGGATGAGATTGTACTCTCCCAAATGCCATATTATTGAAACCAAACCTATGAATCAAAAATATGATTTGCGCATTTTCAATCCTTTTTAAGAATTAAAAGAATACTTTGATTCGATTGAATTCGAAGGGGATGTAGACTATGTTTCACACATTCCTTACATTGTTATTTTATATAAGGCTCTCTAAAAATATCATAAGGAAAAGGGAAAGTATCCAACTACCTTTTCAGAAAAACACAAGGATTTTAAATAAGTTATTTTAAGTCTTTGTGAAGGTCTGGAATACTAATACACAGGGAATTTCTATGAGGCAATTGATAACATAGATTAAGCATTTGATAGTGAAAATTGGAAAAGTTCTCTTGAATCAATAGAGATAGAACAGGATGTTAATGAAGATCAGTATTTCGTATTGATCTCGGCACTTAGATAATTTGTGCAAATTCATGGGGCCCCTCCTTTGGGCAAAGCATTCCCTGATATGAAATGCTTTACATAAACATATGTGCATTTAAAAAATACTCTATATGGTACCAAAGTGGAGAAAGACTTTTAAGTTTTCAAAACTCTGTGCTAGAATAAAGTAGATGATGACACCATAAGATTATTTATAGAGAATCTATAGGACTTAAAATCTATCACTTTTCGCACAATCTAACAAGAATTGCAATAGCCAAACGAAGTTGAAGACTAGGACAATGATTGCTATATCTGGTACATCTTACTGAGATCAGTTAATGAATTCTATGCTACCAACAATAGATGGCCTAATCAAGAAAAGGCAGATACCTAATAATTATAGTAGATAGTTGAAAAACAATGTAGACTAGTCAATGTAGATAGCATACCTGAAACTCATGTTATTGAGATATGTAGGTATGAGGGAGCAAAATTGCACATGATTGCTTCAGTTTTGGGTGGTATGGCATCTCAGGAAGCAGTCAAACTAATTACCAATCAGTTTGTTCCCATCAATAACACATTAATATATGATGGACTAAAAAGTGAGGCATCCATATTTGAATTCTGATTCTGCATAACACATATATGTGATCATTAATAACAACAACACATATTAATGAGATTAATCTCTTCCAAAATCTTACCCTATTATTTTAAATAAAACCTATATATACATATATATTAAATGCTATTATTAATCATAATTAATGAATCTATCGACAAAGAAAGGAGTGAAAAAACTTAATTAAACCCGTTTATTATCATGTGTTATTATAATATATATTTGATTATAATATTAGAATAATTTAACTATCAAATAATTTATATAGAGATATAACAAATAAACAGAAATCTAGTCTGTTACCAAATCAATTTTACTCTATCTTTTTTGATTTGTTTCTTTGTCTTTCAGTTTAGGGTTCATGTTATTTTAAACTAGTCAAACTACATTGTCTTGATAATTTAGTTTATGGTTCCTAATTGAATTCACACTAGGATCTCCCATATTATTTTTATTTGTGATTATACCATGTGTTCACATCAAAATATTTATAATCAAGCAATGCTTAAATTGCTTCCATAGCTTGTGAACTATCCAGTCTCTATTGAGGTTCCGCCTTCACAAGGAGTTACACTAAATCGAAAACTGATCCTTTCTCCTTAATTGTGAATTAACATGTTTTATTATTTCTGAAGGTCTCTTTTTCATTATTGCTTCGAAACAGCCCATCCAACGTCAATAGTTTGTAGAATATGCATCCTACACTGAACAAATCCACTTTATAATCATAGGCTTGTTTCTTGTTCCAAACATTGAGTACTTCAGGGGCGGAATAGCCAGTAGTGCCACATGATGGGTGTTATTCAAGTTGCTTTCCATTGAAACAGGCTAAGCCGAAGTCAATTATTTTGATTTAATTGTTGTGATACATCAGATTTGCAGGCTTTAGGTCTCGATGAATGATCCCATTCTGATGAATACATTGCAATCCTTTTAAAAGCGACTAAATTAAATTAAAAAATATTACTTCCATTATTTGTAGAGCCTCTTGTATCGGGTAGGGTTTGGTTCTGCGTTCAAGATGCTACTTTAGATTGGATCCAGGGAGATACTCTGTCACGATATAGTAATTGAGTTCATCCTTGTAAACTTCTTTGATTTCAAGGATGTTTAAGGCATTTCCTTGTTTCAACCTTTTGAGTATCTCGATTTCGTTCTTTATGGTTGGGCTGTGGTTGTTCTCACACTTGATGCTCTTTATTGCCACGAGATTGGAGGTGAACCTGCAGGTTTCTTTAGTGACCTAACAATATTAATTGGTTTAAAATACTTTTCCAAAAGAACCAGCTTAAAGGATTTCCTCCTTCTTATAAAACATATCTATCTTTTAGTAACACACCAACGCACCCATCTTTGCCTTGAGGTTCACCATGTCATTAGGATTACCAAAGAAGTCCTTGATTTTATCTTAATAGGGAAGCTAAAACCCAACAATTTTATTGTTAAGAACAGACCAAGAGAATACTTTCTCAATTTTTAATTAATAGATATATTTTGGATTCTACTGGTTTGGTTTCTATTAGATTTATCAAAACTACTATTTACTTCGCATAGGGTTAGGCATTGGGTTGTTAATTGAAGATAATATTTTCGATTCAAGAATAAGTGTCTTCTTTCAACCAAGCATTCATAAAGAACGCCTGTATTGCTTTCCTGAGAAGTCTATCCTGAGCTTGTGGGCATTATTATTTATTACATTGTAAATAATAATATTCACTTGATATTTAATCTTACTATATTAGTAATATATCATATATTTTTTATCATCTTATTCAAATACAAAATGAATTATAGTTTAGCCGTTATATATTGATCTTCCGCCTCTCAGATCAAAATTATATATCTATGACTTCTTGGTCTCACCAATTGCGTTGCAATCATCAGATTGATAGTCATGAATATGAATACCCTTTTGAAATTCAGAGACCAAGTTTTTGTGATGTTTTAAATTATATTTTTTATAAAATAATTGTACAAATATAAAATACATTAGTATTAGTATCGATTATGATCATCATACACATGTTAATTAGCTTGTTCGTTATATCATATCGATAATGGGGACTACTTCCAAGTTTTTAGTCTAATTTCAAAATAAGTAATTCACTTAAATACTCTTAAGAGTAGTTACAATCACTTCTCATAACCAATCAAGAACAAACTGGGGGTGACGATGAAATTTATAATTGCTCAAATTTTCATTTATTTTTTATCTAATTTTTATAATTAATTTTGTTATTGGACTTAGTTATATACAAATAAAGGAACTGCACAAATGTAATATTCTTTGAGCATCAATCAATTATATAAACACGATAAATTTTAAATTAAATAGTCATTATTTAGCAGCGTTTGATAAGATGCCTCTAAAGATTTTTGATCCTCCGAAATTAAGAATCTATTGATATTTAAGGGTAATTAGTTACAGGCGATTAAAGTTTGCTCCCTTTGTTGTTGTCCTTCTCAATTTTACAACTCGAAGGTTTGTGCTCCAGGGATTATGATCTTTCTTTCAACTCTCCAGGAGTGGGAGGAAGATTGACTGGAATCGGGGCAGGGGTTTGAAATTTAGTGGATTTCAGTTTCTTTTGGTTTTAATTAGGCAAACCCTCAGTTTTCTTCGCCCTTTCTTTCTACTCCTTTTTGATAATCATTATGAGAAGAGTACTTTGAGGATTCGCTTTTCAGATTCTTTTTGGGCCGAAAGGATGAAGTTCTTGAAAATCAAGGAATCTCTGACAACTCTAGAGCAAGTGAGACTTTTGAAATATTGATCTAATAATTGTTTCCGTTCTTCGATCAAATCAGGGTCGGAATTGACTGATTTCCACCAATGAGTACTTGGGAATGATGGTAATGTGATTTTGAGAGTCTCAAGTGCTTGATGAAACTTTTTAAGTTCTGAAAATCTATGTTGATTATGGAAGACTAGTTGATTTTTTTGATTGAAGAAGCTTTTAAATAAGTAATCAGAGTTACTTAAGTTGATAATAGACTGTTTATTGGTTCTTTTATGATTGAGATACTGTAATTACAAAGTCGAAAACATTGTCTTGCATGAAAATATTGTAAATTAATCCTCTAAATAATATTTAATAATGGCGGAGATTTCCATATTTCCTAAATCTTATACTGTTTCAAGATTAGAATTATATCAATTGGGTCTGGGTTGATTTTCAAAGTAGGAAAGGAGGGGAGGGGAAGGGCATAGAAGGAAATAAAAAGAAAAAAAGGTTTATTTGTGAAAGAGGGAGAGAAAATGAAGGACGATAAGGGAAGGGGAGGATATGCAAGAACTGTTTAATAAGGGGGGAATAAGAATTTTGTGTATTATTAACGATATTATTAATATAAATAATTTTATAGTTAGCTGGAATGAATGAGTCCGACAAAGAGAATAAGAACGGTATCAGGCTCAACAACAAAAGGATAATCGGGAATTATTAGCTTAGTATTGAAATATGTTAATAAACAGTTAAAACTTTGGGAGAAGGTACTTTTGGAAAGGTGAAGCTGGCCGTTCATCTGAAATCGCAGGAGAAAGTGGCAATAAAAATATTGGAGAAGGAGAGAATAGTAGAAGTGGCAGATGTGGAACGAGTGTCCAGAGAAATACACATCTTGAAATTGATTAGACACAAACATGTAATTCAATTGTACGAAGTATGCAATTCCATGGAATATGTAGATAATTGAAACACCCAAGCACATCTTCATAGTAATGGAATTCGCAAATGGAGGAGAGCTCTTTGAATATATAGTCAAACATTAACGACTTTAGGAAATCGAGGCTTGCAAATTTTATCAATAACTGATATCAGGTATCGAGTACTTGCACAAACTCTGTATCGTACATCGAGACCTCAAGCCAGAAAATCTACTCCTGGACTTCAATAATTCAATAAAGATTGTAGATTTTGGATTAGGAAACACCTACAAAAAGGGTGAGTTGCTCAAAACAGCCTGTGGCAGTCCCTGTTACGCAGCCCCAGAAATGATAGCTGGTTAGAAATATGATTGTTTGATGGTCGACATTTGGAGCAGTGGAGTCATATTATTCGCTAGCATCTGTGGTTATTTGCCCTTTGAAGTAATTATGAATATAAATTGCCCTAGGATCAAAACACATCTGCTCTTTATAAGAAAATACTGAATGGTGAATATTCCATCCCTAAATTTGTATCCACTGAGGGAGCCAATTTCATCAAGGCAGTTTTAACAACAGACCCAAAAAAGAGAATAACTGTTGAACAAATGAAATCCCACCCCTGGTTCAATCTCTACTAAAGTTAGTCCAAGATCTCTCCAGGAATCATTGTTGGGTACAATAGAATGCCCATCGATGACTCTGTTGTAGATTCCTTATCCCAACAAGGTTATGACAAAGAATACATCATTAAGTGTTTGGATGCCAACAAACACAATGATGTGACAACTGCTTACTATTTGGCATTGAAACGTAACTTAATCAGTGGAGTACAATCCAAAGCTGACATTAACAGCAGTGTTTTCGAAGAATCCTTATTAGAACCTAAACAAAGACCTAAAAAACGTAATCATTCATCGCAATATCTCCATTAGCTCCTATTTCCAACATCGTCGCCACCTCCATCTTCAAGTAAAACAGATCTGGCTCAGTACAATAGAATGGACAAACCAACAACAATTCTTAAAATAGAGGCAAGAGTGTTCCATAAGCCATTAGTGATGACCAAACCTAAATGCTTGTTAACTATGCTCATAAGATGAAATACCAACCCATCAATCCACAATAGAAATTTGCCATACCCACCGATGTCACTTAAATAATCTCACTTTAATCTGTTGATGACACTTTAGAGAGACCTAAATCCATTTCTTATCACATTCCTAAAAAGACTCCCACCAATCATTAATCTTCAGAACACAATAAAAGCAAAACTGGTGTCTAAAGAGATTCTGTCTCACCACAATCCAAATCAAAATAGAAGAAGAGTTTACAATCCAAATAGGTTAATTCTTCTTTTGAATATGTCAGTGTCAATAACTACAGTACCAAACAAACTGAAGAACGCAAGAAAAGTAATAGCAAACACACAACCAAGGATCTATTTGATTTAACCAACTATCAAAAAAAGTTAATGATCGATTGTAATCAAAAACCCACTAGTCAACTTTGGCAATTGCAAAACAACTTTAGATAGAACTCTAGATTGTATGAGATACCAACTTCGACCAAAACTAGTAACTCTGTAAATAAAAGATCAAAAGTAACTAAACAAGAAAATAATAATAAGAGTACAAATCAAAAAAGTACTTTAAATAATAGTTTTAATTTTGATAAAAAATCTTATTATAATTGAAAATACTAAAACTGTAAATAGTTTGAGTATGATAATTATACACATTCATATATATATTGTTATTTATTTACTTACTCTTCCTTGTTCAATATATATATATTGCGAAAATTGAAAAAGAATATATATTCATTACTTAAAAGATACTAAAATATAATATTCATTTAGGCATTAACTTAAAATCTTAAAAATGCAAATCGACTTCTCTGTTTATTAAAAACAAGGAATTAAGTACAACATTTTGATATGTTTTATTATTTATCATTCTTTAAAATGACTCTTTCATATTTCTATTGTTATGCATATATATGTATACTTATATTCTTCTATTTTTTTATCATGAATTTCAAGAGTAATCTCTATCATCCAAAAGAATAGTTTTAACAGATACATCTATTTATTAGCCATTAAAATATTGGTTAATTTTGATATGTCTATTTAGACCAAATACTATTTGAATTTGTTTTCATTGAATTACTCAATTTTACTTGATTGAATCAAAAAGTTGAAAGCTTATATTAAATCAAAAATGTGCTTTTATCTAGGGTAGGATACTGCAATTTAGTATATGGTTGAGAATAGATTATAGTATTATTTAGGGTTGTTGTTATTTTTCACAAGATATTTAGAAGTAGCGCCAGAAATTATTTTTAATTCTTGAGCTTTCAAATTGAACTAGCACTCAGTTGTCAATAATAGTATTCCCGAAATTTAGTATAAATTCATTGCAAGATGTGTGAAGCTTGTTTTTCTGAATTCCAAGTAACTTTTGAGTTCTTCCATCCTCATATCAATATTGCCAATGAAAGCCTTGTGAGTTGCCAGCAATTCGTTCTAATTAAGTGTATAAATTTACAATATTATTGCCTTTTACTATATTCTCTATAAAATCCTTATGATATTCAAGGAGATTTTGTTAGAATTGTTCTTGTACTATTGATTCGATGAAATCTTGTGTCTTTTGATTTTCTCCGAACATATTTTCAAAATTTTCAAAGAATTTCTTGTCCTAAAATAATTCAACTCCATATTTATATTTCATCATCTCTGCCTGAATTTTATTGATAGCTTACTAAAGATCAGGTTCAGTAAGTATTATTAATAACCCTCCAATATCTGGGTATTTTTCAAATACTTATCCGAGAATTCCATTCAAAATCAAGTTCATTTCTACCATTGTACTTTCATCTTGTATTTCTAGGAGGGATTGCACTATAAAGAATAGTGTGAAATATTCTAGTTTAGAAACCAAGGAAGCAGATGTTTTATAAATGAACTTTAAGATTTCCTCATACCTTTACAAGTGTATATCCATTTTGAAGCCAATGTCCCTTGGTATTGCTTCTTACAAATCGGATAATGTCCAGTTGTCACTTCCATTCTAATTTGTAATGTGAGTTGTTTTTAGAGTCATCCAAAAGAATAGATCCTAATCTTAAGGGAAATGTTGATTTTCAAAGACTTAGGACACAGATCCTGAATCGAAGGCAATCAAATAGCATTATTCGAATAGTTCATCATCGCAAAATTAATCAAGCTTTTAGATTTTTTATTGATTTGTTTCACTACATAGTTTAAAACACTTACGTCCTATCTTCCAAGAGTTCAAAAAATAATTAATATTTTTGATGTTTGGCAAATTAAAACATGATTGACTTTGCTTATTGTATTTATCCACATCTCATTAGTAAGAATAAGATTCCACTTGGATAATATGTGCTAACACTTTGAATGTTCAGACGTTTTGATAGGATATCATAGTAAATATCTTTGAATTTTTCTAATAATACTATATTTAATGTGGATTACAATTAATATTGGCTATATCTAGGACTCCAATTCTTCTGCTCATTTCTGCTTCTAAAATTTTGATTGAGTTCTTGAGAAGATCTTTTTGGATATTCTGAGATTGAAATTAGATGCCTTGAAATTAAAGAGATAACAATTTCATTATGTCTTTATGATCACTCTGGATGTTCACAAAACAAGAAAAAAGAGTCTCATAATAATCTGTTTTATCTATATTCTTTTTTGCTTTGATCTTTTTTTAGAATTCTAAGAATTGCTCCAATTTTTCATAAAATTCTTATTCCTTAAACAATTTTTCAATGATTAGTTGATTGTGTGTGTTAAACGAAATCGATTTAATGGAAACAGACTTGGGTTAGACTTATTCGGCCCTGTTCTCGTGTAATAGGTTCATTAATTCCTTAGTCTATCTACTCAGCGTAAGCACTTCTTTTTTCTGCATAGTATTTATCATCTATAAATAATGGGTTGCGATGTTTACATTTTTGTTCATTTGAAACTTGTTATTGAGTTCCAAATAGTTCGAAATTGGTTGTGAATACAACTCCTTGACTTTGATTTGAGATTAAAACAGCAAGTTTTGTTTCTCTTAATCAGCTTTGATTCTTTAACTCAATCTCTGCAATTCATCTTTCTTTGTGTATTCTAAGTTACGCTCATTTAAGTTAAATTTTTAAAATAATTAACACACCTTCTAACTGAGAGTGTCAACCAATAAATCTAAGTTAAGTATTTAAAACATTACATTGAGTTTGTTTGACATTAATTTGCTTTTGAAATTTTTTCTAAATTCTATTTTTCAAATACTTGGTCTGCAATACGAATAATTACAATTCCTACTATTTTGTCTATGAATATTGGGCAAGCATAATTACCAATTCTGGCTTTTCCTTGTAATACTTAACAAGGTTCTCGAATTCGCCTTTCTTCTGTGCTTGAATTGGAGGTTAAACATTGGCAGCGGTAGTCAATTATGGCTACAACTGTTGCGTTGCTAAAGGTTATAATGGTTGGGGTTGAGGCTGTAATTGTGTTTGCATAGTTGGTAATGTTTGAGCTAGATTAGAATTAGGGTATTACGCTAACCAAAGATTGATGGTGCTTATTGCGTGTTAGGTTATGTAGTGAGAAGCATTGATGGTTGTGATCCAAGAAACATTATTACTTAATTTTAGAGTACTTTTTATTTAAAATATTAAAAATTATTAACCACACTTCATTGTTACATTATTTCATGTAATCATTAATTTTATATTAAATAGATTAATCATTTGCAATTCGTAGTAAAGTAGTATAGTTAAACATATATATACAGTAATTCATCTGAGTTTGCCAATGGTTGGTTTGTGTATTTTGCTTATTCTGAAGGTTCCAATTGACTTTTTTTATTGTAAGTCCATTTCACCAAAATCTAGCTTTCTTTACACGCATTGTATTTCAACATCACTGAAGGTTTTTTAGAATTTATCCACAAATGGTAGGCTAATCATCTGTTGGAACTTGTTCGATGACTTTGGAGGTGTGAAAGACATTTTGTAAACAATAATTTTTATTATTAAAAATATTATTATAATTATATTTACGCGTTTGTATTTGCAACAAAATATTCTACTTTTTGCGTGATTATACATTTTTTCACTTATAACATTAATTTTGAATAAGTTCATTAAATTATACGTTGCATGTTTAAATTCAAATTAAATTAATTATGAACAATAAAGGGACATTCAAGAGCAGAGACATCAATACCTTTTTAACTAACTACCAATCATTAGATAAATAAACTAAAAAACCCTTTGAATTATTGAATCTGGCCTACTCAAAGCAATTTGATTATTCCCCTATTAAGAAACAATCATACTCATCCAAGGCCAACGATATCCAAACTCAATACAAGAGTCTCCAAGAACCTTCATTTCTAAGACAAAGCACTCTGCCCAATTATGAACCGACCAGATGTTCGAGCTTGAAAAATGGAATCATAAAAGCATATGCAGCAAACACAAATCAGGGATTGGTGAGAGATTACAACGAAGACAGAGTCTCTATCATATTAAACATCATAAAACCGTAAAGTAGAGAAAATGAACAATGGCCTAAATGCTCATATTTTGGAGTTTACGATGGACATGGTGGCTCAGCATGTGCAGATTTCTTGAGAGACAACCTACATCAATTTGTTGTAAAGGAACCAGAATTTCCATGGAATCCTATCAATGCTCTTAAAAAAGGATTTGAAACAGCTGAAAAATGCTTTTTACAAATGGCCTAAGATTCATTCAATAAAGGGATCCCTGAAAGAAGTGGATCTTGTGCAGTCGTAGTATTGATTGTAGGCGATTCATGTTATGTAGCAAATGTCGGAGATAGCAGAGCAATATTGAGTACAGAAAGTGGAAAAAAAGTGATTGATCTATCAAAAGATCACAAACCAGAATTGGAGAGAGAGAGAATTATTAAGGGAGGAGGATAAGTGTATTAAACTCATGGAGTAAATGAAGAGGGATAACCAGTTTTAGGACCTGTGAGAGTCAACCCTGGAAGATTATCTGTTTCAAGAACATTTGGAGATATAGAAGCTAAATTAGAGAAATTTGGCGGAAATCCAAAGATAGTTATAGCTGAACCAGAAATCAAGCATTTCAAGATTGTGAATTAACATGATTTTATCGTTTTAGGAAGTACGAAAATATAAAGTATCCTCTAGGTGATGGTATATTTGACACAATGAGTTCAAAAGATGTGATAAATGGGATTTGGAAGGATATTTAAGTCAATTAAAATACTAAGGACTTGCCTTAGATGATGTCAAATGCAGTGGAGTCAGTGATAAAGGAAAGTTTAATTCGTAAGTCTACTGACAATGTGACATTATTGATTATAGCTTTTTCAGTCACTCCTTTGAGAGAGGAGGAGATAAGGGTTAAGACGATATCATATATCGACAAATTAGTTAAAATTCCTTAGAGCAGCAATGGGTCTAACTTAAGATAGAGGTATGTGTAGATTTAGGTATTTTTAGTAAGTTCAATGATGAGAATAACCCATTTTTCATGAATGCTCAAAAATTAAAGTAAAATCCAAAGTTGACTAAATTCAATTTTGAAGATAGCCTACGTTATCGTTTGATTGGTTGATTATGTTAATGAAAAGTGATTTAAATTTGATATTTTTCAAAATTAAATTAATATTTATGAGAACCAAATATATAGATACAATTCTGATTGGATCTTGTTTTTATGCAATGAAATTAAGAAGTGTATCTAAACAATTAATGCTATTTTAGAATACAATAATATATTGTATTATTAATTTATCTTAAATGTCAAATTTTGCACCTTCTCAAAAATTATCTGACTTATTCAAGCATGAAGGGAGATCTAGTTCTATGCATTCCTTCTATAATAATAGATCATCGTGTTATTCGACATTGAATTTGAATAGTTCGTTGTTGAATGGATGGGATTCTCAAAATCACCAACCTGTATCGATATTAACATCGAATCGAAGCGATATCAAATAGATCAATATGCCTTCATCCCAACAAGTATGAGAACATTATAACGAAGGATATTACCAATGAGATAGTATCATCTCAACATGATAGGAGATCGTCAACGCATGTATTTGTGCATTCAGGATTGGATGCCTATGAAAAGTACCAGAGTCAGCCGAGGAGAGATATGAAGATATAGCCGAGTTTTAGATAGGAATTGTTGCATGAAGTAGTGAAGATCGAAAAACCATTTTACATTACCACTGTTGAGGAGATCGAAAGATATTGGAAAGCCAAGGAGATAATGCTACTCAGACAAAAAAGTCAATTGGAATTCGAAGTTAAGTTTCAAGCTCAATAAGCCAATAAAAAACCAGTGATTCTAAAGGTAGAACCATTGCAAGAAATAGCAGAGGCGGAGGTTGAAATATAGTAATTAGAAATATTATTAAAGTATGTGTCCCTATTAAGAATAGGAACAAGAATAAGACGCTTAATGAATTGAAATGGGAAAGCGAAGAATTAGATGTTAAGTATGACAAAATAATGGATTAAGACAATGATACACAGTTTCTCAAATACGAAAAGTAGCTCAAGAATATTCAACAATCCTTTAAGGATTTAAATAGGAGGTTTCATGAAACTGAAGAACAAATTACAATGAAAGAAAATGAGATTGAATCTCGAAAGAAATAAATACAACGAAAATCGTCGATAATTATGCCATCAAATCTCAGGAACTCTATGACAGACTCTAAATTCAAATAGAGATCCTCTTTCAAGAGATAGAGCATAAACTCTGGAACTATGAGTCCTACTCGAGTGACCTTCTCATAAAAAAGTTAGCCCTCTGAAGAGTGCATTAAATTCAAACATTGACATTGATATTATTTCTATTTTATTTACATATTGTAGACACTAGGTATCTTATACTCTCTTAATTAATTATAAAATGCTAATAAACCTATTATAATCATCCCTTCACTTTCCAAATAATGCACTCCCTGTTCTGACATCCAATGTGTTTTTGTAGACTATCAGTCCCTCCTTATTAGTCATCAATATTCCATAAAAATATTTCTTATCATTCTCTGTTTTAGAAATAACCTTGATGCAATAGGTATGTCAAATTAATCAGAGGCAGATTCTTGTAAGGAATAGTCTTGAACTCCCTTTAAGGAATTATCTAAAAGACTTCTTTCATCCAAACCTTTGTCTTCATCCACATCTGTCACATTCTTAGCGTGTCTGATATCTAGATGTAAACATCTTCCATTTAATAGGAAGAATACCTAATTACAACCTCACGTTCAAATAATTTTATTAATCCATGCGCAATCAAATTCTTGAGCAATTCTTCATAAAATCGCTCATCCTATCTAATCATCTTATAGATTTAGTATTAAGACTATGATTATCATTATTAGTCAGTTCATCAGAATAGATCTTCATTAGAGCTTAATTCCTAGCATTCATCAGTTTCATTCTTGCCCTATTCACAAGAGCACTATGCTTAATTCTTTCTTATTATGCCTTCTTCTTAATTTTTTTATTGATCTCTTCCTAAATATATGCCTTTTCCCTCTTCAATATTAGCTTTTTCTCATTCTCAAATTTTTAAATGCCTTAACTTCAATCTCAAAGCATTTTTCTCTTGCTTCCTATAACACAACGTCAGCCAAGGATATCTAGTCTTAATACATAAATATTAATTAATCAGAAATAATATTTTTATAATATTTTCTTTTAAATTATCTCCACATCATCGCAACCTTTGTAATATTACACTATCAATTATAAAAGTGTATGTAGATGATTTCTCAATATTTGAATTAAAGAAGAGTTAATACTCACACACATTACTTATTAAGCTACTCATTAGAAACATATCAATATTTTTATATATATTTTCTATTTCTATAAAGTATATATGAAATTCAATGAATATTAACAAATTTTAAGGACATCCATAAATTTATAACCATTGCTTTAAAATCTTGTTGACAATTTAATTATACTATCATCTTATAATTACGCCTACTCTCACATAATGTCTTGTTGAATACATGACTCCTGATAGATTAATAAAATATAATTTATCAATAATTTCTATTATAATTCTCACGGATGGTTATTCGAATCATAAATATATCGTGATTCTTATAATTTGAAGAATATATTTATTTTCGATAATTAAAATTATGGATAATACCAGACTAAAGAGAGATCAGTTCCGATTAACACTGCATTCACAATAGCGTTTGAACTAGTTTCAGGAGAATAGAAAAAGATTTTTGCAAATTTTTATGGAAGAATAATAAATAAATGAATTAAAATTGAAAGTGAAGGTGGCAATCCAATAGTTGAATGATAATTTAAATGACTTTGATTTTGATGCCCCCAAATGTGAATTAAATCTATATACGAGTCAAATTATGTAAATATTGCCAGAAATGAAAAAATGTATTGAAAATTTAGCCAAACCTGACTTGGAGGGATTAAGCAATAAGTTTTGGAACATCTATTGCTTTATGCTATTTAACAAAGATAATCCATGTTTTGTAGAAATGCTAGAATTGCTTACGTTGTGTTGCTAAAAAAGCATGGTATTTTGCGACACCTATTGCAAATCTACTTTATATAGTAATCTTTAAACCAACGCAATTTAATTTCCTATCTAATATCAATTGGAATTTCTAAAATAAACAGTCTTAATCTAATCTCATTAAGAACATCAATTATAATATGATAAATTATGTGAGATGATTAAATAAATGATTGGACAACTCCAATCACAAAAGGTTCTGGAACATCAACACAAACAAATTATTTAAATCATCATAGAAATATTTTTAACTTTAAAAATGGATCAAGTTCATAAGGTATCTCTGCAATACCAAATAAATAGATATTTTTTAACTTTATTCACTTCCCTCTCCATTTTGGATGAGATCCTTATCGGAAACGAATTGCTGAATTACATTGAATATTTAAACAGAAATCAATCATTATTCAACGTGTCTACCATCGAATTAATCAATTAATTGTCATTTAATTCTCAATTGAGTTCGTATCCTGATGAAAAATCCATGGCCATCGCTATCATTGGAGTGTTAATGTCAGGCAATTTAACCTAATCGAAATACTATTTCAATAAATTTAGCACTGAAAATTTGTCTCTAGATTAAAAATTACTCTAAAACTTAAAATTACAATAATCTCAAGTCAGAAAAATGACGGTGTTTGCTTTTTCAAATATCTTTGGAGAAACCTCATATGATCGAGTAGATTATTTTTCAAATGGAACTGTCATCTAATTCTTATAATATGCAAGACAAGAAAATGAAATCGAAGTTATTTTAGAAATTTTACAAGCTTTGAGAAATTTAGTTTATCATGCCGAAGACAATTATCTCCCTATTTTACTAGAGTAGGATATTGTTTCCATTATTGTAGACAATGAAAACTACATATTGAATGTATAATAAGTCGAATGTATAACTATAAAATATTCTAGGTTTATTGATGTTAATCAGTAGATTTGAGGAATACGATTAGCAGGCATTGCAGAATTTGGTATAATTCCCTAATTTTATACAATATTTGTGTTACAAGGGAGTAGCAAATTTTGTAAGAAGAGTCTTTGATAATTCTAAATTTGGAAATACGATGGAAAAATAGTAGGGAAGGAAAATTAACGATGTATAGAAAGACGAATACTAAATTAACCTTCTTAAATTGTGTGAAATTTTTTGTTGAAGACAACTAATGATATTCACAAGAATTTTAAATTAATTATTGAATTTTATTCACAAAAATTCACTTTTACTTTTACCATCTTTGAGTTAAAAAGATATTTCTTGTCTATATATTTAATAAATATATATATATTAATATCATGATATACACAAGTAATGATAAAAATATTAATAAAGTTTAAGGATCTAGTCAAATTCTAATTCATTAGAATTAGCAGTTTCTTCCTTAATCAGTAAGTTAATACTTTTATTTTATCTATGATGATGTCTCTCTTAAAAATGATGTATTATGAATTTTTAGTTTTGATTGAGTATTATATTAATTTAATACTATTTATTCTATAATTTATTAAAAATTAAAAAAAATTTTAATAGTTCATTTAAAATTTAAATAGGTTATGTAGGGTATTCTTAATTATTCTTTTGAAGAAGAATGTATGCCGATCGGTAACGAATTAATTTGGAAATAGATCTTTTTTCAGTAATATGTTCAATAATTTAAAAGTATTGTTGAAATAAATGAGGATGCAAATAATTACTAAATTATTGAGGACCATATTAATTGATTAATACAAACAGTTGATTTCACGATCAGACGATATTAAGACATATCTTATGAACATGATGAGAGATAGTGTAATAAGGGATTTTAAATAATCTTTGGACATTTATATTTAAATAGTTATCATGATATATGAGATTGATTTTCAAAATTAAGTCTTTAAAGTTGAGGCCCTGGTGCTTTTTCTAAGAAGATTCATAGCTTAAACGGATGGTTTTGGTTGTTTTTGCTCGACTTTTAATTTCAGAGTTTTAATAAACCTTTTGGCCATCATGACGGTGCAAAATCCATTGTCTTCTGATTTGGTATTGGTTTTGCTGATTGATTTTTTGGGGAGGTTTTTGGTTACTTCATAATGCCTTTCTTTTTGAGAATTGAATTCAGTTTGCTTTCTTCGCATTTCATCAACTTCGTGTTGAAGTCTCATGAATGTGACAATGTCTTGACAATCCATGTCAACACAAATTTCCTTGTCTAATTTATACTCTTCCAGAATGGCTTTTTCGTTATTAACAAAGTTCTAATTTTGACATAAGCTTCTTAAAAAGTCAATGTCCTTTCTGACTACTGGGTGTCTGGTGGTCTTCATGGCCTTGACCTTTTGCAGGGCAACTTGTGCTCTTGACTAAATGTGATTCGAATAAGTAATTTACCTAAGAAATTTGAGGGGACTTAAGAATAGTAGGAGTGTTCAAGGCTTTAAGATTTTAACTTGCCAATTTGTTCTCCTCCTTTTAGACTTGAGACTTCTTGAGGTCGTCTTAATCGGATTCACTCTGACTGCCATCAGAGTCGATTCCGCTGAAACTGCTGGATTCAGAAACATAGAGTTCAAATTCTTTTTCTTTCTTTTTTTTTTATTCGAGTAATTAGTCTGTCTGATTATCGGGATCACCAGATAGACTATCATCAGAACCTTTGTCTACTTGAATGAGTGTGTTAAAGCGTTCCCTTTCATTTGGGTCTTGGAGCTTTTGAATAATTTTCTTCTTCGCATTTTGGAATTAGTATTTACACTTGTCTTATATCGATTTTCTTGATTCTGTTTGTATTCGAGTGCGATGAACGGAGTCTTTGGTCACTCTCATCTCATTGCTTATGATGGTTTGGAATTTGTAGGCTCCAAAACCCACTCCTAATTGATTACTCATGTGAAAATTAAAAATGAATGTAGTATGGATAAAAGAATTTTATTATTTGGTCAATGATACATTAGTATAAAATTAAAGTCAGTTTCATTGCGAGGAGACAAGCTTCTTCTTCTTCGGTTCATACATCTCCAACTGTTCCTTTTACCAAATGAATTGCCGTTGCTCAACCGGAGTCATCCGAAGTAAAATGTGAGTCTAGAGGAGAGAGGGTAATAATAAGCAAAATATAGTACCCTTCTAGTTTGATGCAACATGGTTTTGCCCTCTGGATTCTCAGCCACAGATTCGTCGTAATTGAGATTCATCTTGTTCCAAGGGTCAGCCTTGTTGAGGATCAAGAAGTAGGCTATGTTATTCTATTTATGGATCAAGGCAAGATACAAGGGAGTCCTTCCCACAATGTCTTGAGAATCTGGATCTGCTCCATATTTCAATAAGATCTTGGCAGTAGATTCCAAACCTCTCATTGCACACCAATGTAGAGTAGTCATGAGCAAATGATCATATTCATAAACCAAGTATTTGTTATCATCAAGTAATTTAATGATCTCCTGGTTTTGACCCTATTTGCACAATTAAAAGAAGTGTTTCGATGCTGAATGTTCGAAGGGTTTAGAAGGAAAGACCTTGTGTGATAAGAACTCCTTGGTTGTTAATTTGAGTTTCTCCAAATGTCTCAAATATTGAATCAACGAAGCCCTTATGGCTTTGTATTTGTGTTTTAAGGGAATGTTCTCAGATGGGAATTTTTGAAAATTGAGGAGTCCCCTTATTTACTTACTCCCATAGAGTTTGTTCTTGTATAGAAATGTTATTTACATTAAAATCATCAATTTCAGAGCAATCTCTGTATCTAGAGAGTTGTTTTTGACTGGTAAATTGAGGAGCAGAGGGTTGCTAAGATTGTGGCTATTTGGAGAGACATTCAGATTTGAAATCGTTTGAGGTGATGTCGCTTACGAGTTGAAATTTGGGATCTATAGTTAATGAATGAAACTTGGCAGTGGGTTGATTTGGACGATAGGTTTGAGACTTGATGATTTAGGACTTTTTGTTGAGAATTGTTGGTACTTTTTTATTCAATTTAACTAGAAATCTTTATGGTTTATGATTTAATTGTAATTTTTTGGTTTATGTATTCTGAGAGACAGAAGGAGTATTAGTTTTGGCTGTGCTTTTGCAATAATAATTATTGGAAGTGGAAAGTGTGGGTATTTGTATTACTTGGGTGTGAGTGAACGGGATATCGCACAATAATTGACTCAGCAAAATGGGATAATTCTAAACATCTTGGTGATTGGGTTGGAGTGACTTAAATTGCATTTTCCTTGGAGTCGTTGGAGCTGATGTGTGGATCTTGTCAAGGTTCAAGAGACGAATGTAATTTGTTTTGGAGAATCTACTTAAAGTGGATATGAATACTAGTTTTCAGTCTTGTTTCTATTCATAAAATATTAATATATAATAATAATGGATAAGGACATTGATGTGGATAAGGTGTATTTATATTTCCATCATAGATCTTAGAGAAATTGTTGGAAACCAAAGGAGCTCGTAGTGGAAAACCAGTAAATCTAACGGAGAGTGAAATCAGATCATTATGTGTTAGAAGCAGAGAGATTTTCTTAACTCAACCCATGTTACTAGAATTGGAAGCACCAATTAAAATATGCGGTAAAACACTCTCCTTATATCAAGGTGATATTCATGGACAATACACAGATTTGTTGAGATTATTTGAATATGGGGGATACCCACCTGAAGCGAATTATTTATTTTTAGGAGATTATGTTGATAGGGGCAGACAATCCTTAGAAACTATCTGTTTACTACTTGCTTATAAGATTAAATTCCCTGAGAATTTCTTCCTGCTTAGAGGAAATCATGAATGCTCCTAAATAAATCGTATATACGGATTCTACGATGAATGCAAAAGGAGATACAACATCAAATTGTGGAAAACCTTCACAGATTGTTTCAACTGTTTGCCTGTGTGTGCAGTCATCGATGAAAAGATCATATGCATGCATGGAGGGTTGTCTCCTGAATTGTCCAACTTAGAATAAATACACAGGATAATGAGACCTATTGAAGTTCCAGACACAGGCTTATTGTGTGATTTGTTATGGTCAGATCCTGAGAAAGATGCTTAAGGATGGCAAGGTTACTTAAATTGTCTCCTATTTTAGACAACGAGAGGGGAGTTTCATACATCTTTGGACAAGATGTCATATCTAATTTCTTGAAGAAAAACGACATGGATCTCATTTGTAGAGCTCATCAAGTTGTCGAAGAAGGATACGAATTCTTCGCTAAAAGACAATTAGTTACACTCTTCTCGGCTCCCAATTACTGTGGAGAGTTTGACAACTCAGGTTTAACATAGTTCAATCATTTTAGGCGCACTCATGAGTGTCGATGAAACTTTGATGTGCTCATTTCAAATACTAAAATCACAAGATAAAAAAAATGTCCCACAAGCCAGACCAAGAACACCAAAATACGTTAATTGATATATATATCTGAATAATTATTTAATGCAATTCATTCTCCTTGTTGAGTTGATCAGAATATAGATTAATATGCTTGTTAGGAGAATGCTATAAAAATGTTAATTTGACAACTAGTTAGAAACATGGACTCATTTGCTAATTAATTAATTGGTATGGTTTAATTCTTATTTGAATAAGAACTTTGATTAGAATGATAAGATTGTTTCTGAATTATAACGATTATGATAAATAATATTAATAATAATTTACATGGACACTCCGCCATAAAACAATTCAAAATATAATGTGGATGATGATTTCAGACATGATATTTGCCAAAGAATCTATACGAAGGCAGGAAGTATAATACCAAACAATTAATAGAAATGACTCATGGTCAAAACTAGTAAGCTAAATAATTTTCAGAGAAGGATTAACTCTAAAAGATGCAAAAAGATTTAAGGGATAAATTGAAATACATCGAAGAAACTAATTGGATGTTTGAAGGATTAAACAATGTCAATGATAATTTTTGAATTTTTATACATTTATAATCATACTCCTACTCAAAATATATATAGAATGTAATAATTTAACTATATGCTCTCAAATATAAGTACTCTTTTTGAAATCTAACTAGAAATGAAATTCTGTAAAAATGGAATTGCCAATTTCTAGAAAAATCGATTATATTTTAAGAGAAATTAATCGAATAAAATCCGTTAATTGATTAGCGATCATTTCTATGGAAGCTGATAAAATTTGAATTAAAATCTAAGAATTTCATTTTATTTTTGATAAATATTATATTGGTATTATATCGATATGAGAGTGTAAGGAATAATATGAAATAGATTATAAGTTATATATTATAGTAATTAAAAAGGAGTTACTTTGAATAATTTATATTTTTAATGGACTCATTATAAAAACAGAAGTAGCTTATGGTTGAGTAATTGAATAAGTTGGAATACATGGATAAAATCCTTCCTTTGCACAAGGATGAAGTTTAGGCAGAGAAGAAACTGTAAGTTCAGATCAATAGTCTAAATTTCAAAAGAATAATAGAAGGGTAGGAGAATAATAAATTGATGGCAGAAATCGAGGAGTCGAAGCTGGATGTGCAAAAGAATAGACAGAAGGCCTTTCAGAAATACTTCACTTCATTCATGCCAGAGAAACAGCAACAAGATGTCAATATACTTGAATTCAACCAAAGTGATTTCGAAGTTTTTCAACAATTAAAGGAGAAACAAAGACAGTTGGCATAGGAAGATCTGACCATAGCTCGACAGAAGGAGAAAAGCAACCAGATATTTGAATAGAACCTTATGAAGAAATGGGATAGAGTGAGGAAAAGTAGTATATTGAATTATTCTAAGAGTTGCGTATGATTGGCAGAATGAAACGATTATATGACGAAGTAAAATTATATGGTACAAGCTGTAGAGTGGAGACTTCGATAAAAAGACATGAAGTTATTCAGGAACTGGAATAGATGCTCAACAAACAGAATTAGCAAATAAGCAAGCCTATGCCGCAGAAACACAGTAATATTATAGTATATGAACTTATTAGAGCATCTATTCTTGCCAGATTCAAAGTTCAAGAAATATTGGCAATATGTTCTGATGATACTATTGATTTACACTGCCTTTATCACTCCAATTCGATTGGCATTCATAGAGGAATTCAACATTGTATGGTTTACTTTGGAATTAACAGTAGACATATTATTTATGTTGGATATCCTAATTACTTTTAATACAGCATATTTCAATGAGGAAGGAGTCCTTATAGTTGATCGTCAACACATAGCAAATTAGTATCTCAGAACTTGGTTCATATTCGATTTGATGGCCATATTCCCAACTGATCAGATCTTTTCGAATGAGGCTCAAAAGTTATCGCAGTATTTCAAGTATGAATATGAATCAAAGGCAATATAATAGATTGACAAGACTGCCTCGAATGTATAAATTGATAAGTATCAGCAGAATGTGGTCAACTGTTTAGAATTCTCAGAATCACAATGATTGCTTCTCTGCTATTCAAGACCTGATAAACTTGAATTCAACAACTGTAAGAGTACTCAAATTTTTTGGGACTGTCCTTGTTTGTGTACACATAATGGGTTGTCTCTGGTATTTGGTTGCAAAATTGAATAAATTTGGACCCAACACATGGGTATATGAATTGGATTTACTGAACAAAAGTGAATATGAATTGTACTTAACCTCCATCTATTGGGCAGTAGCAACTATATGTACAGTGGGATTTGGAGACATCCATGCCTTCAATGATAGTAAAGTATTAATTATACATAGCTGAAAGAATTGTGTGTATATTTTGGATGTTCTTTGGAGTCGGTTTCTATTCCTTTACTGTTGGTTCCCTCTCCACGTTGATGGGAACTTTGGACACAAGAGAATCTCATCTCCAAAGCAAGATTACTTTTATGGATGAATTTTGTGAGGAAACCAAATTGTCCTTGTAGATGAAACACAAAATCAGGAAAGTCTTGGAATACAATTCAATGATTAACATATTCTCCTCTGCTGAGGTGGATGAGTTCCTATCTGAAATACCTACCAATCTCAAATATCAAATTGCTTAGGCCATGTATGCTGGTCTCAAAAATAGAGTCTCCTTCTTTAAGAACAAGGATTCAGTCTTCATCTCCACTCTCATTCCTAAATTATAGCCTTTAAAAATAAATGCTGGAGAATTTGTATACACTAAGGGAGAATATCCTAATTAAGTCTATTTCATTGTGAATGGCAGAGTCAATATGGTCATTGGAGTGTATTCAATCACATTCAAAACATACGTAACAGGTAGTTATTTTGGGGAAATTGAAATATTTGATAACAGTGCACGCTTTCATTCAGCCAGAGCTGAATTGGAATGTGAATTGTTGGCAATTGAATAGGATGTATTTAAAAAAATATTGCAAGCATTCCCAGAATATTTTGAAGAAATTAAAGCCATTTCATTAGAAAAATTAAAGAGGGAGAAGGAGGCCATTGAAAAATTATAAGATTTAACTGGATTATCCCAAACCTCTGAATTCTTTAATAAGAAAAGGACTCAATCTATTTACAAATCAATCAAGTAGAGAGAATCTGTGCATTTCATAGATTATAGTGAAGAATCAGAATAAGAATTGAAATCAATGAAATCCAGCAAATTTGGCTTCTTCAAAAAGAAAACCAATCATTTAATACCTGAGGATACTACTAGATTACATACATAAGAGGATACTTCCCAAAAGAATCTTATTGTTTCAGAAAGTAGTCAAAAAAAGACTGAAGAACCAGACAAAGTAATTACATTACCAATTCCAGATTAAGTGAAAAGAGAAAGCGAACATAAAATTAAATTGCATGGTGAAGTTCCTCCCGCTATTTCTTAATTTAATGAGGATCTAGATTAGAATCAAAATGAAAAAACTAATCTGAGAATCCAAAGTGAAGAACCAAACCGTACTCCCTAAACTAAATAAGTTAGATACATAAGTCAGAATCTCAGATGTAGTCCCAAGAGATAGGAACACAGAAAATCATCCATTTAGATAACATCCCCTAATGAGAATCCAGGCTCTGATACTCCTTTAATCTCTTCTGTAAGATCTAACTTTATTAAACCTTCCATTAAAATCGACGAGGCCTCTTATGAATCAGAAGGGTCTAATAAAAACTCCCCCAATATGTCCGTACATCCACATAATGCATTCTATAATGCTTAGTCTGCTCAAAATTCGCCTAGAAGAAGTTCGAACCTTTCGAAATTCACTTAAGCTTCTCCTTTTTAGAAACAACCTTCAATCTTCAAAAGTGTTAGCAATCAATATATTGAAGCTAGTAAACTCAAGAATTTACCTAAATTGGGTGGATTTAGAAGAACGTATAGAAAAGAAAGAGAAATTGAAGTTTTAGAGGAGACTATTGAAAATGAGGATTACACTTAATTGCAACAAAAATTAGTGGAGTTATTGGAGAAGATAAAGAAATAAAAAGAGCAATAAAAAGTCAAAAAATAATAAATCAAATTCAACATTATAAATCCATTGCCTAAAAGGATTGTTTTGGAATAAAAAGATTCTTTGAGTATTCCAGATCTACCAAATATTGAATAATAATAATTATCTTAATAAGATAGTAATAGTAGTGGTATATTAGAATGATATCACATTGATTTTCATCTCAACTAAATTATTTATTTATAAATTTTTTCATATTCCTCTGAGTCTCCCAATATTTTTTCACATTTTATTACATAAACAGAATCACATAAAAGAGTTATTGCAAATGTCATCGCAAAATCGCATTTGCTTATTTTTATTTCAAACTTGTTTCTTTTTAAATCAAAATTTAATGATTATAAATAAGATATTATTTTTGAAGTTAATTTTTATGGATCTATGAAAACAAGTTAATTGAGGTGATATGGACCTTCATGTTATTTTACTACAATCAAAGGACTTTGTGGTCGATCATGTGAGTGCTAATTATGAAAATTTGGAGCTCTATAAACAGCAGATCTTTGAGGTGTTTTCAAAGTTTTGGGTTTTTAAGGTGCAGGTGCAGGTGAGTGATCTGCATTTTCGAAGGCTCTTTGTTTAAATTGCATGGCTTTTAATTTGATTTGTTCAACAGTAGGAAACAAAGTTTCAGGTTTTTTTTCAATGCTGAGTGAAACCTATCTTAGTCTAGAATTATAATCATTAGGATAGATGGGAGTATTATTTAAGGATGTTTGAAGTGATGGTCTTTCAGGAAAGGGAATTTGGGCTGAAATGTTTAAATAATTATTCGTAACATCGTTATCGTATTGTTAATCGTTATTACTCTCGAATTAATCATTATTAACAGGGTTAATTTGTGATATCTCAGTTAGATTTTAGATTTCATTGAATTTCTCTTTAATTTCTTCAACCTCGTCTTGATTTTAGACATCTGGCAACTGCGAAATCTTTTGTTATTCAGAATTTTGTATATTGAGTGTTTTTTAAGAATTGGTTGATTTCTATTCCTAAGCATTCTTCTAAGGAGTCATATTTTCTTTAGTGTCAACCTAACTTATCTTTTAGGATTGGACATTGGATGTCTCTTTAAGGATGGCTACTTATGGGTGTTATGGAGGGGGGATTTGAATTAATTTGTATTAGAATGTCTCATCTGGATCCTACTGTTTTTCCCTCAAATGTTTATTTAAGAGCAAGTAGTATGTAGTAGTTACTGGATCATGCTTATTGGCTTTTAAATAGGCATATGCTTGAGGTAATTTGAAATTGTAAGTGGCCAATTTTTCCAGGACTTCTTGACAAATATTGATTTCTCCATATCCTGGTGTTAAAATTGGATTAGTAATACATGTTTAAATCCAATAATGCTAGACTATTTGTTAGATATTGTATCTTTTAAGAGGATTGACTTGCAATATTTTTTCAAGGAGATCTTTACACAACGGACTCATGTATTTTGGAGTAGCATATTCGCAATTTATGATTTTTTTATACAATAAATTTACATTCTTGTCTTCAAAAGGGAGATATCCATTGACCATAGCAAATAGAATGACTCCGCAACTCCAAGTGTCTGCAGATTTAGGATCGTACTCTTTTCCTTAGATCATTTCAGGAGCAGCGTAACAAGGACTCCCACAAGCAGTTTTGAGTAATTGGCCATCCTTAAATTGATTTGAGAGACCGAAATCTACAATTTTGATCTTGTTATTTTCATCTAATAACAGATTCTCTGGTTTTAGGTCTCTAATATATTTAATTATGGTTACCTATGCATAACATAATTGTCATGCATATATTGAACTCCGGAGAGAATTTGCATCATGTACTCGGCTGCATCTTTTTCATTCAATCTTTAGTTCTTAATTATTACTTAAAACAATTCTCCTCCTGGGGCATATTCCATAATCAAATATAAAGAATTTACAGTTTAAACTATCTTCAAATAATCGTGATCCTTACTTCATAGATCTATATAATATTGGGGTGACGCAGTTTCTTCAGACAATTGATCTCCCTTGAAATTCTGTCGTAATCGATGGTTTCTTTCATTTTACTCTTCTCCAAAATTTTAATGGCCACAGTTTCATTTGTAATTGTATGTTGACCCAATTTGACCTACCCGAAAGTTCCTACTCCAATAGTTTTGCCCAGGATGTAATTTCCTATTGATTTCATACTCATTCAAAAATTAAATTAACTGATGGGAAGTGTTTGTAAGAAACAGGATGCTGAAAATGAACTCAATAGTTTAATCCCAAAAAAGAAGGGAGACACCATCACCATATCACAAAATCATGGAGGAGGGTCACAAATCATCTAAAAAAAGAGAAGTACTGCAAACAAAGGAGACTATGAACCAGATGCCGTTGTCGAGAAACTAGAAGTGGAAGTATCTAATACTATATGATGAAAGCTCAAACGTAATGACAAAAAAAAGTTGGTTAAGGTTGAGGCTCGACAGGATCAAGAGGAAATAGTAGAAAACATACAAAAAAGTAATAAAAAGAAGTCACCCTTTGATTATCAACTCATTCTGAACGCATTCACGACCAATTCTCTCTTTTAATCCCTTTCTCAACAGGAACAGTAAAAAATATATAATATTTCTTCAGGGAAGCTATTTTAGAATAGATGTTCTATTGCACCACACCTGATGGCCAATTCGTATTCAGACAAGGAGATTTGAAGGCAAGTTCGTTTTTTCTTATAGGTATTATTGGTTGATATCGAAGAACGTGGGTAGTGTCAGATCATCATAGATGGGGAAGTAAAGAAAGTATTAAAATAATCTGACTCATTTGGAGAGAGAGCACTCTTATACAATGCCCCTAGATCTGCATCAGTGAGGGCAGTAGGAGATTGTGCATTTTGGGCTATAGATAGAAATCTGTTTAGAAAAATGATAGAAGATATGAGAATGCACGAATTTGAGGAGAATCGACAATTTGTAGAAAATTTGAAATCATTTGGTAAAGTCTCACATTAACTCAATAGAATTTTTAACTTTCGATCAAAGATCAGCCATCTCAAGTGTATTATTTACAGTGTAATTTAAAAAAGGAGAGATTATAGTATAATAAGATGAAACAGCAACTTCATTTTTCATTATTAAAAAGGGATCAGTTTCAGTGATACAGAATGATAATGAGATAAGAAAGATGAAGAAAGGTGAGTCATTTGGAGAGATGGCTTTATTCTAGAATTCTAAACGAGGAGCCACAGTAAAAGCAGCCGAAGAAGATGTGAGATGTCTTGTGATCACAAGAGATGAATTAACTAAAATTTTAGGAGACAAAATCTAAGTTATCATGTTCACAAATAAATAAATATGGGCTATTCAAAAACATTAAGTTCTAGGATAATTAACTGAACTCCAAATCCAAAAGATTGTACAAAATATGAATCAATTCAATTATGAACAAGGAGCTGTGGTCTTTGAGGAAAAAGTCTAGAAGTTGGTCATAGTGCTAAAAGGAGAACTAATATTTGTAAATATCTACATTTATACTTAAGGCAGACCGGGTCTAAAATGAAAGCCGCTAGTGAAGGTTAAGTTTTTGGTGACGCTTACTTCAACAAGTAATAACTCAGTGACCCAGTCATCGCCAAAGATAAATCCATACTGGCAGAAATCGATTTCAAACGATTTGAGGAAGTCATCGGAGGTTCCTTAGATCAAGTCATTAATAAAAATTAAAAAATTAGTGAAAAGTAAATTGATCACCTAATTCTATAATAGACACAAGAAATAAGAAAGTTATAAGCATGATTACTCTCATCTCAAACTAGAGGAATTCGTTTCGTTAAAGAAATTGGGATAAGGATAATTTGGAAATGTCTACTTAGTCAAAAATCCTAAGGATAATCCTCCTCATTTCTATGCTTTGAAATGCATATCCAAAGCATAAATTGTTGATTAGCATCTAGAAAAACATTTAGCCTAAGAAAAGTCAGTACTCACAACTGTCCATCATCCATTCCTTATGAAATATTATTGTAGTTTCTAAGATTCTAATCACGTATTCTTCCTTGTTGAATTCATCAAAGGAATGGAACTCTTTGATGTCATTAGAGACATTGGACTTTTGAGTGCCTTTGACACTCAATTCTACATTGGATCCCTCATTTTATGCATTGAGTATCTAAACAAACAAAAGATTGTTTACAGAGATATCAAACCTGAAAACATTATGGTTGATGAAAAAGGATATGTTCGACTAATTGATATGGGCACAGCTAAGTTTTTAAATCATAAAGGTGGTAGAACTTATACTATCATTGGAACTCCGCATTATATGGCTCCAGAAATCTTATAAGGAAAAGGTTACACTTTCCCTGTTGATATCTGGTCCATTGGTATTTGCATGTATGAGTTTATGTGTGGATAAGTTCCATATGCTGAAGAAGCTGAAGATCCTTACGAAATCTATGAAGAAATCTAAAAAAAACAATTATCTTATCCTCAATTTCTCAAAGACAGAAAGGCAAAGAAATTCATGGAGTAATTACTTAATAAAACCCCAGAATTGAGGTTAGGAGGATCCTATGCCAGTTTGAAAGCTAATTAATGGTTTGATTAATTTGATTGGGTATTATTATAATTGTATTTTCCAAAAGGATAAACTTTATGATAAAGAAATGAAACCTCCCTATTTACCACCATAATAGAAAATGCCAGCCACAGGTAAAGATGTACAAGGTACTCCAATTATGAAAGAGCTATAAAATTTGAATGCCCCAGTCTATAGAAAGGAGAAGGCGAAAGATCCTAATTGGGATTAAGAATATTGAAGTATTTCATGCACACAACTTTTTTTTTATGAAGAATTTATATAATATTCTAACTGATATAGCTTAGAAAATATCAAGACACAAAATATAAATTCAATATTGTAATTAATTAAATGTCTAAATATTGGTGTTTATTTGAAATTAAGAATTTTCTTATGAGCCTAATAATTAGACTTAAAGTAAAGATTTTCTAACTATTTTATTTCAATCAAAATTAAATGCTAAAAAATAGTACAAAAAATTTGAAGTCAAATACTTTATTTACCCAATAAAAATTTAGGGCTTTATGAATACCGTTTACAAGAATAAACATTTATTAAGAATTTTCTGATTTCTATAATTATATTTCCGCTTTCAACCATCTT